CCAGTCTGGCTTTACGCTACCCGCTAGTGGGGAGAGGGTGAACACGGCAGCCTGCCGGCCTGCCCACTGCAGGGAGGCCCCGCGAAACCTTTGTGGGTGGTGTAGAGTAATGGGTTTGGCCTCAGCCTTAGCCTTGGTTGTCTACCTTTGAAATACCTTGTCTACATCCCAACGCCAGGTATTCACATGTCCCTACCCTCCTATCCCCTGGTCTTCCTGGCTGACCCTGCCCCCCTTTTGTAGTCAGAGGTGAGGTCTCTTCCTGGCCCACTGCCTCATCCTTTTTTCCTCACTGCCTTCTCCAACGTTGATCCTCTCTTGCTTTCTTTGCTCATTTTGTTTTTGTTTTTTTTTCTCAGTTTTGTTTTTTCTCTCTCTTTAAAGTTTTCATTATAGAAAAGTCCAAGCCTAGGAACGCCTGGGTGGCTCTGTCGGTTAAGCGTCTGCCTCTGGCTCAGGTCGTGGTCCTGGGATCGAGCCCCGTGTCAGACTCCCTGCTCAGCAAGGAGTCTGCTGCTCCTTCTGCCTCTGCCTACTGCTCCCCCTGCTTATGTGCATGCTCTCTCTTTCTCTCAAATAAATAAATAAAATCTTAAGAAAAAGTCCAAGCCTATATAAAAGTAGGTAGAGTAGTGTGATGCCTCCCCAGCACCCTACCCCCAGCCACAGCAATTGTCAGTCATGGCCAATTGGTTCCATGTATGTAACCATGTATGTGCCTTGTCCCCTGATTTTTAAAGTATCTCTACATATTTCAATAAGTATATCAAAGAAGGAAGGCCCTTTGAAGAATCACTAAAATATCATTGTCACACCTACAAAAATTAGACGTCTTAATATCAAATAGTATTCAGTATGTAGGATCCATATTCAAGTTTCTGATTATCTTATAAATATGATTTAAAACAAGTTTGTTTGAATCAGGATCCAGAAAGCCCTTACATGGTCACAGATGGGTACGTCTTCTGTGTTTCTGAGCGAGGGCTTCCTCTCCATCTTTTCCATTGAAAACAGGAGTTTGCTTCTCTCTCTCAGGGTCCTCATTCAGTGGGTTCACCGTGGGTTCACTGGTTACATCCATGTGATATTGTTGAAAAATATTGCTTTGATCACTGCATTTCTTCTAAATTGGTAGTTAGATTGAGGTTTTGATTGGTGCTGTGAGCTTCCCTCAGGACACACGTGGTGTCTGGTAGTCTTTGTGGCGTCCGGAGGTGCGGAGGGTCGTTGATTCTGTCCGTTACTTCATGGAGGATTGCAGGCTGGGGCACTTGGACCCTTGCCCCCCCCCCCCCATTCATTAGCTGGGATGCTCTATAAAGAGAGACTTGCCGTCATCTGCTGTCACTTCCCTGACTGACTGTAGAGGAAAAGCAGGCTAACGCCTTGACTCTTTCCCTTCATTTGTTAGTTTTCACAAGAATCAACTGGTTCCCTAGGGTCCTCCAATGATGACCACTTATTTTTCTTTCTTTTTTTTTTTTAAGATTTATTTATTTATGATAGACACACACACACACACACACAGAGAGAGGCAGAGACACAGGAGGAGGGACAAGCAGGCTTCATGCTGGGAGCCTGACGTGGGACTCGATCCCGGGACTCCAGGATCATGCCCTGGGCTGCAGGTGGTGCTAAACCGCTGAGCCACCCAGGGATTGATCGATCTATCTATCTATCTATCTATCTATCTATTATTATTATTATTATTATTATTATTTTTACCATAATCACACCTTCATGGATTAAAACATGTTTGATGTGTTTCAGTCCCTGAGTTAGTCTGATCAGTGCTCACGTGACCATGTGGGGCCGTGAGGCCTCCGATGTTGGCTCCTGAGGTATGGGGAGTGGCCCAGTGAGTCTTTGCTGGCGTCTTTGCTTTCAGATGCGATAGGGGAGTCCAGGCTCTGCTTGCACACTTCCTCACGTGTCTCTTTCCACGGGAAGTGGGGTTTCAGTATCACAGCCTGGATGCTAAGTTAGTTGGACAGCGTTAGACAGTCTTTGTTTTATTTAATACATCATGAGTGATGCCTCATAATGATACTTAAATTCAGGATTATGTCATGTTTGCTTCATGCCTTTGCTCTGATATCTTTCTCTTCTTTTTCAATTGCATGAGGGTGCCTGTCCCGAACAACACTTCAGACGACGGAATCTAACATTCCTTATTACTTGGTGTTACTGCTCAACAGTTTAATGATCATATTTTCCCTTATAAAGTCACTTGAAGTTTGCATAGAGGGCTTTTTCTTTTAAAATCCAGGAAAGGGGATCCCTGGGTGGCGCAGCGGTTTGGCGCCTGCCTTTGGCCCAGGGCGCGATCCTGGAGACCCGGGATCGAATCCCACATCGGGCTCCTGGTGCATGGAGCCTGCTTCTCCCTCTGCCTATGTCTCTGCCTCTCTCTCTCTCTCTGTATGACTATCATAAATAAATTAAAAAAAAAAAATCCAGGAAAGGATCGAGTCCCACGTCAGGCTCCCTGCATGGAGTCTGCTTCTCCCTCTGCCTGTGTCTCTGCCTCTCTCTCTCTCTCTCTCTCTCTCTGTGTGTGTGTGTCTCTCATGAATAAATAAAATTTTTAAAAATAAATAAATAAAGTCCAGGAAATTCACCAGAGCAAGTCCTGGATAGGTCTTCTGGAGTCGAGAGTTGGTATTCAGTATCCATTGTAGTTTTTCAACATGCATGGAAAATTTGTTGTTGTTGTTTTTAAAGATTTTATTTATTTATTCATGAGAGACACAAACAGAGAGAGAAGCAGCGACACAGGCAGAGGGAGAAGCAGGCTCCATGCAGGGAGCCCGACTCGGGACTCTATCCAGGACTCTATCCAGGACTCAATCCCAGAACTCCAGGACCACACCCGGCCGAATGCCAGAATCCAGGACCACACCCCAGCCGAATGCAGGCCCCAGACTGCTGAGCCACCCAGGGATCCCCTGTTCTTATGTTAGAGAAGTTTTCTTAACTATAGTTTTAATATTTTTTCTGTACCTTTGCTTTGATTTTGCTTCTCTGGGGCTTCTGTTATTTATTTATAAGGTCATTTTTGTCTTCAATATTTTCACTGCCTTGAGTCTTATTTATTTATTTATTGTTAAAGATTTTATTTTATTTTTTATTTTTTTGAAAGAGTGAGCAGGGTAGGGGCAGAAGGTGAGGAAGAAGCAGACTCCCTGCAGAGCAGGGAGCCCGACGCAGGACTCGATCCCAGGATCCTGAGGTCATGACCTGAGCTGAAGGCAGACACTTCACCAATGGAGCCACCCAGGCGCCCCTATGTATTCATTTATTTTTAAGAACTTTGTTGATGTATAATTTATGTGCCATAAAAGTCACTCATCGTAAGTATACAGTTCAACGAATTTTAATAAGTTTGTAGAATTGGGCAGCCCGGGTGGCTCAGCATTTGGCACCGCCTTCGGCCCAGGGTGTGGTCCTGGAGTCCCAGGATCGAGTCCCACATTGGGCTCCCGGCGTGGAGCCTGCTTCTCCCTCTGCCTGTGTCTCTGCCTCTCTCTCTGTGTGTGTGTCATGAAGAAATAAAATCTTAAAAAAAAAAGAGTTTGTAGAATTGTGCAGCCACCACAGTCGTGTTGCACATGTTGTAGTCATGCAACATCTCCACCCCCCGAAGGGTCCCTTGTACGGTCTGCAGTCAGTCCCTGTGCACCACACAGCTCCAGGCAACCCCTGATCTACTTTTCATCTCTGTAAATTGTCTTTTATGAAAATGTTCTACATATGAAAGAATATGATTTGTGGTCTTTTGTGTCTGGCTTTTTTATTTAGTGGAATGTTTGAGGTTCCATCTGTGTTGTGTGTGTCAGTATTTCATTCCTTTTTAGGGCTGGATAGTCTGCTGTATGGAAAGACCACACTGTGTGTACCTACCTATTCCTCCTTTGATGGACAGTTGGGTTCCTTCCACTCTTGCTGTTGTGCTGTGAACGTTTGCATGCACACCTTTGTTGGACATGTGTTTTCCTCCCTCTCCTCCCTCTTGGGGTGGGTACCTAAGAGCCGAGTTGCTGTGTTGTCTGCTGAGCTTATGTTTAACTTTTTAAGAAACTGCCAAATGGTTTTCCACATTGGCCCGACCATTTTACATTCCTCCTGGCAACGTAGAGGTTCTAGCTTCTCCACATCCTTGTCGACTCTTGTTATTGTCGTCATTGTTTTGAATACAGCCGTTCCTAGTGAGTGATATCATGGTTTTAATTTGCATTTGTCTAACGACTCATAATCTCAAGCATCTTTTCATGTGCTTACTTTCTATCTTATTTGGCAAAATGTCTGTTTAAATGTTTTGCCTGTTAAAGAAAAATAGTGGTGTTTATCTTGTTGAATTATAAGTATTCTTTATATATTCTGGATACAAGTCTTTTATGAGATATGTGATTTGCAAATATCTTCTTCCAGACTGTATCTTGTCTTTTGGTTTTTACTAATGGTGTCTTTTGAAGTGCAAAAATGTTAAATTTTGATGAAACCTAGTCTAGACTTGAAAATATAAATGTATCTTCTTTCTGAAGAATTTCATTCTGTGTAACATCCTTGTGTGAATCATCTGACTTTTTATGATTTTTTTGATATCCAGAGTCTACTTGCCTAAGTTATTTTTACTAAGAATTTTGCACAGCCAGGAAGGCCTGTTGGAATGGATGAGCGGGTCTATGCTGTGTTAATAATAGTCCAGATACTAGCTAGAATAATCCCTCAAACTTCACACTTCTGATCTTCTTCCTCGGGAAGTATGATGTTGACCTTTGAGAGCAGGATCTTATTCCGTCATTCATGGTCCTGGGTGCTGTTGGCAGCTTTCTCCTGGGAGGCCTCCTGTCTGTGGCTGGAGCTGTTGGCGGCTCATATTCTCAGCATTACACCTTGCAAGTGGGCTGCTCGCCTGGATGTGGCAAGAGGGTCAAGTACAGAGTGCACCCCCCTCTGATGTTTTAAGGCTCGAATAACATTTTGCTTGACAATTGCAGGTGAAGGACTTAACAAAATACTTGGACCCCGGCGGGCTTGGTGTGATCAGTTTTGAGGACTTCTACCGAGGGATCGCTGCCATCAGGAACGGAGGTCAGTCCCCCCATCGTGTGTTTCCTTCTCCTGGCGTCCTTTGTTTGAGCCCTCGCCTCGCTGTGCCCTCAGCCACCCTTAGGAAGCCCCTTCCTCCTCAGGCTCCTTTGGTTGGGCTTAACGTCTTCCCTTCACCTCCAAGCCCCTAAAGCACCCACCCTGGTTTCAGGTGCACTCTCCCTGTTTGCTCCTCACACACCCTATCTCCCAGAACTAACTCAGCCTGTTGCCCACGATGTTAGAAAGCTGTTGCCCCTTTGGCGGACATGCCAGGGTACTGAAAGGGTTACACATGAGCACCTGCACGAGCACTGCTGTTGGTGTTCCGCAGGCCATATGCAGTTGCATTACGTTCTCGCAGACCTGTCCACACTCCGCCTGGACAACAAAGCCAACCTTTTTTTTTTTTTTTTTTTGATGGTTTGCATTTCAAATCATGAACTCCCATACACTTTACCATAAACGGTTTAGCATGTGTGCCAGTCATTACCTAGAGTTTAGTATTTGTGGTTTTACTTTGAGTAAAAATTTACGTATGTTAAATGCACAAATCTTAAGTAAATCGTAAGTCATTCTGTGAATTTTGTCAAATTCTTAGTGCCTAGTAATGGAAATGCCTGCCAAGTGTCAGCATCACCACAGACCATTCCCTCACGGCCTTCACGTGGCCCCTCCCTTATCTCTACACCATCTTGGCTGATTTTCATCACCCGAGATCAGTTTTGCCTCTCGTGGGCTTCTTTCACACAAAGGGCGTCGTTGGTATGGGCTCTTACACGCAGCTTCTCCCTGTGGGTGGTGTTTTTGAGATTCATCCATGTTGCATGGACCAGAGTCTGCTTTTTGATGCAGAGCACTGTTCCATTGTATGTTTGTACCACATTTTGTTTATCTGTTGCCCAGGGGGTAGCCTCTTGTTTGGGGGCTCATGTGTTTCCAGGTTGGAGCTGTTACGAATAAAGCTAGTGACATCTGTCTTTGTGTGGACACATGTTTTCATGCTTTTGGGGCCTGTACACAGGTTGGGATGGCTGGTTTTGTGGGTGTAAGCTTAGTATCTTACACTCTTACACTCTCCCTGGTGCCTGTCCACTGCCTCTTCACTTCAAATTCTGGAGCTCTGGAGAGCCCCCTTTTCCTCATGCCCCAGTTCCAGCCCGGGGTGTTGGGGCTGATGGTGGCAGAAAGGCACTGGTTGCACGCTCTTCCCTTCTTCCTGCCCTTGTCAGAGCTGCAGGACCTGGGCAGGACCTGCAGTGGCCGGGTCAGGGATGCCCTTAGATCTGCAGTCATATCAGCACTTGTTGGTAGAGTCCCTATTTCATCTGTTCCCTGTCTGTCTGCTGTGTCACCCAGCAGTGTCCCAGAGGGGCTGGGTTTCCTAAAACACTGAGCCCAGGTGCCTGAGGTGCACTCTGTGTTTCCTGACCCATGTGACCCTTTGCTCTTCACCCAGTGGGCCCACACATATGTGAGTACCAGCATAGCCCGGCGACCTGGTGCAGAGCTCCCATCAAAGGAAGGACTGTCAGTGTGGCGGGTGGGGGCTGTGCCATAGAACCCTGTAGACCAGCTCCAGGGAGGAGCCCCCTGCGAGGGGGGCTGGACTGAGGTCTGGTCCAAGTGGTGGAGCTGTCCTGAGGCCAGTATGATGAGCATGGCTGAGCCTGGGGATGGAGAGGCTATGGTGAGGGCGCCACCACCTGCTGGGCAGGTGGGGCCTGGGGAGAGACCTGTAGAGTGGGTGGGGCAGGAGACCCTCTGGGAGGTGGTACTGGCAGGGGATGGGTGATGTGGGTAATGCCATGTGGGCATTGGGATGAGGAAGAGAGCCTTTGGATGACCTCTGAGGTTTGAGGCTTAGAGTCCCATTCCCGTGTCTGTATCCTTGTGGCTGATACGTTGTAATCTTTAGGTGATTTTCGGAGGTTATAAAGTTATTTAAGCCTTCATGCTTTTGCAGAAGATTTCCCTGGCGGCTTCATGCAAGTTTTGGCCTCTGCTCAATCTCCAGTGCCTTTGGTGGCTTCCTAAATGGAGCACATCCTCAGGACCTCCCTTGGCTATGGCACCTATGCCCAGGACCCTTGGGATGGCTTTGTTCCCCAGCAACTTCTGTCAGTTAACGTGTGCGAAACTCAGCATATACTGTTTTCTCTTAGTTTTAAAATCCATTGTGATTTCTGACTCATCTGTTGTTCACAAGTTCTTTTAATTTCTAAATGTTTTTTAAAGCTTTGTCATTAATTTCAAGCCTCATTGTGTGTGATAGAGAATGGAATCTCTGTGTTCATTCTCTGGTGTTTGTTGAGTTTGTTTTGTGGTCTGCGGCACGGCCAGATTTTACACGTGCAGTGAGCGTGCCTAACAGTGCTTACCTACCCGCTAGTGGAGGTACACGGGCTCTTTTTTTTTTTTAAATATTTATTTATTTATTATTTATGATAGACATAGAGAGAGAGAGAGAGAGAGAGAGAGAGAGAGAGAGACAGACAGACACAGGAGGAGGGAGAAGCAGGCTCCATGCCAGGAGCCTGATGCGGGACTCGATCCCGGGACTCCAGGATCGCGCCCTGGGCCAAAGGCAGGCGCTAAACCACTAAGCCACCCAGGGATCCCCAGTACACGGGCTCTTACGTGCACACCTCGAGCCTCACCACATTTGTCTGTGTGGCCTCAGTCATGGGGGAGACACGTCTCCATAAAGGCAATGGCATCATTACTTTTCTACAGCTTTATTTCACCTTCATGCTCACATGACTGACCGGCCAGGTGGAGGCTTCTAGGTCAATGGTGATCGAACCTGGAGCTCCCCCTGAACTGGGGGGGCATCAGAGAAGCCTTCACAGCTCTGCTTGACAGGCTAGGGATGGGAAGGTGACAGATGCATAGAGGCCAAGCCTAAGATACCAGAAAGCAATTACTATTACTATTACTATAGCAATTACTATTGCCAGGAGAAACAAGAGGCTGAAAAAGAGGGAAAATGTCCTTCTAGAATACGCCGTGGCTGGTAATGAGTGCTATTTTATGTAGGCATTATAATTAAACAAATTGAATATTTATGTAACCAAAGATTAGACTTAGCTATTTTGGAAGGTTGGGGGAGGGAAAGTGGGGAAGGGTATGCTGAAATCTCAGGTACTATACCAGGTTGCCAGTAGAAAAATCTAGAATCCAGAAACTAATGGGAACTACTTAGAAACAGTCCTTAGAAGGACGAGGACGACTGGCTAAGGGTGCGAGGACTGCCTCTTGCTGCTCTCGGCCTGTCAGCACTGGTTCACTCTCCAGCTATGGGAGGGATGATGGGTGCCCCATGGGTTTGTCGTGACTGCTCCTCATTACCAACAGGAACCCATTTCCCTGGGTGACCACAGAAACAGAACTAGTGACCTGCTGGCCACAGAACACTGGCCTTGCCTGTCAGGCAGGTGGCTTGTGCGCAGCATTACCGGTAGGTCAGCAGCATCTGTGTCTCTGGGTCTGAAACCACGGAGCCAGAGGGCGAGAGTGGGCTTCCCTGGGTTGAGGGAGTTGAGGAATCCAGATTCCTCTGAAGGGTCATGGCTGGGAGCAGCAGTGGCAGCTGGTCCTGGGGGCATGGGCAGGAAAGAGCCCAGGGTGGTGGCCAGCTAGACGGCTGGTGCCATCGTGTGGCTCAGGCCTTCTCCGCCGAAGTCCACAGTCCTGTTTGCAGGCTGGTGGCAAGTCTGTTCCGCAGTAGCGTGGTTCATGCACACTGAAGCTCAACTGTGGGGTCCCCAGGTGGTCATGACCTGGGAGTCTGCAGGTGCTCCTGGACGGCTTGGGGCCCGCTACTGTATGACACTCTCTGGCCTTGGATGCCTGCTGAGGCTGGTTCTTATCTGTGGGCTGCTGGCTGTCACCCTACGTGGCTGTCTTGTGGGTCACATGTGTCCTGAAGTTGAGTGACTTAAGGAGCATCAGTCTGGTGAGAGGACAGACTGTCTCCTTGAGTCCTCATCTCACCCTAACTCACTGAGACTCACAGGCCTCCCTGCAGCCTCCAAACCTGCCAGGGTGCCACACCCAGGCACCCCCCCCCCAACCTCCATTTACACCCACCACTCCTCCTCCCTCCTCCTTGCCTTGTGTGGGTCATTCCCCCTTCTGTCCGTTCCAGGGGTTGGCAGAGGGGGGCCACAAGGCGAGGCCCTGGGAGAGGTCCTGGGCGGTGCCTGAGAGGAGCTCCCAGGGCTCTTTGTCTCCATCCAGAGCTTGCTCTGGCCTGCTCTCCCCTTTATTTTATTATTTTATTTTATTTTATTTTATTTATTTTATTTATTTTTTGCTAAAGATTTTATTTATTTTTAAGATTTTTTTTAATTTATTTATTCATAGACACAGAGAGAGAGAAGCAGAGACACAGGCAGAGGGAGAAGCAGGCTCCATGCAAGTAGCCTGATGTGGGACTCGATCCCGGGTCTCCAGGATCACACCCCAGGCTGCAGGTGGCGCCAAACCGCTGCGCCACTGGGGCTGCCCCTATTTATTTATTCTTGACACACACAAAGAGAGGCAGAGACACAGGCAGAGGGAGAAGCAGGCTCCATGCAGGGAGCCTGATATGGGACTCGATCCCGGGACTCAAGGATCATGCCCTGGGCCGAAGGCAGTTGCTCACCTGCTGATCCCCCCCAGGTGCCCCTATTTCATTTTATTTTTGTGTCCATATAAGTTTTCTTTCTTTACAGTTTTGGAATCTAGTTTCTTGTAACAAATAGACCAAAAGTACACCCAGGATCTGGTGTATTGCTCTGTTCTGTTCTCCTGTCTGGTTATATTCTCTCTCTCTCCTTTTTTTCCAGTTTATAATCTCTTCTGATTTGTTTGGTGTATATTTCTCTGGGGTCGTTGTTGCTGTTTTAGTGTTTTGTTCTCTTGTTTGTTTTTTTTAAGGTTCGTTTGTTTTTTAAAAATATTTTATGTATTTATTCATGAGAGACACAGAGAGGCAGAGACACAGGCAGAGGGAGAAGCAGGCTCCATGCAGGGAGCCCAAAGCGGAACTCGATCCTGGGACCCTGGATCATACCCTGAGCCAAAGGCAGAAGCTCAGCCACGGAGCCCCCCAAGTGCCCCTGTTTTCTTGTTCATCTATTCTTCTCTGGACAAAATGACAAGATGGAAATGCTGTGTTTTTTCTGTGGCAAGAACATTTTGGAATAGACGTGTCCCTGGAGGGTGAGGCTTGGTCTCCTCGTGATGCCACATTGCAGGTGGTGTCCCCTCCCTTGAATTTAGTCTGTGTGGGGCAGACCCCTGCTCCTGAAGTGGGGTGACAGGCCCTGGACCCTGAGTGACAGTCTGCTGCTGGGGTGCATGACAGGGGGGCTCTGTCCAGTGGCTGGGCTCAGGGGTTGCAGTACTGAGAGCTTGGAGCAGAGTGGATGAGGGCCACAGCAGAGGGAGGGCCCAGATGTGGCCCGTGAGGACTGTGGGCACAGACACTGCAGAGCCAGAGTGTTCCAGGGACACAGCACGGCATCCCCTGCCTTCAGCAGCTGGCTTTCTAGTGGAGGAGAGCCCACAGAAAATGAGGCAGGGCCCCCTACGGGAGGTGACAGGAGCTTGGTAGGAGGGTGAAGCAGCGGTGGGGGTGCCTGGGCATGCACCCTGGCATGTTTGGGGGCTGCAGGGAGGCCAGTGTGTCCAGGTTAGGTCTCTGGGGTCAGAAGGTATAGGTGAGGGTACTGGGGTCACAGAAGGCTGTGGGCAGCGAGGGAAGACTTGGGTTTCTCCACAGGGTGGGTGAGTGGCCCCTGGGCTCAGGACCATAGCCTGGAGTGGGCACGACGTGCTGGGCCTCCAGGTGGGGCAGGCCGTGCTGCTGGGGCCTCCCCGCTGGTCTTGGACATGCTGCCAGGTGGGCTCGGGGCTTCAGGCTTTGTTTTTCTTTTTTTCTGTAGTTTGATTTCATCATTTACTTTGGTCAGGAAAGGAGAGTGGAAATAAAACTAAAATAAGAGCAAGTCAGATGTGATGTTGAAATTGGTGTTTGATAGCATTTGGGAGAGTGGAGCTCCGCTGGAGCTCGCTTGGGGTCCTCCTCCAGTGCGGGCAGCCTGTGTTGGCGGGCACGCTTGCTCCACACCCAGGAGCGACACAGCAAGGGCCGTGGCGTGTTGACCCAGTTGGCAGCGAAGCGCGGGGAGATTTTCGCTGTCATACCACAGGCCTTATTTCAGGAATAGAATAAGTTGGTGGGGGAGGATTGCTACAAATAGGCCAGCGAGCTGGCCACCCCCACACTCTGGAAGAGTAAGATACTTGCACATTAAAAATGTCCGCTTCACCGAGAATTGTTTTCGTTCAGATAGAGCAAGCTAACAGGAGAATCCTGTTCAGTTCCCACTGGGAGGGCAAAGCTGCTGCGATGACCACGTGCCCCTGTTCACAATGTGGGACAAAACTCCTTGGCCCCTTGTCCCCCTCGAGGCTGAGCACACTTCCAGCACAGCAAACATGGTCGGCTGCATTTTGAGACCTTTGATTCTCTGCCTCGGGTTTTTGAAGGGCAAGGAAGACCGTTAACATTCGAGAGGGAAAAATAGGCCAAAGACTGTTGGTCTTCTTAGCCACGCGTGCAGTCTCGAACTGCACCAGCGCAGTCGGTGCTCTCCAGCTCCTCGCCCCGAGCTCTGGCGCAGGGACGGCGGCCCACCAGCTTGCAGGCTGCTTCTCGCCTGCTGCGTGGGTCCCACTCGGGCGCCTAGCCACGCTCCTGGGGAGAACGGTTCCACCGCGACAAGTACCTGTGGTTCTTAGAGCAAAGGCCACATCGGGGTTTGGCATAAGGGCTGTAGTCACTGCCGCAGCGTGGTTTGGAGCTGCCAAGGCATCTCACAGTTGCCGAGGATGTCAGCGTTTGGATTTACACAGTCGTCAAAGGAAAGGGTTGGTACTCTGTTCAAGTTGAGTCCTTTAGAAACAGGCGGAGGAGCCACGTGTCCTGCCACTGCTTGGTGGCGAAGGTCCCTCCCCCAGTCTCCCGGCTCTTGGTGCCCGGAGAGCCCGGTGGGGCTCCTGAGGGCAGTCAGCAGTGTTTTCCCACGTGCTGCAGCTGCCAGACAAGAACGTCTTCCGGCTCAGTCAGGACAGGGCGCAGCTCTTGATGTGGGGCGGGCACAGGGCATACTTAGGAGGAGTCAAGCGAGGGACTGCTGGCTACGTGACGTACATTAGGTAAGTAAGTGGTGTATTCTGAGAAAGCAGTTGCTCCGTGGCCTGTGTTCGGCTGCCAACACTGACACCCAGTGTGTGGGTTTTCAGCACCAAGCAGTTGTCCAGTTTTCTGGGGACACCAGTTAGGGTCCCACGATGTAATCTGTGACCCCAGTTGTGGGGGGTTAGGGAAGACCCCACTTCAGGTGCTGAGGCCACCCACACTTCTGTCCGACTTGCCAGTGGATCCGGGGCCCCCAGGGCCCCTCCTTAGGCTTGATCATTTGCTGTCATGGCTCATGGAACCCAGGGAAACACTTTACTTACCTTTAGCAGTTTGTTTCAAAGGTTACAGATGCATAGCCAGCGGAGGTCTCACTGGGTGAGGTCTGGAAGTGTCTGGAACACAGGGGCTTCTGCTCCTGTGGAGTTCAGGTTGTACCACCCTCCCGGCACCTCCATGTGTTCCCGCCTGAGGCTCCCAAACCCCTGCACATCGGGCTTCTGTGCAGGCCCCGTGGTTGACCAGGCCCCTGGTGGTGGGCGGGGTGTGCAGCCTTCTGATCCCACGTTGGGTCCCCTGGCCACCAGCCCACAAGCTCTGAGAGTCACGTGGTTGCTGTGAACCCAGGTAAGGGGGCAAGGGGCTTGTTCTGCTCCCTGGCAGCCCTGACCCTCAGGAACTTCCCAGGAGGCAGGACGGGGAGCACAAAAACACTTCTCCTGGGGCGGCAGCCCCGTGACACAACATCGGGAAGCAGGCGGCGTCTGTTGCTCCCCTGCTCTCCGGCACGGGCTGTGCCCGGACAGCGCCCCACACACGGTGGACGTGGCTTCTCCTGCAGGCCTGCGGCTGTGAGGACTGATCGTGCCCAAGAACTGATGTGTGTGTTGCTCACGTCACACTTGAAGTCTGCCCGTTGTGAAGGGCTTTCCTTATATGAAATGTTGATCGCAGAAAATAAAGTTAAACAAAAACAAAGGATGTAAAAGCCGCCAGCGAGTCCAGCACCAGGACGAGACGCTATGTTGGTTTGTTTCATACCCACATCTCCCCAAACACAAAGTTTTAAAAAATTTAAGTCTGGGTACCTTAATACTTTTTAAAGTCCATGAACATGTTACAGATTTGAGATCCTGCTCCCTCTCTTTACAATGCTGTTTACTTAATTAATTACTTAAAATATTTATTTATTTTACAGAGATTGGTGGGGGGAGGGGCAGAGGGAGAGAGCCTCCCAAGCAGACTTCTCGCTGAGAGTGGGGCCCGACACGGGGCTCGATTCCAGGGCCCTGGGATCATGACCTGAGCTGAAATCACGTCGGATGCTTACCTGACTGAGCCTCCCGGGTGCCCCAGTGCTGTCAGGGCTTTTAGAGAAACAAACACTTTACCATTGAGCCTGCACACCTGCTCTGGAGGCGGGGCCTGCCCTCCTGTCCTAACCGTGCCACTGCCTCCTCCAGGCTTCTCGGGGGCCGGCCAGAGCCCCCGCTAGCGTTTACCACCCCGGCGCCTCCCCCCTTGGCCTCTGGGGGTGCTCTGGGTTCCCTGCTCAGTACGGGTCTTCTCTCCTGCAGAGTCCGATGGCCAGCTGTGCGGGGTCGCACCTGCCCAGGACGAGGAGCCGCCCGCCTGCCCCGATGAGTTCGACGACTTCGTTACCTTTGAGGCAAGTGGTACTTACCGAGGGGCCGAAAGGGAGTTTGACGTGACTGTCTTTCCGTATGGCCACTTAGTCATGCCCCGGCCGTTTCTGCAGGAAGTGGCAGGGAGGGCAGGGCAGGGCTCCCCGTGCAGCTCGTGCATACCACTGGGAGCTCTGGGGGCTCCACTGCTGCCCACCTGAGACCTGTTGTCAGCACAGGGATGGGCGGGGGTCTAAGGGCTCTGCAGTGGTGTTGCTGTCACCTTCTCTGCCAAGCAAAGCCAGAGCTGGGGACGTGCTGTGAAGTTTTTGTTTTACCAAATTTCAAATCATCTTCTGAGTTTAGGGACTTCTAACACCTCATGCTTCTTTGCCACCTGCCCCCACAGTTGCTATGACTACATGGTGTGACCTAGAATTGTGGGCTTTTTGTTGTCTGCACGGCAAGGAGGAGGTCTGTGAGCACAGCCATGAGGACAGACCACACCGTTGTGTCCCACCAGTTGGAGGGGTGGGCAGGTGCCAAGATAGCCCGTGTGGGTGGACCTGGAATTTTTACTTATTAAAAATACACATTAGGGGATCCCTGGGTGGCTCAGCGGTTTAGTGCCTGCCTTTGGCCTAGGGCGTGATCCTGGAGTCCCGGGATGGAGTCCCACGTCGGGCTTCCGGCATGGAGCCTGCTTTTCCCTCCTCCTGTGTCTCTGCCTCTCTCTCTTTCTGTTTGTCTCTCATAGATAAATAAATAAAAATCTTAAAAAAAAAATACACATGAGAAACTCCGGAGCACCTCAGAAGCTGTTGCCCAGGGAACAGAGCTGGACTTGGCACAGTGGCTGTGAGCCTTAGCACTTTGGAGGGACAAGGGTTGGGTTGCCTAGAGCAGCTTCTCAAAGTCCACAGCTGTTCACTGCCTCCCTCTGGGGTCTAGTGTCCCCACTGAGGGGGCTGCTCCACGTAGTGGTCAGCTCAGATAACGTGGATTCACCTTCTGACTGTCCTTTCTGGTGGCACAGATGTTGGGGCCGCTGAGGACCCTTCAGCACTCACAGCTTTGTCCCAAAGCACAGGCCAGGCCTCAGCTCCCCAAGGCATCCTGTTGAGCGAGGATGGTGTATTCATTCTGTGTGTGTGACCTGAGGGTGCCAGGCCCTGTCCTGGCGTTGGAGGTGTGGTGCTGACCAGGGCACGTGTGGCTGGATGGCGGCTGGTGTGTGCAGGACTCTGGTGTGTCACCTGTGAGATGAACTGCCAGACCCTGTGATGGAGGGAGGCTGCCGCCCTGAGCAGAGGAGGGCAAGGTGGGGAAGTATGTGCAGCGTGACACACCTCGCATTTTCCAGGAATGCAAGTTAGGTCAGGGGAATCCTCCTTTCCTTGATCGGAGTACCTGGGGGGTCGAGACACTCCATGCAGACACTTGTTTAGTGAGCATTGGACCTTTGTTTCCCCTCCCCGCAGAACCTGGCCTGAGCATCTGCAGCACCATCTTCCGCTCCCTCCCTTGCTCAGGTTTCTGCTAGGGCATCGTATCAGTTTTTCACACGTTATGTGGAGGTGGGTGTCGCTGAATGGTAGTCTCCCAAAAGATAGGATCCCTCGGAACCTGTGAACATGACCTTACTTGAAGAAAGGGTCCTTGCAAATGTCATCAAGGACGTCAGGACGAAATCATGCTGGTAGGAGTCTGGGCCCTGAATGCAATGACAGGAGAGAGGAGGAGACACGCGGGAGCCCTGCGACGGAGCAGCGGAGGGCTGCCCGGGGCCACCAGCAGCCGCACCAGGCAGGAGAGGGCCCCTGGAAGGGCCTGCCGACACCGTGGCCTCGGCCTCGTGGCCTCAGCAGCTCTGAGAGGATAAACCTCTGTGGTTGTAAACCCCAGCTGCCGTCCCCCGTTGCAGCAGCGCTGGACACTGACACGGGGCCGGTCCCTTCCACGGCGACACTGACAGCCGCCTGCACGCAGGGGCAGCTGCGTGCACCTCGGTGGAACTGTGCCTGCGCCCACCCGGAACTCTGGTGGCCAGCCTTGGGCAAAGGGGGTCCTCTGGGCACACCCGGAGCAGACGCCCAGGTCAGCCTCTGTGCTAGTGCAAGGAGGGGCGCCCATGCCCTGTTGTGGCATCCTGGCGGCAGCCCAGGCTGGCCGTGAGCCCCATTTCCCCCCACGTGTAAACTCTAGCATTGCACACGGGAAACATACGGTAAATACTCACTAATGATGATGATGAAACAAACTGCAGGTGTGAGAGCAGGTGCATAGAGGAGGCAGGCACAGGGTTGTCTCCAGGGCCCTCGTGTGTGCGTGTGTGATGCCAGGACCTCCAGTCAGAGTTCCTGACCCAGACACTGTCTCCGGGGACGGGGGCCCTGAGGCTTCGAAACCGGGTGGACGTGGGTGCACGCATTGTCCCCACTTTTGGGGTCACCTTGGGGCAGCGGATTTAGGGAGATTCAGACTCTAGCCCCTCCTGTCCTCTGTGCAGACTGAGCCCTGAGGCCACAAGGCTGTGGCCCCCCCGCCTCTGGTGCCCTCCAGGGGCCAGCTCCCACCTTGATCTTGTCACCTGCCACTTCCAGAAAGCACACTAGGAAGTCAGTGTTTCAGAGAATGCAAAAGGGATACTTCTGATTCTTTTTCAGAAAGGAGAAAATATTTTCTAAGTTTTTGTTGTTACTTTTGAAAAATAATTAATACTTTATATTTGAGCAGTTTTACCCTCTCAGAAAATGGAGCATACAGTATGGAGAGTTCTCACTCTCCTCGCTGCCCCCCTGACACACATATCACGGTTCTCTCCATCATGAGCGTCTTGCATTAATTAGTGTGGTGCATTAGTTATAACTGCTGATCCAGGATCGATACATTGTTGTTAACGAAAGCCTGTAGTTTAGTTTTTAATTAATTTATTTATTCATGAGAGACACGGAGAGTGGCAGAGACAGGCAGAGGGAGAAGCAGGCTCCATGCAGGGAGCCTGACATGGGACTCGATCCCAGGACCCCGGGATCACGACCTGGGCTGAAGGCGGTGCTAGCCATCCAGGGACCCCCAAGCCTGTAGTTTACATTAGGGCTCCCTCTTGGTGTTGTGCATTCTGTGGGGGTTTTTATTATAATTTTTAAAAAGATTTTATTTTTTATGTATTTTAGCAAGAGCGTGCACACACACAGACAGGTGGGAGGGGCCAGATGGAGAGGGCGAAGCAGACTCCCCGCTGAGCAGGGCCCCCACGTGGGGCTTGATGCAGGGCTCGATCCCAGGACCCCAAGGTCATGACCGGAGCTGGGGGTGGACACTGCACCGGCCGAGCCACCCGGGTGCCCCATGCATTCTGTGGGCTTTAGCGAGTGTACAAGCTCACGTGTTCATCATGTAGTGTTGCGCAGGGAAGCCTCCATTCGACACCTCTGCTCCTGTGCTCATCCCTCCCTCACTGCCAGCACCTGCAGCAGCTGGTCTTTGGCTGTAGTTTTGCCTCTTCCAGAATGTCGCAGAGTCGGAAGCCTGTGAGTGGCCTTTGCTGATTGGCTTCTGTTGCTTCATCATGTGCACTGAAGGCTCTTCCTTGTCTTTTTTTTTTTTTAATTTTATTTATTTATTCATGAGGTAGAGAGAGAGAGAGGCAGGGACACAGGCAGAGGGAGAAGCAGGCTCCATGCAGGGAGCCCAATGCAGGACTTGATCCCGGGTCTCCAGGTTCAGGCCCTGGGCTGATGGCGGCGCTAAACCGCTGAGCCACCCGGGCTGTCTTCTTCCTTGTCTTTTTATGCTTTTTAGGATCTTCAGCTGTGACTTTGAGGGGATCGGAACCAGGTACTGTGAAACTCGTAGAGAGAGAGTCCTTTAGAGAAGCTTGCACATCATGTTATCTTGAAAGTTCAGTAAAAATATGGGTGGGGAGCACGTGCGTTACGCCCACGTCTCCCATCTGGGGACCCTGCGGCGGGGATCTTCAGACCTACGTGAGCCCATATTGACTCCCTGGGAGAACACACAATAGTGTGGGTCAGTGGACCCTTGCCCTCCGCGGCTGGGGGCTCCTGGGTCCTCCTGCTTCCTGATGGCTCCTTGGGGGGACACCTGCTGGGAGGTACTGATGGGTGCAGGGCCCAGCCCACGTCTCAGAGTTGCTGACGGGCATCGGGAGGGTCACGGAGAACAGTACTGGCAGAGATGATCAGCACCGTCCCGCTGTGCCTTCTCGGCCCCTCCTCCTCCTCCTCCTCCTCCTCCTCCTCCTCCTCCTCCTCCTCCTCCCCCGAGGCCTCCAGAGCAAAGGGCCGCCTCGGTACAGGGACGGGGCCTGGGGATGGGGCCTGTGTCTTGTGTGCAGACTGTCACAGCAGAGCTTTGGCAGTCAGCGGAAGCCCCTGCTCTGAGGTCTGTTTTGGAGCTGACAAGGACATTTCCTGAACTTTGCGCGCGGCTGCGCGCCCCCCCCCCCGCCCCCCCCCCCCCCCCCCCCCCCGTCCGTGCAGCAGGAGGTTTAATGGAGTGTGTCTGGGAGCAGGTTAAACTTTCTCCAAGGCTGTGATGGGCCTTCAGGTGAACGTGCCGGTTTTGCCTAAACACCAGCAAACTGGCAGATAGGCCGCGTGGCTGGCCGCGGAAGCTGGTGGCTGGTGGCCGGGCCGGACGGCGTGCCCAGCAGTTGCCGGAGCGTGGGGCGTGGCGCCGAGGGCAGGGAGCGGAGCTTCCCAAGGGCCCGGCCGGGTGGGCTCCTGCCATGGCCCGGGCTGCCACCTCGCCTGCCAACACGCCCTTGGTAAGCCCGGAAGATCACGTTTGCTCGGGGCAGCAGTGTTTCACGTGTGCTTTGGTTTTCCAGGGAGTTCGTCCTAATGTCTTTAATTTGTAAATAATTTTAAAGTTGACAGCACAGACTGACTTCAGGGCAGAGCCGGGTCCTGTGTGGTGGCGGGTGCGGGCTGGTGCATTGGGCTGGGCGTCGAGGCCACCTCGGCCGCTCTTGAAAAGCCAGCTGCTCTGTGAAACTGCCTGGCCGCTGGCGTTTGTGCAGGGCAGCCGGTGTCGGCGGAGCAGCACCGGGCAAGGGGGCAGCACTCGTGGCGCCAGCGGCTCCTGAGCCGGACCCTGCGCCCTCCGGCTCCCACTGCTCAGCTCCCCGGGGGACGGGTGTGGGAGCAGTGGCGCGGGCGGGACCGCTCTGTAATTTGGGGCCAACTAAGGGTTAGTGCAAACCTGACGCCTTGGTGAGGCGGGAGCAGCGCTCATCTATTCCTCTGTGTGCAGCAGCAGCTTTGCTTCAGGGGTGAGGAGCCAGAGGCAGGGGAGCACCACCCCGCTCAGCTGTTCAAGGCCCGTGAGTTGCCCAGAAGGGAATGCGTGCCACGGCTGTGTCACTGGTCCGTCGGCAGAGAGTAACTCGCACCTGAGCTGTCCGGCGTGCACTGCAGCCCGGCCCCAGCTGTGTGATGCAGGTGCGCCCCTTGCCGTGAGGTCGGCAGGCCCCGGGGCCAGGCCTCGGTTCCGGGCTGCGTTGGCCTAACCTGCCGCACACCCTGGGCTGCGGGTCACGGGCCCAGGGTCCACACCGCCGGGGTGGGGAGCATTGTGCTCTTCAGAGGCACTGGTCGATTAGCCTTTCAGAGGCTGACCTCGAGACTTAAGTTCTCTTCACCAGGAAATCATCTCAGGGTCCCTGATGGGCCTGCTGGGTGAGGATTGGGGGGTGTGGGGCTGAGCGGTTGAGGAGCGAGGGCTGCCCTGGGCTGTCCTGCAGGCAGCGGGCTGTGGGGTGGGCGTCCTCTCCATCCTTGGGCGATTCGAGGCGGCACCCGATGTGCCCAGCGAACCAGCAGCCGTCCCCCAGCAGACATCAAGGACTGGTGGGGGATTTAGTTCCTGTCCTGTTGTGCTGCTTCTGCGGGCCCTGCCCCTGACATCCCAGTGCCTGCCTCACACTGCATGGCAGCAGGTGACACCCGCTCGGTGATGTTGAGGCTCTGTAAGAATTTCCTGGCTTCAGATTTTGAAGTGAGTAGTTTTGAGGGGTTCCTCAGTTGCCTTAGAGTCCAAGGAAGACGGGGTCTTCCCGTGGAGACAGGTAACACCACTGAACATCTGCACCGCCTCTTGTCATTCATTTCATCCTGGCTGCACACAGCTGGGGCCGTGAGCCCACGGTCTTCCACGTTTCTCTCCGTACCTCCCTGTCTCTCGATCGCACTCCCATTTTATAGATGAGGCAAAAGGGCTTGGAGCGGTGGGGACCCAGTGTGGGGTCACAGGGCTGGCAGTGGATGGAGGATGGACCCTGGGCTGTCATTGTCACGCTAGGATCCCACCAGCCCGGCCTGGGCCTTCACGCCCCCTGGTGAGGCGAGGAGCCATGGGGCTGCAGCCAGGAGAGCCCCGCAGAGTTAGGGGAGGAGCGGTTACCTCAGGATGACAGGACACAATGCACTCTTCTCCAGCCACTTTTCTGGAATCTTACCTGGGTTTTTGTGTGTGTGTGTTTGGTTTTATTTACTTATTCATGAGACAGAGGGAGGCAGAGACCCAGGCAGAGGGAGAAGCAGGCTCCATGCAGGGAGCCCGGTGCAGGACTCGATCTAGGACCCTGGGGTCACGACCTGGGCTGAAGGCAGACATTCCACCGCTGAGCCACCCAGGTGTCCCTCTTACCTGTTTTCATGTTGTTAATCTCAGACTTTATTTTTTTTAAGATTTTATTTTTTTAATCATGAGAGAGAGAGAGAGAGAGAGAGAGAGAGAGAGAGAGAGAGAGAGGGGCAGAGACACAGGCAGAGGGAGAAGCAGGCTCCATGCTGGGAGCCCAACATGGGACTCCATCCCGAGACTCCAGGATTGCGCCCTGGGCTGAAGGCGGCGCTAAACCACTGAGCCACCCAGGGATCCCAACTTCAGACTTTTGAGCCTGAACTGTTGGCCTCTTTCCATAACGAGCGCAACTGCATTGTAATTAAAGCTGAGACAATAAATTGAAAATGGCTTGATTCTTTGGGTTTGAGCCATTTGCACTGTGCTGCATGCCTGGCCCTGTGCTGGGCACAGGATCCAGAGAGTGAAAACAAAGATCGGTTTTGTGGAAGGTGGACCTTTAACCAGTGAACGAAATGCATTGGCTAAATAATCGATGAGCTAGTGAGTTGTGGTGAGACCCCGTGATTGAGTTTCCAAGCAGTAGCCTGAGCGTACATAACACATATTGATGGTGACTTTTTAACGAGCGTGTTCTTCTCCTGGTCTTTGGAGAGAACTAACTGCGGTGCTGGTGGTGACAACATGGGCGGGCTCACTGGAATTTATCATGTGCTGTTGCAGGTCTTCTCTCTGTTTTAGGTAGACCTATGTAACCAACTTTCAGAATTGCTCTCGTAGCTTTTCTGCTTTGGAACATGTGCCTGTGTTTCAGTATTTAAACATTGGATTCTTTTATAGGCTAACGTTTCTGCTCCCAGGTGTGGTTGGGAGCCTGCCGAGGCTGCCCCGCCACGTGGTCTCTAAGGTGCCTGCAGTAGGGCACGGTGTGGGGCATGGGGGCTTACTGACGCCTGGCTACTTTAGAGCGTGGTGCTGACTCTCAGCATTCTTCTCCTAGGCCAATGAGGTGACAGACAGTGCATACATGGGGTCTGAGAGCACCTACAGCGAGTGTGAGACCTTCACCGATGAGGACACGAGCACCCTGGTACACCCTGAGCTGCAGCCTGAGTGCTTGGACACCATGGAGGATCCCGGCCACGGTGCTCTGCTGCTGCTCCCGGGCAGGTCTGTAGGCTGGGTGTGGGCATGGCACAAGTATTGTTCGTAAGACACTGAGGGGATGTGTCCCGTGGGCACATTGGGTTTGTGGAGAGCTTGGAGTCAGCGGTGCAGAGTCCCTGGGGGACCTGAGGAGGATGGAGGCCCTGCGGCATGGCCTGTCGTGCTGGTATGAGCGCACGCCCACTGCCCTGAGCCCGCTCTCAACCACAGTGGACCTCTGTGTTGGGAGGTGCTCCTCCTGGTGACAGATACCCTGCTTGTACACACGGCACAGCTTCCTTGGCTGTAGGGAGAAGCTGGGTTCTGGGTTTCTCACTGAAGTTCTTAGAAACCAGGGCAGGACACCATATTCAGGGCACGTCTCCCAGCAGGATCTTGGAATCTGCTTATCCGGACCACATCCCTCCCCAGGTCTTCTTCCTGCCCCTGCTCCCCGGGTCCCCGGGTGTTTAAACACCTGCGAAGGGAGAGGGTGGGGTCCGACAGGTGCCGGGTGGCCTGCATGGCCCTGGGATGAGAGCCGGCAGTTTCCCTTGTGCTGTGTGGGAAGCCATCATGCCTCGCAGCCCTGCAAGTGGTTTGATTTTATTTCGTTTTGCTTATTTTATTTGATTTCCTTTCTTGTTTGGCCCTCACAGAGTTCTTGTGTTTTTTTCCTCATTAACGGCAGTATCACATGGTGACACGTGAGTGTAGCCGGTGTGGGACAGGCCTGCAGCCTCGCAGGTGCCCTGGCCCCTCAGGACCACACTGCCCGGCCCGGGTTGCGCCTCCGGTGGAGTGACCATACAGCACTGAGCATTTGCCTATTAAATCACTTTAGAGGGCGGCCCCGGTGGCGCAGTGGTTTGGCGCCACCTGCAGCTTGGGGTGTGATCCTGGAGACCCAGGATCGAGTCCCACATCGGGCTCCCTGCGTGGAACCTGCTTCTCCCTCTGCCTGTGTCTCTGCCTCTCTCTCTCTGTGTGTCTATGGATAAATAAATAAAATCTTTAAAAAATAAATAAATAAATAAATGACGTAAGAGGCAATCCTCACTGATAAGTTAGGGAATTTCAAGCGTACCAGTTTTTTTTTTTTTTAAGATCTTATTTATTTATTCATGAGAGACAGAGAGAGAGAGAGGCAGAGACACAGGCAGAGGGAGAAGCAGGCTCCATGCTAGGAGCCCGACGTGGGACTCGATCCCGGACTCCAGGATTGCGCTCTGCGCTGAAGGCAGGTGCTAAACCGCTGAGCTGCCCAGGGATCCCCCGCACTGTACCCTTTTTACAACCAGCTGCTTTCCCTTAATGTCGTGGCTGTTGAGGTCTGTCCCAGTATTTGTGCATGGCTGTCCGTCATTTGTTTTACTATTATCATTCTGTTGTATGAGGTGGGCTGTAGCTTTTTAATTCATTGCTGGTGGCCATCTGGGTGGTTCACTCTGGCTTTCTGCACAAAGCTGCTGCAAGCACCTCGTGTCTTGGTAGCCTGTCTGTCCCTGGGAAGGGGGTGGTGCTGCGTCTGCAGCATGCTTGTTGGGTTGTGGGAAAGGTACAGGCCAGCTTCTCGCAGGTGCTTACCTGCCAGCTGCCGGTGGGGTTCTGGTCACTCCCTTTCCTCAACCGCCTGCTCTGTGCTGCTTTTTTGAGTTCCTTTTCTTTCTTTCTTTCTTTCTTTCTTTTTTTTTTTTATTTATGATAGTCACAGAGAGAGAGAGAGAGGGGCAGAGACACAGGCAGAGGGAGAAGCAGGCTCCAGGGGGATCCCTGGGTGGCGCAGTGGTTTAGCGCCTGCCTTTGGCCCAGGGCATGATCCTGGAGACCCGGGATCGAATCCCACGTCGGGCTCCCGGTGCATGGAGCCTGCTTCTCCCTCTGCCTATGTCTCTGCATCTTTCTCTCTCTCTCTGTTTGTGACTATAATAAATAAATAAAAAAATTTAAAAAAAAAAAAAGAAGCAGGCTCCATGCACCGGGAGCCCGACGTGGGACTCGATCCCGGGTCTCCAGGATCGCGCCCTGGGCCAAAGGCAGGCGCCAAACCGCTGCGCCACCCAGGGATCCCTCGAGCTCCTTTTCTGGAGGGTGTGGAGTGTGGTGTTGCTGTGGGATGGTTCTTACTTGCATTTCCTGATTGAGTGCCTTTTTTTTGCATTTATTGCCCATTTCGAGATTCTTTTTTGTGAAGCGTGTGTTCAAGTCTTTTACCCATTTGTTTATTGCCGGGGTCTCCAGACTTCTACAAAAGGTCAGATAATAAGTATTTCTCTGGCTTGCAGGCTGTATGGTCTCAGTGGCTACTACGCAGGCTTTCCTGGTGAAGTGCAAGTGGTACGGCTCATGGCTGTGTCCCACTCTGACCTTACAAAAACAGGCCACGGTGGGATTGGACTTTTCCTGATCTATTGGGTTATCTTTTTCTTACTGATTTGTAGGAGCTCTTTATATATTTTGGATGTGGGTCTTCTCTCTGGTTTGTGAATTACAGGGATGTGTTTCCTGCTCCATAGGTCACCTTTTCACTTTCTTGCAGGTGTCTTTGAGGAACAGATGCTTTTAATTCTCCTATGGCCTGGTTTAGCCATTCTTCTTTTCTGGTTATCACCTCTGTATAGTTGTAGAAATCTTTGCTTACTTTATGTCACTATGATGTTCACGTTTGTTTTCCTTTAAAAGCTTTATTTTTTCATTTCTATATTCAGATCTGCAATTTCTCTGTGACTGATTTTTTTGTTGGGGTGTGAGGTAGGGGTCATTTCCCAAATGATTATCCAGTCGACTCAGCCTCAGTTTTGAAAAGATTCCTCCTTTCTTCGCTGTCTGGTATCACCTTGGTCCTGTGGCTGAGTGTGTGTCGCTGGGTTGGAAGCACGCACGCTGTGCTTTCTGTCCATTCTCGGATCAGCACAGTCTTTGTACTAGAGCGTGTTGTGGATTGAACTGTCTGTCAGTCCTCTAGCCTGGTTCCTGACACGCTGTGTTGGTGCCATTGGCCTTTTGCCTTTCCCTGTGGGCTTTTTAATTTTAATTTTTAATTTTTTATTTTTTTTAATTTTTTTTTAAAGATTTTATTTATTTATTCATGATAGTCACACACACAGAGAGAGAGAGAGGCAGAGACAGAGGCAGAGGGAGAAGCAGGCTCCATGCAGGGAGCCTGACGCGGGACTCGATCCCGGGTCTCCAGGATTGTGCCCTGGGCCAAAGGCAGGCGCTAAACCGCTGCGCCACCCAGGGATCCCCGCTTTTTAATTTTAAAATTATTTTTATTATATTTATGATTTTTTAAGATTTTTTTTTTATTCATGAGAGACACAGAGAGAGGCAGAGACACAGGCAGAGGGAGAAGCAGGCTCCATGCAGGGAGCTCGATGTGGGACTCCATCCTGGGACCTCAGGGTGATGGCCTGAGCCAAAGGCAGATGCTCCACCACTGACCCACCCAGGCGTCCCACACTGTGGGCTTTTTTTTTTTTTTAAGATTTTATTTATTTATTCATGAGAGACACAGAGAGAGAAAGAGGCAGAGACACAGGCGGCAGAGGAAGAAGCAGGCCCCATGCAGGGAACCCAATGTGGGACTCGATCCCAGGTCTCCAGAATCACGTTCGGGGCTAAAGGTGGCGCTAAACCACTGAGCCACCTGGGGTGTCCCCACTGAGCCACCTGGGCTGCCCCACTGTGGGCTTTAGAGTCAGCTTGTTGGCTTCTGGAGAAAGGCATCTGCAGGGATTATGGTTAGGGTTGTATTGATACAGATTAATTTGGGGAGAATCAACATCTTCATAATATCAGGTCTTCTAGTGTTTGAACAAAGATTTTTGCTTCATGTATTTGTTTGTTTGTTTATTTATTTATTTATTTAGGAGGGAGTGGGGAGGAGGGGAGAGGGGGAGAGAGAATCTCAAGCAGGCTCCACACTGAGTGCAGAGCTCGACACGGGACTCGATCCCATGACCCTGAGATCATGACCTGAGCTGAGACCAGGAGTCAGACACTTAGCCAACTCCATCGCCCAGGTGTCCTCATTTATATGTATGTAATCATATTTACAGATATGCTTCAGAGGATGGTATGAAGTGCTATGATCACCCCCATTTCAGTTCACTTGGATTTCATTGTAACTGAAAGCAGGTGTAAGACGATGGGATTTGTCTGTCGTGGCTTCAGGACTGCTCCAGGGGTGTGTGCATTTGTGGGTGGGAAGTTGGAACCAGTTCTGAATGTTGAGCAGCCGCGTGGGTCTGGGGCACGTGCACAGGGACCCAGTTCCGTCCCTCACTCTGTCTGCAGGGCAGTCACGGCTCTTTGAGGCTCCCTTTCCTCTACTGAAAGGGGGAGCTCTCAGGTTTTTGCGTGGATTAGTGGCGATGAGCTTAATCCAGCCCTGGTGGAGGCTCTGAGGACGCCAGAGCTGTTCTCTTCCCGTGGTGAAGCCCTGGGTTTCCGAGCATTGGCCCAGCCTCTGCCAGCCTCCAGGTGTGCCCGAGCACCTACCCGGCCCCATGACCTTGTACTCTGGTGGGTGGGTGTGGAGGAGTGCTCTCCTTAGGAGGAGGACAGCTGCTAGCAAGCCCTTTATTTTCCCTCGTTGGAGTCTGTTATTTCTGAATTTTACGTCGCAGCAGAAGTCTGCCCCCATGCTGGCCAGCGGTCGTATGAAGACAGCAGCACCTGGAAGAGGCCTGGGGTCTGTCTGCAGGAGACGTGGGCCTGTGTCCGCAGCTGAATGCCTGATGTGGAGCTGCTGAGAGAAGTGGGGTATGCTGGACATTCACAGCAAACCCCAGATCTCAAAGACGTTTTACAAAATAAAGAATATAAAATACTGCTTCTGAAAAGATATTTTGGATGCGTTGGAATAAGTTAAAATATATTGTTAAAGTCACTTTCACTGATTCATTTACTCCTTTCTAACACGGCTGCTAGGACATTGGAACTCAGACATGTGGCTCGGGCATGTTGTGCTGGAAGGTGCCGTCACCCTTTTGGTTCTAGGGCCACGAGTCACAGCGAGTCCCTTTGGTTTTGCTTTTGCAGATCCCACCTGCACAGCCAGTCCGTCGTCACCGTGATAGGTGGCGAGGAGCATTTTGAGGACTATGGCGAGGGCAGCGAGGCAGAGCTGTCCCTGGAGACCCTCTGCAGTGGGGAGCATGGCTGCGGAGACCCCACTTTCCCTACCCCCAGGTAATACGGCCCTGCTCTGCTGGGACATGTGTGTGTGTGCACGTGTGTGTGTGTGTGTGTGTGTGTGTGTGTGTGTGTGAGAGAGAGAGAGAGAGAGAGAGAGAGAGAGAGGGCAGGGAGGGGGAGAGAGGACGTAAGGTCTGCTCTCAGCAATTTCAGTTATGTAATAGTGTCGTTACCATGTTTTATATTCAGTCCTCAGACCTTATTCCTCTTGTAGTCACAAGTTTGAACCCTTTGATCCATCTCTGCGGGAGGCTTTAACATCGGGGATGACTCTCTGGATTCATTTCCTTATAATTATCAGACATCCCCCAACTGTGTGGGAAGATGTTGCTCAGTCAGCTGAAGTGCTAGGTCTAAACGGTGGACCTTCACTCCAGGAGCTGGGTCCTCCCCGGCTTGCCTTCCTCTTAGGGCCTCACTTGTGTCTAGATGAGGACCTGGCAGCCTTTGGCTGGTGACTGGCCCTCTGAGGACCTGCCTGGCCCCACAACTGGTCTGCGTCCGTCGCCTCTCCCCTCTACGGCCAGTTCTTGAGACCCTCTCTCTTTGCTGACACCTGAAGCCACATATCTCTGACCCCGCAACAGCAAGGCCCTTGTGTTGCCCAGGCTGTTGCCCTGGCCCAGAGGACCTACCGGCCTGGGGAAGGGCCTCTGTGGCAAGTGCCTGGGAGTTGGTGTGAATGAGGTGTGCGGGTGCTTTTAGCAGCTTTCCTCTCCACATGCACACTCGTGGTGGTGTTGACGCCGAGGTCGAGGACTGGGCGCTGCTAAATACGTGTCTGTCCAGCTTGGGAACCTTTCTTGTCTGCTTAGTCTGTGCCTCTCTCAGGTGTATGCCCCCCCCCCCCGCCCCGATGTTTCCCTTCCACCTACCTTTATGTGGAACTTCCAAGCAGTCTTCCAGAAGCCAGCAGGCCCCAATGCCCCAGGGACACAGCTCCCTCTCTGCTTCATCTTCCCTCAGCAGGTGCCCTGCCAGTGCCCTGAAAGTCCACTGAGATTAGATCACAGGGAGGCAAAGGGAATCCTGTGTTTTGTTTTGTTTTGTTAAGATTTTATTTATTTATTCATGAGAGACACACAGGGAGAGGCAGAGGGAGAAGCAGGCGCCATGCGGGGAACCGGACGTGGGACTCAATCCCAGGACCTCAGGATCAGGCGTTGAGCTAAAGGCAGATGCTCAACCGCTGAGCCACCTGGGTGTCCCGAATCCTGAGTTTTTAACGAAGGCCTTCAAGATGGCCTAATTCTTGGTGACTCTTCGTGCACACTTAGTTCAGCAGGGGTGGGCTTTCAGAGCTACAGTACAGCAAGTAGAACCCCGCCAGTGCTTTGCTGTCCCACACTGACATGTTTTCGACAAAGGGGAAAGCAGCGTGTCCAGTCGCTCCCGTCCTGCTAAGGAAGGGGTTTTGTTTTAGAATGGAGCCGATGGGCTGCACCTGTTTCCTCCGAGCACCTGAGCATGAAGGAACAGGTGTGTGGCCACGTCCCCCACTGTTCCAGCCAGTCCTGAGGTGGCGCTGAGGGAGGTGGCTCCCAGCGGTCCAGAGGAAGAGCCAGCATCTCCCGTAGCCAGGGCCCATCCACGGGGTCACAGATAACCTGGTGGGTCCTCACTGTCTCCTGAACTGACGCTTCTCGTCTCTCTAGCACCGACCCGCTTGCTGCAAAGCTGCACAGCATCCTCACTGATGAGGCTTTTGAGTTTTACTGTAGCCAGTGCCACAAACAAATCAACCGCCTCGAGGATCTTTCCGCTCGTCTGAATGACCTTGAAAAGAATAGGTAACTGGCTAGTGCCTGGCCTTGCTGTTCGTCCAGCGGGAGGGACGCTCGCCCCCTGCCCCGCATGCGCCAAGCCTGTGTCGGGTGCCCTCTGCCCCTGCTGTGTACATCCCTCCGTCTGAGCCACTGCCGCTGACCCCGGGTGGAAACAGCCTTCACACGCTGTGGGTCCTGCATGGGGAAGTCCGTGTGAGGCAAAGTCTGCGCCTAGAAAGAGCAGCCTTCCTCATTTTACTAAAGGAGTCACATGAGAGGGCTTTGTGAAATGTAAAGTAAGCTTCATCTTTAAAAACAGATCTGGAGGGGCGTCTGGGTGGCTCTGTCCCTTGGGCCTCTGACTGCTGATTTTGGTTCAGGTCGTGACCTCAGGGTTGTGGGATCAAGCCCCACGTTAGGCTCCACACTTGGCGTGGACTCTGCTTAGGATCCCCCCACACCCCCTCATGATCTCTTGCTCTAAAAAACAAAAACAAAAACAAAAAAAACCCACACATTTGTAAAGAGCTTCCAGGAGTCTGTTTAAATCAGGTGGGCCTTCCCTTGGACCTTTTTTTTTTTTTTTTAAGATTTTTTTTATTTCTAAGTATTCTCTGCCCCCAACATGGGGCTCAGATCCACAACCCCGAGATCAAGAGTCCTGTGCTCCACCGACTGAGCCGGCCAGGTGTCCCCGCACCCAGTTCTGTGAGGCCGCCTCAGACCCTGTTACCACGATACCCACCTTTACTACCCTGGGGCCCAGCATGTGCCCGCCACCCCTGGCCTTGGTCCCCGTCCTGTCCCTCGGTTCCCTTGTGTGTCCGTGTTTGCCTCCCTCTCCGTCCCCTGCACCAGCCTGCTCAGGCCAGAGCTCGGGGAGGAGACAGCCCTTTTGCTGGCTCCCCACGACTTGACAGTTGAAGAAAACGTGCTTGAGTAGCTTGTGCCTATGGGCATGTCCACCAAGCACGTGGTTGATGAAGCTTATAGTGCAGGTAAGCCCCTGGGGGCCGTTGGTGGTTTCCCACAGCAGCACCCGCCCACCCGGGCGGGAAGGGGTGCTGTGGGCCCCAGGGCGGCTGTCTGCGGTGAGCTCTTGAAAGAAGGGGCCTCGGGCTGCTGCTGCTGGGAGGTAATGTGAGTCGTGGTGGGAAGGAAGCCATCCTGGTCGGCAAGCTTGCAGGAATAGTCCTCTAGAAACTGCTGCCTGGCCAAGCCAGGCCCTCCCGGTGGGTCCCCATGGCTGGCAGCCCTGTTGGACTGCTCACCTGCCTCTGGATCCAATGCACCACATTCAGTATCTCCAACCTTTTTCTTTTTACTTTTTACTTTTTTTTTTTTTTTAAGGTTTTATTTGAGAGTAAGAGAGCAAGCAAAAGAGCACGAGCAGGGGAGGGGGCAGAGGTCGAGGGAGTAGGAGCCCAGTGGGGCTCGATTGTGACTCTGAGACTGTGACCCCAGCTGAAGGCGCTTCACCGACGGGGCCCCCCAGGCGCCCCCAACCCGTTTTCTTATGTTCTGTGCAGCACCCACCGCACAGACTGGAATCCAGCAAATGCCCAGTCGAGTGCAGAGGGATCTTTGTGGCCAGTCAGCCGCTTCAGAGCGGGGTCTGGGGGGAGGTCCCCGCAGTTCTGCCGAGAACCTAGCCTTCCAGGGAGATTGGGGAAAATGTGGCCTTTACTGACTCCCAACAGCTGCTGGCCTCTGTCGCAGGGAAAACCAGCCTTTCATCCTGTGTGTGTAGCTGGTGCCCAGAGCTCCAGGAAGGCCCCTCCACCTGCCTGGGGGTCATCTGTGCTCCCCGTGCAGAGGCTGCTGTCCTGCCTCCGTGGGTTCCAGGCCAGGAGTGCCATCTCTGTATTTGACAGTAAGCACGGAGCCACGTATCTCATCTCTCATTATTTATGTATTCCTGAGACACAGAGAGAGGCAGAGACACAGGCAGAGGAAGAAGCAGGCTCCATGCAGGGAGCCCCACGCAGGACTCCATCCCAGGACCCCGGGGTCACACCCTGAACTGAAGGCAGATGCTCCACCGCTGAGCTCCCCAGGGGTCCCTCATTCCTGGACACTTTAGAAGTAATCTTTTGCTGTGTTGACAGCCTGCTGCAGGACAGCCTCAGTCGCCTCTGCTGGGCCTTTTGAGGGGAGCCTGGGGCACAGCTCAGTGTGGCTGGAAGTCCAGCCCCAGCCGTGCTCCAAGGAGGACCCTGTCGACATGGGCTCATGCCGTTAACACTGTTGCTGTAATCACGACACAGCTGTCAGGAAATTCATCCCAGACGCTGACGTTATGGAGATCTAGGTCTTGCTAGTTGGTTCCCCTGGAGTTGCCACAAAATAGATGTATTGGGTCATAGTTTGTGGACGGCAAAAGGTGATTCAGTTCCCACCTGTATCTGGAAGCTTTGATGTTAAATCTGTCTTCTCCCAGTGAACCTCAGAGCGTGCCTGTAGGGATCCTGCTTTCCAGGGACCCGGGAGCCTCCAGGAATACAAGTTGTTTTGTAGAAATTAACAAGATTATTAAGAAATGAAGAGTAATAGGTCTGTTTTCAAATTATAAACCCCCGAGGTGGCCTGGCCGGGCCGTCTGCACGGGGCCGACGTGCACCCCGAGTCTGTCCTGTCCTGGTAGGGCCGGGAGTCATGGGATGCTAGGATGCACGGTGTGGTGTCGCTCAGGGTCCTGCCAGGAGAGGGGAGCACACAGCAGTTTGAACGGGGGACCAAGCGATGAGGCGCAGTCTGCTCAGTGGAGGGAGCTCTCGACAACAGCAGCTTCAGGGAGCAGCCTGCCACCGGCACTCAGGGCAGGCCTGCCACGGACGCCCCTCGGCACCCCGCCAGCGGGACTTGGTGGGTGCCTCCCCTCCAGACCCTGAGGCAGTCTGCTCTCTGGCTGCAGGAGGCCCCCCGGGAGGGGTGTCCACAGAGCCTTGAGGGCGCCGCTGCTGCCGCTGGGCAGGGGCGGGGGAGGGAGAGGGTCTGGGGTGAGAGGGCCCACATGTAGCCGAGGGCCCGTGGACACGGGGTCCCTGTGGCCCCCTTGTACCCGGAGAGCACGCAAGAGAGATCGGGAGGGGGCCTACATCCGATTCCATGGAACAAGTAGGAGGGGATGTGCCTGGAGGTGGGGCGACCTGAATGGGTAACTGAGGCAGCGCGTTCCTCCGGGGTAGCCCTCTGGGCTCGGGCCGGGGGAGTGGAGGCCCGTCGCAGTAAGGGACACGAGGGGCCTGTTTCCAGTGCTGGACGGGCTCGTGTCTTCTCGGGCTGAGGCCCGTAGCTTAGTAGTCGAGTTCAGAAATAAATCAAGGTAAGTTTGGCCTCTCTTGCCATTGCTGACGCTTCCGTCAGCTGGACGACATGTGATTGACCGTATTTATTGCCCCAAAGTGGCCGCAGAACGGGCCTCCGAGTCACGGCCGGGGCGGGGTCCTGGACTGTTTTGGTCCAGTGCCTGGTTATGGCTGATGATGAGACCTCCCGTCACCAGCAGGCCTGTGCCTCTGGTCCGTGGGGCATCTGATGGCGAGCCATGGTGGGGAGGTGTTGGGCCCCGGCAGCTGCTGGGCCCGGGCTGCGATCCGGTCGCAGCTCCATCTGGGGCTTCTGTGGGAGAGGCCTGGCCAAGGCCCTGGGATCCCCGGGGCTGGCGCTCCATGCATGCGGCCGACCTTGGGCCGGCTGGGAGAGCCCCCAGCCCGTATCTCTCCAGCCTGCTTCCTGTTTCCTCCCTTTCCTCCCTGTCTGTTCTGACACGATTTTCCTGTTTATTTTGATTTTACACAGTCCAGCGAAGCGGCTCTCCAGCAGGAAGGTGGCAAGGTAGGAGACCCCTGGCTGCTTTGAGACGTTCTCCTGAAACGGGTCACTGATCATAGCTTTTTAGAAACATGTTTGGAAAATACTCTTCTCCAAGGTATTGTTGTAAACCTGTGCAAGTCACTTCTCGTGCTCTGGGACTGAAAATAATTCTTGGGGGTGGGTTGTGACAAGAGTGACCGCTGCCGTGGGCAGACCGTGCCTCATGCGGGGAGGTTTGTGCTGGAATCTCCCAGCTCACCAGGCCTGTGCTGCGAGGTCCAGGAGGGCACGGCGGCGTCCCCATGCACGGCTGTTGATGAGCCCATGGCAGCGTGAGCGAGGGTCTCGGCGAGGCCGGGACGTGGGTTCTGGCTTGCCCGCCCCGCCGGCAACACATCAAGGAGAAGATGGCAGAGACGTGAAGGACACACTTTGGTGGCCGTCCGTGCGGTGGGAGGTGGCGGCATGGCCGGGTTCCCTGCCCCTGCCCGGCTGGCTCAGCACAGGTCACACGGGCCGCGGTGCCAGTGCCCCCCATGGGACGCCGCACAGTGCGCTCTCGTTTCTCAGGCCTCCGCTTCTAGAGTCGGATGGCTGCAGTACTGCTGCTTGCCCTCGCCAACTATCCCCCCGCCAGCCGTCCCTCCTTGGCCGTCTTTCCCCAGCCATCCTCCCGCTCCCAGCTGTGCCCCCGCCTGCCGGCCATCCCCCCCCCGGCTGGCCCTCCCCTGCCATCCCCCTGTCCACTAGTTATCCCCCCCAGCCATCCCTCCTTGCCGTCCCCCATCCACCGGCCATCCTTCCCCAGCCATCCCTCCCTACTGTCCCCCACCAGGCTTTCCCTCCCCTGCCATCCCCCCATCCACTGCCCATCCTCCCCCCACCATCCCCCACCAGCCGTCCCTCCCCTGCTGTTCTGTCCACCAGCCATCCTCCCCCAGCTGTCCCTCCCCCGCCGTCCCCCCCAGGTGTCCCTTTCCAGCCGTCCACCCCCAGACCTCTGCCTTTTGCACACCCACTCTGTGGTCCCAGGCAGGGGTCAGCCACAGCCCTGCCACCCCTCCCCGACTCCTCCTCTCTGTTGCGGGCATGTGGACCTCCTGTGTTGCTCTTTCTGTATAGAGTCCTAGGGCTTAGGAGCCAGCAGAAGCAGAGGTGAAGGCCACCAGCCCCCCTGTGCACTTGTCCTCACCCTCCCCCGGATAGCGGGGCTCCCAGACTCCTAGGAACAGGGCGTTTGTTTCAACCACACGCAGATCACCAGTCCTCCCTCTGCCTGCCGTGTTCCACCCCAGATGGCTACAGGGGCTCAAACCAAGGAAGGGAGTGCTCTCCCGCCGCCCCCCGGCCTGCGCTGCCTCAGCTCGGGCTCCGCCTGCCTGCTCCTTTGAAACCCCCTCTGAGAGCGTGATCTTCCCTTCGCAGACACCTGGTAGGAAAGCCCCGTTCGCAGGTGTTTGTAGTCCCTGTCCACAAACGGCCTGTTCTACACTCTGCACGCAGTTGTCTGCTGCCTCTTTGTCCTTAAAACCAGCACTAGAGTTCTAGGGAAACTCAAAACAGCTGGTGCTTCCACGTCTCAGTGTCTCAGACCTTTGCCTTCAGCCCTGTCGCCACATCGTGGGGTTTGGACCCACCAGCTCTGGCCTCTGCGACCGGGCTGGGGGTGTGACCCAGGTGCAAGTGGCTCTGGGGTCAGTGTGCGTATGAGGACCTGGAGGTGCCAGCACAGAGCCGGCCTCAGGACAGGGACGTGCCAGCAGGACCTCCACGGGGCAGCTGCGCGGGCACAGCACAGGAGGTCCCCCTTGGGGTGTATCAGGGTAGATTTGCACAAACACCTCCCCAGCATGTGCCTAACGTGCTGCCATCTGCCTTCTGGGAGCTCAGGACGGGTGACCCCAGGCTGTGGCTTCTCTGCAGGCTGGTCTCTGGGGCTGGGCTGGGCCGTTTCCTGCCCCAGCAGTGACATCAGGAGCTCTTGTTGGGGCCAAAGTCACAGGCGTTGAAAAGTAGCACTGGACAGAACAGGATGACCTTTGGGCTCTGTGTCCCTCAGGGAGTCCGAGGACATCCACAGGAGGGTGCTCCGTCGCACCCAGGACATGTCAGGGGACTTGGGATCCCAGGGGCAAAGATGCCCTTCAAACAATTCTCCGAAAAACTTAAACGCACAGCGTCATTGAACACCGAAAAGGAGAGAGAACTTGTGTGGTGATAATGTGGAGACGTTCGGTATAACGTCTAATAGCATCTCATTGAATTCTTAGCCTGCGTTTCGTCCTTGACGGGAGCTGTTCACACACGTCCTCGCTTACAGCTCATCGTGGCTTGTGATCCCCACTTCATAGGCGAGTGAGGCTCAGGGAGGGTCGGTGGCTTTCTCAAGGCCACACAGCTCTGAACATCAGGCTGCCGAGTTCGGGGCCCGGTCGGCACAGGGGACACGCCGCAGGCACTCTGCAAACGCCCTGAGGCGTTTACATGCAGGGACATTAGAGCTGATACACTGTCTCAGCAGCCAACAGGACTGTCCCTAGAGTGCCTGCAAACATGTTTGCTGAGCACCTCCCAGGGTGCCGGTGGCTGAGGAGCCAGGGCAGGAGTTCTGAGGGTGCGGGGGTCCGCACAGGCCTATAGGGTGCCTGGGCCGCACAGCCCCTGGCCCGGCCCCCAGCACTGCCCTTGGAGCCTGCTGCCACAGGGGAGCGTGCTGTCTCTGCCCCTCCCCGAGCTCGACCCCGGGGGACACCCTCGTTCCCTCCCTGTGGCTGCCACAAATGAAGTAGCAAGAGCACATGTGGGGACGCTGGGTGTGCAGGTCATGGTCCTGAAGTCCTGTTTCCGGGGCCCATGGTGGAAGGTGAGATAATTTCACATCGGAGCGAGGAGTGACGTTGTTTTATGACCTGAGGACAAAGTACCCTCACCCATTAACTGCCAGGGAGGGAGTGAGTCCAGGAGGTCAGGTTCCAAAGAGCAGCGGGGTTCTCTGTGGCACTTGGGTCACAGCGTCCTGCCGGGACCATTTGGTGGAGGCTGGGGCTGGGGCTGCCCAGGTCTGGTTCTCACATCAGCCTGCAAACTAGAAACGCTCATGTTGACAGAACCCCTGACCCTTCCCCTTTGTGTACTGCTCAAGGGCCTCGTCTGGACTGTCCTGTTGTGTCTTCTTCACAGGCACTTGCACCAGTCGGGGGCCCTGACCATGGAGGCCCTGCAGGACCCTGCCCCAGACCCCATGGAGGGGATGGAGGAGGACATTGCTGACAAGGTAGGGTCTGGGCTGTGGCCTGGGGGACGGGGGACAGGGCTGGCTGCAGGGCTTACGGGGGTGGTGCTGCCACCGGGAGCTGATTACATTCTTCACCAGCCCTCACGTCGTCCAGCAGGTGTCCTCAGGGCCCCGGGGCTGGGGGTGCAAGGGGAGAGGTCGCTTGTACCCCGTGTTTGTCTGTGGGCCCATCAGTGCCCTGGCCCTGGAGGCAGGATGTGAGGGTGCTCTGGGTTCAGGGTGCTGACCACAGAGCCAGTGGGGCTGGGTTCCCCCGGCAGCCTTGCTGTGGAAGGGGTGTGACAGCACACGGCCACCTCCTCCCATCCCCCCATGTGCTCCTCCTCCCATCCTCCCGTCCCCCCCTCGTGCTCCTCCTGCCTCTCATCCCCCCAACCCCCCCAACATGCTCCTCTTGACTCCTGTTCCCCACACATGCTTCTCCTACCGTCCGTCTCATCCCCACCACGTGCTCCTCCTGCCTCTCGTTCCCCCACAAGCTCCTCCTGCCATCCCTCCCGTCCCCCCTGTCCTCCCAGCACTCCTCCTCCTTCCCTCTGTCCCCCCGCATGCTGCTCCTCCGTGATTGAGATGGCCCTGCTCCAGCGCAGTGGACACGGCCTCCTGAACAGTTGGCTGGGGATGCAGGCTGTCTTGTCTCCCGGTTCTGACACCCCTGTGTCACTCCCAAGGTTGTGTTCCTGGAGAAGCGGGTGTCGGAGCTGGAGAAGGACACAGCTGCCAACGGGGAGCAGCATAGCCGCCTGAGGCAGGAGAACCTGCAGCTGGTGCACAGGTGAGGGGGGCTCTGGTCCTGGTTGCCTGTCGGTGAGGCCCCACCTCGCAGCCTCGGCCACTGCTCTGGAGTGGTCTCCTCATCAGCTGCTGGGAGCCAGGTCAGGGGCCAGTGCCCGGGGCCTCCTGAGCGGGGTTCCCGCACGTCGCACTCTCTCCTGGCACCTGTCAGGCCCCGGAGGAAGGCGTGAAGGGAGGCACTACCTCCCCTCTCAGGAGCAGTGGGGCCAGCACCCCCGCCACCCACACCAAGCGCCAGGTAGAGGCTGGCCTTTGATGGAGGCAGAGGCCACGTGGGGAGGCCTGCTTGTGTCCCCGATTCTGAGAAGCCTTCCTGACCCTGTCCTGGAGGCAGTCTTGTTACTCTGGACGACTGCTGTGCTCGAGTCACCTGCATCATCCCCATCCCCTCCCATGTGTCCTGGGAGGCAGATGCCCCTGCTGCCCCCAGCTTGCAGGTGAGGGCACCGAGGCCCGGGTGAACTGGGGGCTGGACCCCCCTGGGAGCAGGCGGGTCCTCGCAGGCACTTAGCGGAGGTGAGGAGACCGGGAAGCGCTGACGGAGAGGACGCACCGTGTGGGCCGGTGAGGCAGCACGCACCGAGGCGGACGGCGCATCACGGGAGGCAGTGGTGTGACCTCCCCCGCCGGGACTTTGTGTTGTGTAACCAGTTGTGCTGTGCAGCCTATGAGCCTGGCTCAGGAGCGTGTTCTCTGGGCAGGCCCGGCGGGGCCTAGGTGCCAGGGGGACAGTCTTCTGGGGCCAGGATGGTGGCGACGCCTGCAGGGGTGTGAAAGGAGGCCCCTGCCAGACACTGTGACTTCAGGGAAAGGCCCGCCCCCCCACAGCCTCCGTGTGCTCGCTCAGCCCTGACTCGGCAGGTGGACACAGGCCGTGACACCCTCGCATGGCTCCTGCAGGGGATGCTTGCATCCCGGGTGCCACTGACCTTCCCGACCCGGACTCCAGTGTGGGGCAGGCAGGCTGCTCTCTGGATGCGGAGTAGAACGAGTCGTCACGAGGTGTCACCCGGGTGTCACTTGCATGGTAGGAGCAGGTCCTCTGTGCTGTCCGGAGCCTGGGCTGGCCGGCTGCCCCCTGTCCGGGCTCTCACAGCACGGCTGGCTGCGCGGCCCGAGGCTGGGCTGTGGCGCTGCGCCCAGCCTATGCCACATCTCCAGAGACGTTCGCTCTCCCTCCGTGTCCACATCCAGGGAAACCTGGATGGGCTGCCCCGTCGTTTCTCCCACTGCCTGGGGAGGCGCCGTCTGTCTGATGGCACACACCAGTTACCCACATATGGACTGGGAAGTCCACACTCTCCGGCCCAGGGCGTGCGCGGCTCAGGCTGTGTCCTGAGCTCTCCTAAGGACAGCAGGTTCTGCTGCTTCTTGATGGTTCCTGGTTTTCACATTGTTGCTAGCCTGCTGCATGACTGCTGCCCCTCTCCCCGCACCCCAGATCCCACACAGGCTCTCGTGCTTGGCTTTTTTTTTTTTTTTTTTTTTTTTTTTGAGATTTACTTATGGGGCACCCAATGGCTCAGTAGGTTAAGTGTCTGCCTTCAGCTCAGGTCATGATCTCTGGGTCCTGGGATCGAGCCACACGTCAGGCTCCTGGCTCGGCAGGGACTCTGCTTCTCCCCTTCCCTTTGACCCTCCCCTCTGCACGTGCGTGCACACTCTCTTTCTTTCAAATAAAGAAATAAAATCTTTTTAAAAATTTATTTCAGAGAGAGAACATGCGTACGCATGTGTGAGTGGGGGGGGTGCAGAGAGAGAATCTCAAGCAGACTCCTCGCAGAGCAGGGAGCCCACTATGGGCCCTGATCTCATGACCCTGGCTGGGATCATGACCTGAGCCAAAACTAAGGGTTGAACACAACCAGCTGAGCCACCCAGGTTTCCCTCATGCTTGGTTTCTTGCTTTTTGGATCCCATGTTTTCTTCTTCTCGTGCTCATTGGTTGTCTGCAGAGGACATCCTGGATGGTTGCGGGGGGGTGGGGAGTGCACAGGAGCAGGCTCTTGAGGCCTCGTGTGCCTGGGGCGTGTTGTGCACTGATTGTGTGGCCGGGTCTGGAACTATAGCCGGAAGCAGGGCTCCCAGGAACCTGGCAGGCGGGCTCTGCTGCCCTCTGTGGGGTCTGAGTTCTCCCCCTGGACGCCGGAGGATCTCGTTTCCTGTGCTGGCACGTGGGTTCCAATATTTTCATCTCAAAGATATCCCTCAGCTTCAGGAAGGTTTTTATTTTTTTTAATCCATTTTAAATTTTATTTATTTATTTAAAAAAATTTTTTTTTTATTTAGTTATGATAGTCACAGAGAGAGAGAGAGAGAGGCAGAGACGCAGGCAGAGGGAAAAGCAGGCTCCATGCACCGGGAGCCCGATGTGGGATTCGATCCCGGGTCTCCAGGATCGCGCCCTGGGCCAAAGGCAGGCGCCAAACCGCTGCACCACCCAGGGATCCCTTAAATTTTATTTATTTATTCATGAGAGACACACAGAGAGAGGCAGAGACACAGGCAGAGGGAGAAGCAGGCTCTGTGCAGGGGCCGGATGCGGGACTCGATCCCGGGACCCCGGGTCATGCCCTGAGTCCAAGGCAGATGCTCAAACACTGGGCCACCCGGGCCCCCATGGGAAGGTTTTCAGAATGATTTCTCTATACTTTATTTTGCTTTATTTCCTTATTTGTCTGAACTTTTGTTCATCAAATGTGTTAGGCCTTCTGGGATTTTCTTCTCCTTTTCATTACTTCCCTGTTCTTTAAGGTGGGCATGGAGCTTGATCTCAGAATCCGAGCTTAGCTCAAGAGTCGGACACTGAATCCCGGAGCTGCCCAGGCACGCCATGTTTCTCTTTTTAAAAATATAATATCCTCGGTTTTCTCCTTAGCTCTCCTACTGAACTTAAAATTTTTTTCTTCTCAAATTGTCAATTTCTAAGAATTAGTTTCTAAATGTCCTCCTGACGTGCTGCTCCTGTTGCCTGGAGTGGTATCCACTGAGCTGTGAATTGCAAGGCCTTTCTCCTGCGTGAGGTCCTCCTCTGTGTTTGCTTTGGCTGCATTGCGTCAACACGCTTCCCATGGAGCTCCGTTCACTCTCAGGTGTGACGCACCAAAAAAAGGTTGAGAAGCCTTATGTGCGCGCACAGCTTGGGGCCGGGGCGTGGGCTCCGTGGGCAGGGCCTGGGGCCCTTCTCTTCGGGATGGTCAGCCCTTGTGTCCCACAGCTGGGTGTGGTGGGCAGGGGCAGGGCCCCGGTGTGAACATTTCCTCTGTCCTCATGTTCTTGCAAACTCCTGCCCTCGCCTCTGCCGTGGTGACCTGGCTGCCCAGCCTGCAGTGTCGGTGCAAGGTGCTACTGGGGCTCCTGTCCATGCACTGAGACGGGGGTGAACTGCCTGAGAGTGATGGAGACCGTCCCCACTGTCGGGACGTTGCCAGGGTTCTGAGGCCCTGGGTGCGGGTATGGGAAGCAGGGGCCATCTGGGGGGCACACGCTCTGTTTCAGAACATCCCTGACCACAGCTGTGGGTGGGAGTCTCCCCGGCTCTGCCGCCCCGCCTCCAGGTGGGCACAGGCAGGCAGAGCAGAAGGCCTCTCACCCCCCCTTCACCTTCACAGAGCCAATGCCCTTGAGGAGCAGCTGAAGGAACAGGAGCTGCGAGCCTGTGAGATGGCGCTGGAGGAGGCGCGGAGGCATCGAGAACTGGTGTGCAAGATGGAGCGGGAGCGGAGCATCGAGGTGGAGAGCCTACAGGCCAGGTGGGGCACTCCGTGGGGGGCTGGCCTGGCTGAGGGCTGCTGGGAATGGAGCAGGGTTAGGGGAAAGGGGAAAGCCCCCTGAGGAAAGCTGTCACACCGCTCCAGATGCGAGTGCTCAGACACCGCGCGCTGCCGTCCTCCTGGCCAGAGCACCAGCCCTTTCTGGGACTTGACGGAAGTGCCTTCCTTCTCCTCTGGAGTTAAGCCTTTGAAAAGTCAGGAAGGGGGGATGCACGGCCTGCACACGACATCAGTAAAAGCTCCAGAGCAACGGCAGCCCCCGCGCGGGGTCCAAGCTGGAGGGACGGCACCTGCGTACAGCGGGGCCAGCGAGCAGAGCTCTGAGAGTGTTGCTGAGAGAGAACCTGCATGTGTCGGCAGACAGGTGAAGAGGCTCCTGAGAGCCCACCTGAGAGCCCCCCCAGAGCTCCTTGGGGAGGGGGGGCATTTCATAGGGCTTGTGCGCTGAGCCAGAGCCGCTTTCAGAACTTGTGAGAGGACTCCAGGTCTTGTGGCTCCAGCCCTCTCCAGCTCCTGGGGCTGGGGCACGTTGTCGTTACCAGAGAAGAGCTCGGTGCATTTTGCAGAGTGCGGCCGCAGAAGAGGCTGCACGTGGAGCCGTGCCAGCCATCTGGACTTGGGCCCTCCTTGCGTGCAGACGGAGTGGGGTGCTGCTCGGGGCTGGCGAGGCCCGGGCAGCTGGCTGACCTTGTTCCTGGGCCTCGGCGGTGTGGTTCAGTGTTCCTTCCCTGGGGCTCTGCACAGGACAGCACCTGCCAGGTGTGACGTAGACTGGGTGTCCTGACGCCCTGGGGGAACCAGGCAGGACTCCGTGTCACTGCTTCAGAGCAGTTCCTGCCGCCCACTCTGCGCCTGGGTCCGGTCAGCCTCCTGCACTTCCTACGGGCTGGAGGGGGGCAGATCAGGGCCCTGAGATCAGCCCAGCCCAGAGGCAGCTCCAGCGTGGCCTCGGTCCATGGTGGTCAGTACAGGGGGCTTCAGGAGGCAGCACGATGGTGAGGACTGGAAAGGAACCAGCGTCCTTGGAGAGAGGCCGAGTCTGTGGCTGGCACGGGAGAGAAGCCAGCGGAGCCTGCAGCATGTCCTAGCGTCAGAACGTAGGGGAAGTGCTCAGACACATCCACACGGTGATGGGCTGCTCCCAGGGCTCCTGGTGGTCAAAGCCGGGACACTTGGAGTATCACACTGATGATAATACTGTTGGACCATAACCCGACGCGTAAGGAAAGGTGAGGACCGAGGAAGAAGCAGAGGGACCGCACAAGCTCTCCCTACAGAGGAATCCCAGATGATGACCCGGGCGCACGCTGGGCCCAGTGACCCGACGGGAGGAGACACCTGCAGACGCATCTCACCGGGTGACCCGGCTCGGCATCACCCGTGGAGTTGTGTGGACCCAGGCGCCCGATCTGGTGACGAGGGTACCTCCCCTCTGTGACCGTCCCATCACGAGACACACCAGACACGCCCGGGGTGAGGGGCGTCGTACCAAATACGGGACCAGAACTGATCAAACTGTCAGGGTCCTGAAAAGCCAGGGGAGTCCTGCAGACCGCCAGCGACCAGGGGGACGCAGGAGACCAGGCGGCTGAGGGCAGTGTGGCCCGGGGGCCCTGGGATGGGAAATAAAGGGAGACTGTGGTGTGGTGACTAGTATGTCCTGGGGTGGCCGAGGGCTGTGGTGAGGGCACTGCGGCGATGAGCACGTGCCATGCGGGAAGCTGTAAGGGGCTGGGGTTGTGTTTACGGTTTTATAAACCCAGAAATATCCCCACGCCCAGAGTATGTTTAATCACTGTTCTGGCTTACGGAAGAGCTGGGCCCTCGGGTGCCCGAGTGGTGCATAAGGGCTGGGGCGTGTTGGGGAGCCTGTCTGCATCCCCAGTGGCTCCCGGCAGGGCTGCTGAGAGCGTGGGCTCCCACCCTCAAGGAGACACGTTTCTTGGGTGTGAGGTCACAGCCTCGCTGTTATGTCTCAGGCTGCAGCAGCTGGACGAGGAGAACGGGGAGCTGAGGTCCTGCACGCCCTGCCTGAAGGCTAACATCGAGCGCCTGGAGGAGGTGAGCGGTCAGCTGGGAGCACTGCGCACACGGGGCCCAGCCCCCAACACGCGGCCTGAGGTCAGCCGGGCCAGCTGCAGGGCAGCCCCCCAGCCAGGGCTATGACCACAGGCCCGGAGGACGTGCTGCTCCGTAGAGCAAGCTGATGACGCTGGCGGGGACAGGCACAGCCTGGGCCTGGCCATCACTTTGCTGGAAGGTGTTGGTCCCTGCTTGGCGTCCCATCTTTCCCACGGACACGGGACCTGTGGGTGCAGAGGTTCAGCTGAGAGGAACCTGCAGTCCGATTCCAGGCTGATGGCCTTGGGGGGCTGACTTCAGCTGGACCCTCGTGCCCTGTCCTGCAGGTGTTCACTCGAGAGGCCTTGCTCCCCCAGCCTCCCCTCCCTGCCAGGACATCCAAGACCACATGGGCTCTGGCTCCCGTGCGCAGTTTCCGGAGAGTGACTGTGGGTCAGATCCTGGTCTTGCGTGGGTTGTCCCTGCCCTGCCTCCCCTGAGAAGCTGCCCCTGTGGCCTGTGCAGCCACCCCACACCAAGAGCTCCCCAGGCCCACCTGTGTGCTTGCTGTGTGCACCTCAGCCATGATGGGGTGGCTCGTACACACCCTGCATGGCCTGAGCCCGCTCAGGAAAGCTCCGTGGACATGGCAGCAGGCAGACATGTTGGTAGCCAGTACCGTATTTTCACAGGAGAAGCAGAAGTTGCTGGATGAGATTGAAGAGTTGTCCCTGCGGCTCAGTGATGAGCAGGAGAACAGGAGGAAGCTGGGGGACAGGTTGAGTCACGAGAGGCACCAGTTCCAGAGGGACAAGGAGGCCACCCAAGAGGTGAGCATGGTGTGCCCATGTCCTGAGACCTGAGGCTGGTAACCGCGTTGTGCTGGGCAGGGGTGCTGGGCATGAGGTGTTTGGGGAAGGTGGGCTTATCATCTGCTTGGGACTGGCCTGGAAGCCGAGGGCGGGGTGCCGGGAGCCCTGCTCACCCCCGTGGTTGCCCGCAGCTGATTGAGGACCTGCGCAGGCAGCTGGAGCACCTGCAGCTTTTCAAGCTGGAGGCCGAGCAGAGGAGGGGCCGGGGCAGCAGCGTGGGCCTGCAGGAGTACAACAGCCGCACCCGCGAGAGTGAGCTGGAGCAGGAGGTCCGCAGGCTGAAGCAGGTGCGGGCAGACTCCCCCTGCACCCCTGCAGGAGGGGCGGGGGCATGCGGGGGCGGGTCCGGAGCCACAAGCTGCGGCCGGGACCAGTGCTGTGCTGGCTCAGCCAGGAATGACGCTGCTGTCCCATCCCTGACCCAGGACAACCGGAACCTGAAGGAGCAGAATGATGAGCTCAACGGGCAGATCATCAACCTGAGCATCCAGGGCGCCAAGAACCTCTTCTCCACGTCCTTCTCGGAGTCACTGGCTGCGGAGATCAGCTCTGTCTCCCGAGATGAGGTAAGGCCCGTGCAGGCTCGGCGCCCTGACACGCCACAGTCTGTGCACCGGCCCGGCACTGACCACTGCTCTTCCCGTAGCTCATGGACGCAATTCAGAAGCAGGAGGAGATAAACTTCCGCCTGCAGGACTACATTGACCGCATCATCGTGGCCATCATGGAGACCAACCCATCCATCCTGGAGGTTAAATAGAGGCAGGAAAGCCCAGCCGGTGGGCCCAGCACCCCATCCACACCCAAGAGATGGCCACGGTGCGCACACAGCTGAGACCAGCGGCTGGGCTGGGGTGCATTGACGGGTCTGCAGAGGGAGAACAGTGGGAGCCCTGGGATCGGGGCCCACGCAGGAGAGGGTGGGACTGGGTCTACAGTCCGCAGAGATGCAGAGACCACATCTCAGGCTCAGGCGAGCCCTTCTGCAAGCTCCCGCCCATGTGGAGACCCCCTGCCGCCCTGCCCATCAGGGAGGAGAGGAAGGCTGCGTCCCCGCAGTGTGCTGCCCCGTGCCTCACCTGGACGTCACAGGGGCCCCAGGACCCTCTCGCCACAGGCGGTGCTGTGGGGAGTACAGGCGGGCGAGGCGGTGCACACCAGGGTCTGCTAGGAGCCGCAGGACCCGTCAGCTGCTCAGGCCACGAGCTGCCAGGGGCACTGCGGTCCAGCTTCAGATCCAGGGACCTCCAGGCCACGCAGCTGTTCCCACGGCCCAGACCCTTGCTGCACTAACCCCCCTGGGGGCCGGGGCAGGAGACTCCGCTCTGAGTCAGGACTTGCGAGTCGCTCCATGTGGAGTGTGCTCTCGGGATGGGGTGCAATGCGGGTGGAGAGTGTCCTGGTGAGAAACGGCGCCCCCATGGCCGTGGCCGTGGCCACCCCGGGTGAGGTCCCGATCCCCAGGCCAGAGGCCCAGTGTCTGGAAGCAGCTTCCTCTGGGAGTTGGAAGCCACTGATGTGGCCGTCCTTCCCCGAGCCATGTTCTGTGGGAGGCCGGGCGGTGCAGGTTGTCAGGAGCAGAGAACAGCCCCCCGGCAACGTGGGGCTTCCTTCGAGGAAGCCATCCATTGCCTGGCCCTGGTTCACCCCTGCCAGGCTCTGCCCACCGTGGGGGCTGCTGGGCCTGCCCCCACCCTGAGCCTGAGCGCGGGCCAGGAGCCCCTGAGTGCTCCCGGGTGGGTCAAGACCCTGCACACAGGCTGGCCATGCTGTGTGTGAGGGCGTGTGTGAGGCGTGTGCGTGCGTGTGTGTGGGCGTGTGTGCCCCCTGCATCCTCCATCCTCCCTGTGGCCCACATTCTACACTAAGATTTAAGACGTTGCCTCGTATTGTACATTTTGGGGAAAGCCTTGGGTGTAAATCAGTGTAAACTTGCAGGAGAGATTTTTCTATCATGTAGAGTAGGTATTTTTTATAGATTGAAGGTTGATCAATTTTTTAATACTTCCGAGAGAGAAAACTATCTGTGTATACACATAAAATATATATATGTATGATAATAAATACTGGAACTCTGCTTTCCGTGCCCAGCCCTGTCCCGTGGACGCCGACGCGGGTTTGTTTCTGTCCGTCACTCAGCGGCCCCGTAACCGTAAAGCAGAGTTGCTGGGAGGTGTTCCGCACGGACGCCCTGGCCTCCGCTTGCACAGTGACCCTGTCTCCTTCCCCGGGAGAAGGACTCTTGAGGCAGAGCAGTGGTGGTCTGTGTGCTCGGGGGCAAGGCCACAATAGTCTCCTGAGGATTAGAGCTGCCTGTGCACAGAGGTCCGATGGCCCCCCCAGGGAGGGGTGCAAGGCGCTCCGGCTGCAGGAGAGCCCTCCTGGAGGCCCCAGGGTGCCACCTCCATGCTGCACACCGGTAGAGCTCAGGTGACGGGCCCTCCTGGGGCGTGGGGGCCATGGGGGCGCATCACAGGCCAGGACGTGTAACCAGGGATCAAGGCCTGTGGGTCATGCAGATCACCCCCACCAGAACCACGCACCCCAACAGGATTTGGCTCCAGGATCAGGAAGGTAGGCTGGGCGGCCAGGCTGGGGAGGAGAGCCCAGGTACCACCGTCATCACAGGGAGGACGATGAGAAGGTTCTGGGGGTGAGTGGGCAAGGCTGATTAGAAGTGGGAGTTGTTAGCCCGCGGCCCAGGCATCCACAGGAGCGGCCAGTGTGCATTTACTACCTTGCTCACGCTGAGCTACCTGTGTGTTGCACACAGATGGACCAACGGAGGCCTGGGGGAGACCGAGGACCCCACCCCCAACCCAGCAGGGCCCTGAAGGGGCTTGAGCCCAGGTGTGCTGGCCACGGGTCAACGACCTGAGAGCAGTGGTGAATAGACACAGCCTGGCTGGCGGTGAGCAGGGATCCCAGGACTCCAGAGGGTCCCCAAGGTCAAGCCTGGGAGACCTGGATGCTCTGTGGGGTGGCAGTGAGGGGGAACCTGGGGGGCTGTTGGGGTGTGGACACGTCCAAGGCCAAGACCCTGCCCAGAGCCACTTCCCTGCTAGTTTTCCAGGGTCTGGGGTGAGTGATACTGCAGGTCCCACCTTTGGTCCTAGTGCCCAGAGCAGACGGTTCCCTATGCAGCCCGTGCAACAGGCTCCCATTGCCAAGCCGGTCAGTGGGACTTGTGCCCTGGTGCCCACAGGTGGGACCAGCAGAACTGGGGGCTGGGGATGGATGGCACTGTTGAGGCCTTGGCTGCAGGCCCCAACCCCAGGATCAGGTCGGTGGGGGTTCAGGAGAGCCCTGTCCCCAGCCTGACACCCTGGGTGACCCCGGCCCTCTGCCTACCCTGTGCGTCTGGAGCCCGCAGATGGAGAAGCTGGAAGCGGGGAGGACGCCTGGCTCCATCGGGTGTTTTGTTTATGCTCTTAAACCCATAGGGGCCTGTGCACGGTCTGGCCCCCTGGCTGCCCAGGCCTGGCCCCTGGCCTGGGCTTCCCAGCCTCCCCGGCCCCCGGGCACAGGGTGGGGCCACAGAACACTTGGTGGAACTCCACCGTAAATGCAAACAGCAGTGCCCATTGCCAGCCAGGAAGCCCCCCGCCCTCCACCCTAACCCTGAAGTGCCCCGGTCTGTCTCAGGTCAGCCCTTGTTGGTAGGGGACTGCTTGACCTTCCAGGTCTTGTCTCCTGGCGTGTGGGTGCTTGCTGTCCTGGGTCCTCCAGCCGTCCATCAGTGCTGAAGGGAGAGCGTCCCGCGTGCCCCCAGCCTGGCTGCCCCAGCACTGCCCCTCCACCTGCTGATAGTTCAGAGGCTGGGAGCTGCAGGCCCCAGGAAGGGCCCTTCCTGGTCACTGGCCGTGGGCGCTTCGCAGAGTGGGCACTGAGGGGTCTTCTGAAAGCTGGCCCGAGCACAGGTCACGCACCTCAGCACGGTGTCCTGCACCGGCCTCCCGTGGCTCAGCATGCGTGTCCCACTGCGGAGGGTCCCTGTGCCCAGATGCCTCCAGAATCTCCACTGCGTGAGGCCCTTGGGGTGTCTCGCTCACCGTTGCATGCCAACGCCCGTAGCAGCACGGGCACCCACAGGATTCACACAGGGGCACTCGCCAGATGCTTCCAGCGGCCACACGGCTGTGCGCCCAGCTCCGGCCTCGGACAGGGTCGCGGAGCAGCTCGCCCGAGACCGCCTCGTGCTGGCTGGGCTCCCCGCCTCTGAAACACTGCGGGGGGGCCTGGTTCAGGGCCAGCGGCTTCTGTGGGGGGCCACGTACCTGTGGGCGCCGGTGCACACAGCCGCCCCAGCCAGTGTCGGGAAGGGGAGTGCAGTCCCTGAGCACCCCCGGGACTGCCCTCGACCGTGCCCTCGTGAGGTGCCGCAGCCACAGGCAGCGGGGAGGGGGAGGCAGCCAGGGGCGCTCGAGGCGGCGGACTTCCTGGGCCCTCCGCCGCCGCCCCGTGTCCCACCTCCGGCACCCCCCCGGCCTGCAGGCACAGGGGCTCCCGCACGACCAGTGCCCCGGCTCCCCCGCTCCCCCGCCCTGGGCTCTGCTCCCGCGCCGCCCGAGGGAGCTTGGCGGGACCGGCCGGACCTGGGGGGCCTGGGGGGGCTCCGGGGCCGCCGCCCGGGGCGGGGCCTCCCGCTGGGCCCCGGGCTCGGCGCTCGTGTTTTAAAAAAAGAAAAAAGGCTTTTTTTTTTTTTGAAAAGCATGTTTTAAATAAAGACAGAGCTAGGGCTCTCGGTGTAAGTCTTTTTTTTCCTTTTAAATATTCATTTATGTATTTGAGTTAGGAGAGCGGAGGCGGGGGGCGGGCCCCGGCGTCACGCCAAGCTGCGGCCGACGCTCCGCCCCTGCGCCCCCGCGTCGCGGCCCCTCCCTTCCCGGGGAGCCGAGGCCACGGGGTCACGTGACCGGGTCACGCAGCAAGGGCCGAGGCCGGGTGTCCGCCCAGGTCGTCCCCCGAGCCCGGGGTGCTAGCGAGGGGGGGCGGGGGTCGGCGACCCGGGAGGGCGCCCGTGCAGGCGGCCGCAGCGCCCGCGCCCGCCGCCGGCAAGGCGCAGCCGGAAGCGCAGGGGCGGGGCCTGAGGGAGCCCCGCCCCTTCCCCGCGCACGGCATTCTGGGAGTCGTAGTCCCTGTCCCTTCCGGGAGCTTCCCTTCCGCCAGTCCGAGAGGGACTGGACACGCCGTGCCGTCCGGAGCGCGGAGCTCGGTTACGTCCCGCGGTGCTGGCGGGCGGGGCGGCCCGAGAAGTCGGCGGGCGCCCGTCGGCCCGCCGCCGAGGACTACGACTCCCGGTTCGCACCGCGCGCAGGGCACCGCCCTGAGCTTCCGGCCTGGCGGCGCCGCGCGGCCCTCTGGGAGCGGTAGTCCGCGCGCGCGATTCACAGCGCCCAGTGCGCCCCGGGCGCGCCGTAGCCGCGGGGCCCCGACCGGGCGCTACGCTACGGAGGCGGCGCAGGGCGCGAGGCGGGTGAGGCGGGCGGGGCGGCTCCGCCACTCGGCGCGGGAGGCCGGCGGCACAAGTTGCGGCTGGGCCGGCACAGGCGAGCGGGCCGAGCCGCGGGGACGAGGCGGCGCCGCCAGGCCGCGGAGGTGAGTCTGGGCGGGTGGGCTGCGCAGGGGCGCTACGAGCTGCGGGCACCCCGGCCCCGAGCGCCCCGAGCCCCGGGCAGGCCCCGCGGCCGCTGTGCCGCGCTCCCGACTCCCACCCCGGACCCGGGTCCCGTCCCCGCCGAGTGTGCAGCCCCGAGCGGCCTCCGCGCCGACCGGCTGGGCCTCGGCTCCGCGGCCGTTGGGGCACCGGGGGCACGGGGGCCGCCTGCTGCTTCCACGGAGGGCGCCCGGCGGGCAGAGGCGCGGAGGGGCAGCCCGGGCTGCGGGGTCGCTGCTGCAGCTGCGGCGGGGCCTGGGGGCGCCCGCGCGAGGCTCAGGGCCCGGGTCAGAGCCCCAGGTCACGGCAGGCGCCCCGGACTCCCGCGGGCTCCCCAGCAGCCTGGGCCCCGGTCGGCCGAGCCCGGGCCTGCTGGCTTCCAGCCCCTGACCGAGCTGGGAGGAGGCCGCCGGGGCGAGGCCGGGCAGGGGCAGGGCCCGGGGCTGCGGGAGGGCAGAGCAGTGTCCTGGTCCACGCACACGCTCAGGAGGGGCCCCAGGGAACGTCGGCGACACCATCCCTCCCGCGAGGCCTGGCCTGGGCACCGGGGTGGATGTGCAGGTGCTGCGCCCCGGTCCGGCCGTCGCACTTGGGCAGCTCCCCTGCGATGGAGTGGGCTTCGTCCTCACCTCCCGGTGGCCAGGCTGCGGGACGGGCGTGGACGGCGCTGCAGGGCAGGAGGAGAGTGGGTCGGCGGCTGCCGCTCAGCAGTGCTGGTATGTCTGCGAGGCGTTGGCCACAGCTTCCCGCTCCCACGCCACCGTGGCCTAGACCTGAGGCCGGACTTCCTCCTCGCACACCGGCGGCCCCCGGCATCCCAGCTTTCCCTACAAGTCGCCCTTTGGAATCAGATTCATCTTGGAAGCCCAGGGCCACCTGCCCTGCGTCCATTTGACAGGAGGGGTGGCGCGTGTTGCAGCCCTGCCATCCCGGAGACGTGGCTATAGAGGCCTGAGTCCCAGGGCCCGGGCCGCACGGCTTCCCAGCCGCCGCCTTCCTCCCTTGGGGTGAGCTGAAGGCTCGGAGGCCCCTGCCCCCCTGAGGCTGTGCTGCTGGTGAGGCCCGAGGTCGTCAGGCTGCCCGGGCCAAGGTTGCGTCTGCCACCTGCAAACACAGAAGTGCCCGAAGTGAGAACGCATCTGGCACCCCTTGTTTCTCCGTAGAAGTTATTATGTGACGTTAAACAGTATCAAACTCGTGAAGTCAGAAACCGAAATTCAGAGAATGTCCCTGTTTCTCTGCAAATGCTGTTTTGGAGAATATGATTAATTTTCTGTGTGGTGCGCAAAGTGACATGTGACTCTGCAGACACTTAAGGACGTGCAGCGACCCGGTCCCCTCCCGTGTGGGCAGCCCAGGCCCCTAGTGTGTGCATCTGGTTCAGGGGCTCGTACCCCGCCCCCCCGCCCCCCGGGAAGCAGGTGCCTTGGAATGTACCGCAGACCCTGCCCGTCCCCTGCTGGTTGTTTCCCAGCTGCATCAGGTGTCCGGAGGTGCCCCCAGGTGCCCAGCTGCACGGCGAGGAGCCCCAACTGCTGTCCTGGCGCTGGCTGCCCGGACCTGTGAGGATGTCGGTCCCTGGCACGGGGGAGAGTCCAGAAATGCTGAGAAGAGTGGCCAGCACCCGCAGTGCGCTCAGGCAGCGGCTCCTGGTCAGGAGGGCGGGGGTGTGGACGGAGCACGGCTCCTCCTAGGAGGAGCTAGTGACCCGTCCGTGCCCGCGGCTTTGCTCCCAGGCCTGGCTGGCTCTGGGCGCGCGGCTGGGGCCCCTGGCCTCGGTGTTGCCTGAGGGCCCCGGTGAGCCGGTGGAGGCGGCCCCCGCGCTGCGGAGCCCGGGACCCTGTTCTGAGCCGAAGGAGCGGAGGGCACTGCGAGCACCCGTGCCCACCAGGTGCTGGTGCGCTGAGGATAAAGCTGCGGGGCTGGCGGCAGCGGTGCCTCCTTGAGGGGAGCGGCCAGTGACACCTGGATCTGAGTCCAGGTGACTCGCTAGCAGCCTGGCTGCTTACCTGGAGCCTGGCCCACTTGGTACCTCTGGGGAAGGTGGGCAGAGCCGGGCTGGCGGAGGCCCCGGCCCCTGGGCCCCAGAGCGTCAACAGTCCTCTGCTGTGCGGCAGCCCTGCTGGGGAGGTCGGGGTTCCAAACTAGGCAGCGAGGTGTTGGCTCAGCCTCCCGACTTCTCCAGAGCCACCAGCCTCCTCTGGGTAAGGCACAGATGCAGCTTCTGAAGGGCCACCAGCCACAGGGACACTCACAAATGCCCGAGGGTCGTCCCTTGTCCAGGCCCACGTGTCCGGAGGTGGGGTGACCCATGTGGCCCTGGCCTGGGGGTGGAGGCAGAGCCCAGACCGATTGCCTGGTTGGCACGCTTCGGTGGACCCTGGGCTCGTGCTGATAAGCCTGAGGGTGGGTCTGCAGGGCCAGAGTCCAGAATCTTCTGGGCAGGGGAGTGCCCTCCCGGTGCGTGTGCCCTCGGCTAAGCTGCTGTCGCCGAGCCTGCCTTCTGCGAGGGGAGGGCCCCTTCCCAAGTGCTGTGGTGTGACCAGGCCGCTCGTGGGGTGGCAGGGCTCGAGCGCAGTGTGGGCATCCCCGACAACGGCCGGTGCCCTCAGGCCCCCTTGAGTGTGGGGCCCGAGCCTGCGGTCCTGTCTGTGCGGGACGGGCTGCGGAGCAGGTGCGTCGGCTGCGCCTTTGGTGTTTCTTCCCCCGAAGCACCCGCGCGCCGCGCAGGCCTGATGGCCCATCCCCGTCACACCCTGCCCATCTGGGGGGCAGGTGGGGCTGGGGGAGGCAGGGAGGTCGAAGTCTGGCCCTCCCCAGACTGGGTCGGCCTAGCTTCACTCTGGCCGGCCCCGCCTGTCCTCAGGCTCGTGGCTGGCCTTCTGGGGGGTGGCCGCCAGGTGCAGGGAGCAGCAGTGTTCTGGGGTGCCCCCCAGCAGGCCGCTGTCCGCCATCCCTCCCCCATGCCTCTGCCCTGGGGCTGACCTGGGGGTTGCTACAGTTCGTGAGGACGGGGAGATTTAAGGAGGCTTGTCCTGGGCCCCGGGTGGGCAGTCGCGGACTTGGGACACCGTGTTCACCACCTCCCCCGGGAGCCATAGCGCGGCGTGGGGAGTGCGTGCAATGGGACGTGGTTGTGGGGGCCGCCCGGAAGAGGCATCACTAAGCAGCACGCAGCGGTGCAGAGCTCGGACCATTGGACTCTGGGACCCCGGGGCATGGGAAGAGCGGGACATAAACACCCCTGCTCGGGCCCCTGGTCCCCTCCACGACCTTACTTGCTCGCAGGTTGCTGACTCCTGCCGGCCATCGCTTTGCCCCGGTCCTTGCCCTGGCAAAGTCTCGCTGGGCAGAAGCAGCTCGCCTGTGTCCCTGCACCGCAGCACCCCGCCCCTGCTCCCCCCCACCCCGTGCTGGGGCCCGCAAGGGCAGGGGGGGAGCAGGTGGGCTCGGGTGGCAGGTCCTGCCATGATCTAAGCAGGTGCTCCCCGCGCAGGGTCGTAAAGAGGGGTTGTCCTCTTGGGGTGCACCGTGCTAGGCACGTGCCCCACCCCAGGCGGGGGGCAGGACGGCGGCCCCACCTCCATGGCTGCCTGAGGCCAGATCTAGGCCACTGCCCTGATTAATTGGAGGGCAGGGACTCCTGAACGAGAGCAGGGAGGACCAGCGCGGCGCCCTGTCGTGGAGCACCCACCTGTCTGCACGATGCAGCATGCAGGAGGCTGGCGTCCCCACGGCATGCCCTCCGGCTTCTGCCCAGAGAGATGCACTCCGCTTCATCCTTCAAGGCACAGCAGCTGGACGGGCAACCTGAGGGGCAGCCTGCAAACATTGTCGGTCACCTGGCGCGCACTGGACGCCAGGCTGTTTCCCAGGCGGGCCGAGATGCGCAGGGGGTGGGTGCTGCGCCCGGCACCTGCCGGCCTGGCCCGCGCCCGTGCCCCTGCCCGGAGAGGGAGGCGGCGCGGGCTGCTTTGCCCGCCCAGCAGGCCCCGTGGGGGAAGGGCGGTGGGACACTTGTCACCTGGAATTGGGGTTTCCTCTGCCCCTCGGGAGGCCCTCGCCTGAGCTTTGTCTCAGGTTCCGAGGCCTGGGGAGCAGGCTGTGTGAACACCCCCCGTGCCGCGTTACGGTGACGTGGAGCCGGGACAAGAGCCAGGGACTGGCCCCAGGCAGCATGGGACTGCTCAGCCAGGGTGCTCCACCAGGGGCTCCTACTCCCATGTCCTCTCCCCACCCCCGGACATGGGGGCGCCGTCATCCCTGAAGACCCCGAGACAGGCCCTCCTGAGCCAGCGGCTGCCAGCCTGTAGCCCACCCTGGAGGCCGCCCACCTGCCCGGCGGGGCCTGCAGGGTCAGGGGTCGCTGGGGGTGCCAGAAAGCCAGTGCAGCTGCTGCAGCCACTGCGGGGCTCAGGGGCGGCTCTGTGGCGGGCAGAGCGCTCCCTGCCGCTGCAGACCCCGCACATCAGCGCCGTTGGTGCGCATCGGGCAGCCCAGCCTGGGCAGGACCTTGGTGCTCTGTCCTCCGGCAGAGCCGGACCCCTGGGCAGCCTGGGCCACATCGTCACTTGGCCTCAGGGCTGCTTCCCCTGGGCGCCGGCCACCCCACCCCGCCCTCTGCCCTCACGGGGGACACGGGCAGAGCTCCTGGTCAAGGCCACCCAGCCCTGGGGCCAAGCACCCCCAGCGGGCATGACTGCCCCTCAGGCCTCCTCGGCCCTCCGCACTCTCTGCACCCTCCATCTGCCCGGGATTTTGCTACGAAAGGAACATGAGAGAGGCTTGGGCTCTTCGTAGTAGGGGCTCCCGCGTGGATGGAGCCCAGGGGTTCCAGGGGTTGCGGGGTCTGGTATAACCATGAGAGACGCAGGTGTCTGCGGTGACCCTGGCAGATGGGGATCTGGGCGCTGCCTGTGTGCAAGCCCCCGGCACGCACGGCCGCTGACTCGGGGGGAGTATGACCGCAGGAGTGCCCAGGGGTCCTGGCTGAGAGCAGCGTCCTGTAGCTCACGCGTGCTTGTACCTAGATTTCATGCTGATACCGAGATAGCTTGGATGTGTGGGTTACGTAAGGTGTTTTCCAGATTCCTGTCTGACCTTCACGTGGCTGCTGGATGACTGGACAGGGCGTCTGGGGCTCCCGTGGGGCTCCCATGGTCGGCCGCGGCAGACGTTCCTGCACAGAGGGGGTGGGATGGTGTGGGTTTTGCAGGCCCGGGGGCCTCTCCTCCTCTGGGCAGCTCGGGTGGACCCCGGAGGGGGCCTTGGGGCCAGGAGACTTGCAAGGCCACCAGACAGTGAGGGTGGCTGCTGCTGTCCACCCACATCCCCGTGCCTCCGAGGAAAGGCCGCCTGACAAACTCTTGCTGCACAGAGGACTCGGCCGGCCTGGCTGGAGCTTGTACGGGTTGGGGGCCCAGAGCTCCTCCGTGTGTCGCCTGGCCCCCACCCGCCTACCCTGTCCGAGCACCTGTGGGGCTGGGGGGACTGGGGAGGGGGCAGGCCGGGCTGCCGGGCGCTGTGCAGCCGGAGCCAAGCGCATGCCCTCCTGGGCCCCGAGCCTCGCAGGAACGGGCCTTGTTCAGATCGAGCCCTGAGGCCTTGCACTCAGCCGTGGGGCTCGGACGGTGTCCCCGGTACAGGCCGTCCCTGCCAGAGGCCCCGCCGGCTGCTCTTGGGGCCTCCGCCCCGCCGTGCACACTTGCTCGGTCCTCCTTTTCCTTTGGACAAATGCCCCTCAATCCTCTTTTCTATGATGAAGCGTGACCGTGGGGTCTGTTTCTCACGGTGGGGAGGCTCCCTTTAAAGACCAGCGAGCGGACGGATGCGGGCACCCCGGGCGGCTACGGGGTGGGGGTGGGCTCCAGCGGAGCAGGGCGCTGCTGGCGGGCGGGCCTCGGGCTGGGAGCCTCAGCCCACACCTCAGCCCCGCGGGGTTCCCGTGTGGGGCCGGGTGCCCAAGGCCCTCGCGTGCTGGGGCGCCCCAGGCTTTGGGGGGCTTCTTTCCTGTGAGTCATGCTGTTTCTCCTGTTTCTCTTTATTCTTTCTGTTTATCTGTGTTGTATGACCGAGCAGCCGGGCCCTGTCTGCCGCGTGGGCGTCGGCCTCCCTCCATGCTCCATCTCGCCCCCTGCCGGCCGCGTGTGACCAGGCCCGGGTCTCGGCGCGGCCGCCACCGCGGGGGCCATGGGGAGCTCCGCCTCCTCGCTGGCCACCGAGACCGAGTCGGACCACGGCTTCCCCGGGGCGCCGCCATACCCCGGGCCCCCTGCAGCAGCTGGCTGGTGTAGGAGCGGCCCGGGGGGCCCCGTCTGGGGCGGTGCCCTGGTCACCCGGCAGCACCAGCCCCCGAGGCCCCGGGCCCGAAGGTAAGAAGGTGGGGACGGGTGGCCTAAGGACAGGGTTTGCAGGGATGGGGCCCCAGACGGAGCTGTAGGGGAAGCCCGGGGCTCCGGGCGGCATGGGTCTGGGCCTGGCTGGCTGCTGCACCTGCGACAGGGACGGGGTGGCCTGCCTGCGGGGCTCTGGCTGCTCAGTCATACAGCCACTTCAGGAGCCTGTTCCTCGGAGTGGGGTGCAGGGGAGGCCCCGGTGCGTGCATGCGGTGCCACTGTGTTACACACCTTCCTGTGTGGGCTGCCTGTAGCCGCGGCCCCGCTCCACCCGGGGTCCAGCCTACGCTGCCTCAGCCCCCCGGGGCGCCTGGCTCAGAGGTTCTGGGGTGACGGGCACTGCCCACTGCTCGGGTCTGGGGCTGCTGGGCCCCAACGTCCCCCTCCTGCCTTTAGCCCACCCCGTGGCCCCACTGGACAGGGGCACCCGCTGCTCGGCAGGCGCTCAGGCTCCTCCGGCCTCGGGCGGAGGCCGTGGTAAGGCACTCTCCCTCTCGGGCGCCTGCCCTGCCGCCTTGGCCGTCACATCCGTGGACATGGCTCACTGGGGTCGGTGGGATGGGCAGCATCCTCATGGGTGTCCCATCTGGGGTGCTGTTAGACCGGAGGCCCACGCCCCCAGCAGAGGGGCAGCTGGCACGGCCCTCGGGTGGCCAGAGCCAGTGTTGGATCATCGGGAGCTTACTGTGCGGGCGTTCCGGTATAGGGGACGCGCTCACAGACGCGTGTCTTTCTGTGGCAGCCTTTTTGCCCTCTAACCTCACCCCCACAAGGTGCGGCTGCAGGGTTTGGAGTTGCTCACCCACATGGCCCCCGAACACCCTGCCCTTGGCCACCCTGTCTCCTGCCCATGGACGTGCCTTTTCTGGAGATGTCCTACAAGTGGAATCCAATATCTTTTGTGCCTGGTTTCTTTCACCAAGTGTGACACCCTCAGAGTCTGGCCACATGGTAGCAGGTGCCAGAGCTTTGTTCCTTCTGGCCGAATAATGAATACCCCATTGTATGGACGGACCCCATCCCGTTGTAGCCAGCCTGCAGTTAACGAACATTTGGGTATTTCCACTTGGTTTTTATGAACCGTGCCGCTGTGAGCATCCACGTGCCAGCTCCCACGCCGACATGTTCTCCCTTGGGTGGGGACCCTGGACGTGACGGCTGACGGTTACTGGACTCGGCTTAACTCTAAGAAACTACCAGGCTGTTTGCCACCAGCGGTGTAGGGGAGGGCGCTGGTTCCCCTCCGGCCCGGCCTGGCCTACGCTTGTGACCATCTGGTTCTAGACATGCCGGTGGGTGTGGGGCGCCGTCCCCACGTGGTTTGATCGGCATCTCCCTGACTGAGGACGCGGGGCATCTTCCCTTCATCTGTCCACACGCCTCTTAGAAATTCCCATTTACTTCCTTAGGCTAAACTGCTGGGAGTAGGATTCCTGGGTCTGGAGGGCCGGCCCCGCCAGCAGCAGACCGGGTAGACCCTGTGGGGCTGGCCAGGCAGCGGCCTCGCGCCGTGCCCGAGCGTGCAGAGGGGCACGCGTCTGCATCACTTTGGATCCTGGCGCCGCTGCCGCACCAAGTCGAACCTTCTCATTCCCCTGGCCTCCTGCTGGCCTCCTCCCCCGGGGGCACAGCGGCTCTTTCCCACCGCCCACCGTAGCCAGCCAGACCCAGGTCAGTCACTGTGCACCCCTGGGAGCAGCAGGCCAGGCAGGAGGAAATGCCGTGGGCCGCCTCGAGGGAGTCACAGACGCCCCGGCTTGGGGAGCAGGGGCAGGCAGATGGCAGGAAGAGGGACAGGCAGGTGGCCACACAACCACCCCCACAGGCGCCCTGCCCCCAACACCCCTGTACATGTGGACACATGGATGCACGCGTGTGCTGCTCTGCCACTGGGTGGAGGCGCAGCCTGCCCTGGGGGACCAGGGGGCCCTGAGGAAACCAGAACACCTGCCACGCCTGGGCCTGCTGCCTCCTGGGCCAGAGCCACCCGATTGCCCTGCTGCGGCCGGGAGAGCCAAGTGTGGGCGTGTTTCCCCGTCTCCACCGCCAGGGAGATGCAGAGCAGGAGGGTGACCCCAGAGGAAGGCACCCGGGCACGCCTCCGAGCCTTGGGGTCAGAGGTCAGGTGGCCACAGCTGTCGCCTTGTGTGTGGGGATGCCACGTGTCAGCCCGCCGTGTCTGGGGGGGAGAGGCATCCCCCAGTGGGGACCAGGAGCATCCACGTCCTGCTGACATGTGTTCTGCCAACTGGGGGACTTTGCTGTGTGCCCCAGCACAGCCCCACTCCCCCATCTTGGATAGGAATGTGGTGCTGGCAGTCCCCAGATTCGGAGGGCACCGCAGGTACTTGGGGTGGGGGTTCTCTGGAGAGTTGCCTCAATTTCCAGTTGACTTGGCCTTTCTTTCCAAGGCAGCTGATGCCCCCCAGGACATGACCCAGTCCATGCCCTGGAGTACATGATGCCGTGGAGTCTGCCGTGGGTCCGGGCTCCCTACGGTGGGCTTCCTCCCGGGCTGGTTGGGTGCCCTGGCCTCTCAGTGTCTCCTGAGCCCTTGGCTCCTGCCCAGGCCCCGCATCAGGTTGGGGTGACCTCAGGGTTGGGGCATCAGAGGAGGGGGGCCCAGGGACATGAAGGTAGGGGCCCAATCACGGGCTCCTCCAGGCACCCAGCCGCTGACCCTGGAGCCACTTCGCCTCAGCCTGCCCAGTGACACCGAGATGTGGGCGCGGGGGTCAGAGAGGGAGCAGAGCGCTGTCCCCGCCAGCTGTGCGGGGGCCCCTGTGCCACTGCTTGTCCTCTGGGTCCCCAAGGCTAAACTTAAGTTTTAGGCACTGTCTCCATTTAAACTTCTCTGAACCCCAGATACAGTCTTTGTGACGTGCTTTATCCACCACAATGGCTGTGAAACCTGCCGTGTCCCACCTGTGTGCCTGGGCACTGGCCAGGACCAGTGGACACCAGGCCTCGTGGTCAGCTAGGCCCAGGTCACGGACTGGCCAGCTAGCGGGTTAGGAGGGTCAGCAGGAGTTGAGCCCCCCCCCGTCCCCCAGGCTGTCCTCACCTTGCATCTGGGACCTCTCTGAGCCCTGGGGCCGAGGGCAGGTGTCCTAGCAGGGCTCATCCACCTCCTGCACGGGGCTCCCACACGGGGACAGGGGCTGAGTCTTCTCTCTGGAGACCCCTCCTGGGGCAGAGGGTCTGCAAAGTGTCAGACTAGCTCTGCTGGCCCCCGGAACCAAGCCAGGTGAGGTGCAGGGTGAGAGGCCGGCCCCTGAGCCTGGAACTGGGGTGCAGGCGGCCCAGGGCTGAACACGTGCATGTGTGTCCATGGGCACAAGCTGTGACCCACACCTGGACTGCGGGCCCTTCCCTGAGTGGGGAGTGGCATGGGGGGCCCCGGTGGTCTCCAGGAAGGTTTCCAAGGCTTTCGTAGCACAGAAGCCAGGGCGAAGCTGAGCTGCCCCGCTCTGCTGGTGCCGAGGGCCCTGCGTTGAGCCCAGCCTGGCACCGCCACACCTGCTCGCCCTATGGCCCCGCCTGGCAAGGCCGTGGGAGCCCGTGAGCCGCAGCGTGCAGGCTGGAAGGTGGCCTCTCAGTTGGCCCCAGGCCCTGGGAAACCATCCTGTTGCTCAGGGAGGTTTCTCGATTTTTTGAAGAAGCAAGTTTTCTTTCTTCCTGAACCAAAAGGGTTTGGCAGAAACACAGCGTCAGAAGCCTAGGCTTCGTGCCTCGAACAGAACAATTGATTTTTCTCCCAGGCAGAGCATCTGCAGTCAGCGTAGGGACTGGGTCGAGCTGTGTAGACGCCCCTCACACCCAGACTAGCTCTCGAGAAGCAGGTCGAGGGGCCGGCTGCGCCCCCGACATTGACCCAGCTCCCGCCAAGGCACCCTAGCGCCCCACATGCACTGCCCTCGGCTGTGCCAGGCACTGCCCACGCCCAGCCTCGTGGGGTGCCTGGCCGTCCCTGCGGCCCCTCCTCCGGGGCCGGGGCCCGAGCATCGGCCTTGCCCCTGAGTCATAGGTGTGTTCTGGGACGGGGGCTGCAGCCAGGGGAGGAGGCACTTGGAGACAGGCTGCTAGAGCAGCTGCTACACACAGGCTCCTCCGTTTGTCCCACTTTGACCTTGGGCACCCCGTGTCCCACCTGCCCGGTGACCTTACGGGGCTGGGCGGCGCTCTGCTACCGCCCCGCAGGGCTGCTGGGTGCTAGCGGGACCGGGCAGGGTGCGCGAGCGGCGGCCTGGTTGGCAGTGGGCGGGGGAGTGGACGGGCCTGCCCCTCGGACTACGGCCTGTCCCTCCCGTGAGCCACGCGTGCCCGGGCTCAGCCGTGTGCCGGCGGGCGGGCCTCAGCACTGCGGGATGGCCTCACGGTCAGGTGCGTGCCCAGGGGCCCGGGAAGACTGGAGGCAGCTGCTTCGGGGACGCAGCCGGCAGCCCCAGTCGGGGTGGTCGTCACCCACTCGTGCCCTGGCCCTCCAGCTCTTTTTTTTTTTAGATGAAATTTACATAAAGTAAGCATTTCAGAGGCCGTGACCCGCTGGTACCCAGCATCACCATTCCCCCCCCCCCGGGGCCCCCCGGCTTCTGGCCGCCTTTGCATCTCCTGCCCAAAGCTTTGGTGCAAACGACTCCGCGGCCTGTGGCCTTTGTGTCCGGCTTCCCCCACGTGGCATCTGGTCGGGCACGTGCGCGTCGTAGCCTGTACCACACGCACGTGTCCTCCGTTCCCTGACGTTTGTTTCCACCGCCTGACTGTTGTGAGTGGATCTGCCCGTGGGTTTGCTAGGGTTCCGCTCCTCGGTGCCCGGGGGGGTGTGCGCGGGGCCGGTGCCAAGTCGCAGAGGCTGCGGGGGCGCTGGGCCGTCCCCACCCTGCACGCCCCGGGGGCCCTGAACCATCTCCGGGGTTTGCTTTGCTCTTCCCTGAGGCAGGTGAAGTGAGCATCTCTCCACACACGCCCGTGGCCGCTCGTGTGTCCTCTGGAGAAATGACTGTTCCAGGCCTGTTTCTGAAAAGAGTTTTTATTGTCTGTTGTTCAGTTGTAAGAGCTCTTTGTTTCCTGGATACAAGACCCTTTTCAGACACGATTTGCAAATATTTTCTCTCATTTTATGAGTTCTCATCGCTCTCTTGGCTGTGCTCTTTGAAGCACGGAAGTTACTCATCTTCCTGAAGTATAATTTTTTTCCTTTATTTGCCTGTGCTTTTAGTGCCACATGTAATAATCCATTGTGAAAACCAAGATCACAAGAAATTTTAAGATTTTATGTATTTTGAGAGAGCGCACGTGCGAGCAGGGGAGAGGCGGCAGGGCAGAGAGCCTCAAGCAGACTCCCCGCTGAGCCCAGAGCCCAAAGGACCCAGCAACGTGCCCTTCGAGGTCACAGAAATTACTTAGGTTTTTTTTCTACAGATTTTGTGACTTTCCTACATTTCGATTATTGATCCATTTTGAGTTAATTTTTGAATATGGTGTGAAGAAAGGGCCCATCTTCCTTCCTTAGTGCTTAGATCCTGCCCTCCCAGCACCATTTGTTGAAAACTGCCCTTTCCCCACGGAGTGGTCTTGGCACCACTGCCTAACATGATTTCACCCAAGGCGGCCGGCTGGCTCAGTAGAGCCTCATAATCTTAATCTCGAGGCTGTGAGTTCAGGCCCCACATTGGGCCTTTTCAGTAGGTACTGAAAAGAAAAGAAAAATAAGGAAACGTGTGAGGGCATGTCTCCGGGTCCTTCAGCCCTGCCGTCCTGGCCGCACGGACCGTGTGGGGACTTGCGGTGTGTCCCTGTGGTAGTGCCGCCGGTCCTGATACTCCCTCTTTGAGGATTGTTTTGGCTCCTTGGGGGAGTCCTTGCAGTTTGACATGAATTTCAAAATCCACTTTTTCCATTCCTGGGGTGGGGAGAAGAGGCCACTGGGAAGTTGGTGGGGATTGCATTCCGCCTGTGAATCTGTAGGTCACTTTGGGTGTGACCATCACGTCAGCTGTATGGTCTTCGCTCTGAGCCCAGGGTGAGTGTCTGCTCGTTGGGGTCTTCTGTGGTTTCTTCCAGTCGAGCGTTGTAGCGCTCAGAGTACAAGGGTTCTCCTTCTTAAAATGTATCCCTAGGTGTTGGTGTAATTCTAGATGAGACCATTCTCCCACCTTCCCTTCTGTTGTGGCTGGCACGGCAACATGGCTCATGGTTGTGTGTCGGTCTCGTGCCCTCCAGTGTCGCTGGGTTCATCCGTTAGCTCTAGTGGTGGTTTTGGTGGATTCTTGGGGCTTCTATGTGTAGGATCGTGCCCTCTGTAAGCACAGGTGGCTTTACCTCTTCCTCCCCACTTGGATGCCTCTTAGCTCTTTGGCTGCCTCGTTGCTCTGGCTGGGACTGCAGTATGGTGCTGAGCCCCGGGTCTCAGGGGGACAGCCCGCAGCATGTCACTGCTGGGATGTGCGCCTGCTTTTGAGGAGGCTCTCTATCTAGCCTGTCGAGGAAGCTCATTTGTACGCTCCTGGAACTGATCGAAGTTGGCCTCCCCAGCAGGTTCCGTGGCCTCCAGGGTGGTGTGGCTCTGCCCCGTCCCGGCGTCTCCCCAGGCCCACCCCTCCGGAGGGGTCTCGGGACACACCTGTGAGGTCCCATGGGGCCTCCTGAGCCCTCAGAGTCCTGGAGCCCCACATGGGCTGCGCTCCGGGGCCTGCCGTTGTGGCTCGACCCCTTTGTCCCGGAGGACACTGTTGCCCTGGGCCTGCACTGATCAGGACCTTCCCTTGCAGCCACACGCACTCACCTGGGTCCATGGCCACGGTCGGGGAGTGGTCCTGTGCGCGCTGCACCTTCCTGAACCCGGCCGGCCAGCGCCAGTGCTCCATTTGTGAGGCCCCCCGGCACAAGCCCGACCTCGACCACATCCTCAGACTCAGCGTGGAGGAGCAGAAATGGCCCTGCGCCCGCTGCACCTTCCGAAACTTCCTGGGCAAGGAGACTTGCGAGGTGTGTGGCTTTGCCCCAGAGCCCGTGCCTGGCGCCGCCCTGCTGCCCGTCATCAACGGAGTCCTGGCAGAGCCCAGGGGCGGCTGCAAGGAGGACGCGGGTCCCGTGCGGACGGGGGGGCTGGCGCCTGCAGAGCCGCCTCAGAGGCGGCCCGATGAGGAGGAGGAGGAGGAGGCTGTGAAGGAGGAGCAGCAAAGGGCGGCGGAGCCCGGGAGTGGCTGGGCCTGCCAGCGCTGCACGCTGCACAACACGCCGGTGGCCAGCTCCTGCTCTGCCTGCGGGGGCCCCCGGAAACTCTCGCTGCCCAGAATACCCCCCGAGGCCCTGGTGGTCCCTGAGGTCGTTGCCCCTGCTGGCTTCCACGTCATTCCGGCCCCACCCCAGCCCGGGGAAAGCACCGAGGCTGACCTTCCCCCTGCCACTGACCAGGAGCCGCCCCGGGCGCCATCCTTCAGCCCCTTCTCGTCCACCCTGCAGAACAACCCTGTGCCTCGCAGCCGCCGCGAGGTGCCCCCGCAGCTGCAGCCACTGGTGCCTGAGGCTTCCCAGCCTTCACCCTCTGCCAGCTCCAAGGGGCCCTCCCAGGGCCCGGGGTGGACTGCAGCCGGGGCGTCCCGCCTGGCGGAGCTGTTGTCGAGCAAGCGACTGGGCATGCTGGAGGAGGAGGCCGAGGGCAGCCCGGCGCCGCACCGCTGCAGCTCCTGCTCCGCGCCCGGGCCCTCAAGCCCTGCACGCTGTGAGGTCTGCGGTGCCGCGCCGGGCAGCGATGTCATCGACCTGGCTGGAGACACTGTGCGCTATAAGCCAGCCACCCCCTCCAGCCCCGACTTCACCACCTGGTCGTGCGCCAAGTGCACACTCAAGAACCCCACGGCGGCCCCCCGGTGTACGGCCTGCGGCTGCTCCAAGCTACACGGCTTCCAGGAGCACGGTGAGCCCCCAACCCGCTGCCCAGACTGTGGCGTGGACAGGCCTGGGCCCTGCTCAGCCCACAAGGCCAGCTGCCCGTTCCCCGTGGCGCCGCCCGAGCGCCCGAACCAGTGGGCCTGCCCTGCCTGCACTCTGCTCAACGCGCCCCGGGCCAAGCACTGTGCCGCCTGTCACACGCCCCAGCTCCTGGTGGCCCAGCGCCGGGGTGTCACGCCCCTGAGGCGCAGGGAGAGCATGCACGTGGAGAAGCGGCGGCAGACAGACGAGGGTGAGGCCAAGGCCCTCTGGGAAAACATCGTGGCCTTCTGCCGGGAGGTGAGCGCCCTCGGACGGCTGGCTCTCCCCCACCCCCGATCAAGGCGGTTGCTCCTCTGTCCTTCCCTGCTGTCTGTTCTCTGGCCAGAGGGGCAGCACCCCTTCCTGCGAGCTCTGAGCTCCAGCCCACTCCCTGTCCCCGCATCCTGCGCCTTCTTCCCCTGTACCCATGAGGGTCCGTGACTCCGTTACCTGTGCTCCTGGCCCTCCTCAGTTGTGATTTCCCGTAGATGGTGAAGCCACCGGGAGGGGGGGATGAAGGGGGAGGCTTCGTGCCAGCAGGTGGGCCCCGTGCTTCCCCTGGCCGTGGAGACCCTGCTGGAACAGGATTGGGACTCTCCCTTGTGCTCTTCTGTCCTTGGAGGTGTGGAAAGCCTGAAGCCAGTGCAGCGCGACCCCCCAGAGTCACTGGGAGGGGCTGTCTGTCTCCCCTCGGGTTGCCACCCCATCACTGCCAGCCGCCTATCCTGACAGCCTGTCTGGGGGCGTGTGTCCTGGCTTCCACGTCCCAGCCAAGCTCCCACGTCTCTTATTGGGGCCTTCGGCATGGCAAGGGAGCCACCCAGGTTCCCTGCACCCTGTGGCCTCTAGGGTGGGGGCTGGAGCCCCCAGGGGCGTGCAGTGTCCCGGTGGGCTGCAGTCCCCTGTGCCCACACTGGGTGGTATGGCTCACCCAAGCCCTGGCCTAACCCTCCACATCAGTCAGGGTGGCCACACACACACCCTTTTCCTTCTGGAGCATTTTCAGGGTGTTCCGGGTGGTGGGCCTCAACCAGGTGGAGTCTGAGTGTGAGGCCATGCCCCTACAGAACAGTGTGAACTTCGTGGACGACAGCTTCCCCCCGGGGCCCGAGTCTGTGGGCTTCCCCGCGGGTGACAGCGTCCAGCAGCGCGTGCGGCAGTGGTTGCGGCCCCACGAGATCAACTGCTCCGTCTCCAGGGACCACAGCACCTCGTGGTCTGTGTTCCACACTCTCCGGCCCTCAGACATCCTGCAGGGGCTGCTGGGGAACTGCTGGTGAGCTGGGCGCCCACAGAGGGGCTGGGCAGCAGACAGTGTGGCAGTGCTCATGGTGAGGCCCCGGCTCTGTGCAGGTTCCTGAGCGCACTGGCTGTGCTGGCCGAGCGGCCTGACCTGGTCGAGCGGGTGATGGTCACACGCAGCCTGTGCGCTGAGGGCGCGTACCAGGTGCGGCTCTGCAAGGACGGCACATGGACAACGGTGCTCGTGGACGACATGCTGCCCTGTGACGAGGCTGGCTTCCTCCTCTTCTCCCAGGTGGCGGGGTGGGTGGGCACGGGAGGGACGTCGCAGGTGTCGGCAGGCGTCAGGCCTCACGACTCCAGCTCCTCCCCATAGGCTCAGCGGAAGCAGCTGTGGGTGGCCCTCATCGAGAAGGCGCTGGCCAAGCTGCACGGCTCCTACTTTGCCCTCCAGGCAGGGCGCGCCATCGAAGGCCTGGCCACGCTCACCGGTGCCCCCTGTGAGAGCCTGGCGCTGCAGGTCAGCTCCACTAACCCCCGAGAGGAGCCCGTTGACACTGACCTCATCTGGGCCAAAATGCTGAGTTCTAAGGAGGCTGGGTAAGAGGGGCGGGCGCTGTGGCGGTCAGCAGCGTTGGGAGGAGAGGCGAGACGAGGGGACAGCCAGGCCGGGGCCTGGAGCGGTGGGATGAGCAGGGCAAGTGCCCTCTGACCCACAGCCTGCATCTCCAGTGTTGCCAACATCCCCCACTGCCCGGCTGGTGTGGGGAGCAGGCAGGATGCTGCCCACTGGCCTGTACCTGGAAGGCCTCATTCTGACCTGGGCCTGTGATGACCATCAGCACCTGCTTGGAGCCGCGTGGAGGGAGCCCCACAGAGGCAGCTGGTGGGAGTGGGGTTTGCCTTCTAAGAGCTGGCACATGCTGGCCGGCGTGTCTGTGGGAAGGGCCTAGAACCTTAAGCCTGGGAGAGGTGGCTCCCTCGTGCCAAGACCTTGTGCTTTCAGCTGGTACGGGGCAGTATCGCCACCATCGGAGAGCCGCAGCCCTGCGCTGGCAGGACCGGGCCCGCCCAATCCCTAGCCCAAGGCTTCTGAGCTCTGGAAACACTGGAGGAAGCTGGGCCGGCACTTCCTGTGGCTCCCTGGGCCCCCACAGACAGGAAGGAACCCCCCCACCCTCCGGTGCTCACCACCCATCCATCCCCTTGCCCCTGTGCAGCACCTCCCCGCTGGGGGGCAGGGCCAGCAGAGGCCCCTGGGAGCGAAGGGGCTCCCGGTCATTGAGGCTGCTCTGCCCACACAGGTTCCTCATGGGTGCCTCCTGTGGGGGGGGCAACATGAAGGTGGACGATGCTGCCTACGAGAGCCTGGGTCTGCGTCCCCGCCATGCCTACTCTGTCCTGGATGTCCGCGACGTCCAGGGCTGCAGGTAGGGGCCGGGTGGATGTGTGGTGGAAGCAGTGGCAGGCGTGGTCCTGGCCCTCAGCCCTGTGGTCCACAGGCTCCTGCGCCTCCGGAACCCGTGGGGCCGCTTCTCCTGGAATGGCAGTTGGTCAGATGAGTGGCCTCACTGGCCGGGGCACCTGCGTGGCGAGCTCATGCCACACGGCAGCAGCGAGGGCGTCTTCTGGATGGAGTACAGCGACTTCATCAGGTACCTGGACCCTGCAGGCCTGGGCTGTACTGTGCCTCCCCCGTGGCAGTCCCCAGGCTCCAGCTGCCTTCCCCTGGGCTCACCTCCCGTGTCACCCACGTGTCCTGCCCAACACCTCGGGCCCTGAGCAATGCTAGAATGCCGGGCAGCTCAGGGTGCAGCCCTCCCCGGCGCCCCCTGCTGGTGTCCACAGGCCCCCCCAGACCCTGCTTCTGGGAGATGCCAAGGGTGCCCTGGGGCAGAGGGTGGAGGGGTCGCGGGAAGCTCCCGTGCCTGAGCCCGGGTGAAAGCTGCTGGGTGGGGCTGCCCTCGCGTCTAGGTACTTCGACTCCGTGGACATCTGCAAGGTGCACTCGGACTGGCAGGAGGCGCGTGTGCAGGGCTGCTTTCCCAGCTCCGCCAGCGGCCCCGTGGGGGTGACTGCTCTCACGGTGCTGGAGCGCGCGTCCCTGGAGTTCGCGCTCTTCCAGGAGGGCAGCAGGTGGGCGGGCCCCGAGCTGGGGGCGGGGCTACGTGCGGGGGCGGAGCCGCGGGCGGGGCTATGTGCCGGGATGGAGCGGGGCGACCGTGCTGTGGGCGGGGCGGGGTGGCGCGGGCGCGGGCTGCGGGCCGCTGACGGCGGGGTCGGTGGCCGCAGGCGCGCGGACTCGGTGGACAGCCACCTCCTGGACCTGTGCGTCCTGGTGTTCCGCGCGTCCTTCGGCAGCGGGGGCCGCCTGAGCCTGGGCCGCCTGCTGGCCCACAGCAAGCGTGCGGTCAAGAAGTTCGTCAACTGCGACGTGATGCTGGAGCCCGGCGAGTACGCCGTGGTGTGCTGTGCCTTCAACCACTGGAGCCCCGCGGCGCCCGGACCCCCGGCCAGCGCGCAGGGTACGCGCCCCGCCCCCGTCCCCCTGACCCCCGCCCCCCCACCCCCTGAGCCCCGCTCACTCGCCCCCCCCGCCCCCCTGCAGCCTCCAGCCCCTCCGCGGGGGCCCCGCGCTGCGCCCCGCAGCCGCCGGGCCACGTGCTGGCCGTGTACAGCTCCAGGCTGGTCATGGTGGAGCCCGTGGAGGCCCAGCCAACCACGCTGGCCGACGCCATCATCCTGCTCACCGAGAGCCGGGGCGAGCGCCACGAGGTGGGCCGGCCGGGCGGGCAGGGGGCTGGGCAGGGGGGCGGGAGGGCGCCGGGAGGGCACGGCCCGGGAACCCCCGCACGGAACCCCCGCCCACCCGCGCCCCGTCCTTGGCCAGGGCCGCGAGGGCATGACCTGCTACTACCTGACGCATGGCTGGGCAGGGCTCATCGTGGTGGTGGAGAACCGGCACCCCAAGTCCTACCTGCACGTGCAGTGCGACTGCTCCGACAGCTTCAACGTGGTGTCCACCCGGGGCAGCCTGCGCACCCAGGACAGCGTGCCCCCCCTGCACAGGTGCGCCCCGCCCCGCCCCCATGCCCCCTGGCCCGAAGCCTGCACAGGCCGCCACCGGCCCTCACCGGCCCCCTCCCCCAGGCAGGTCCTGGTGATCCTGTCCCAGCTGGAGGGCAACGCGGGCTTCTCCATCACGCACCGCCTGGCGCACCGCAAGGCTGCCCAGGCCTTCCTCAGTGACTGGACAACCTCCAGGGGCACCCACAGCCCCCCGCTCACACCCGAAGTCGCCGGCCTGCACGGCCCCCGGCCTCTGTGACCACCCCACCTTCCCAGCCTCCATGCGCACTTTATGAGGGAGACCCCAACAGAGGACGCTTGAACCAGAATCTCAGGACCCTGCCCAGGGAGCCACTAGCCGCAGTAGCTTCCCCTCGGCCTCGCCCCTGCCCTCCCTCCTGCCCAAGGCTCCCAGCACAATACCTCGAACCCGCCTGCAGCGGGGCCTGGACACCAGACCCTCTGCCCAGCCGCCTCAAGGCCGGCTTCAACTGCCAGGCTCCGACGAGGCTTCCCATTCCCCGAGGCAGCCAAGAGCCCTGCTCCTAGAACCATCGGGGCAGGTGGGAGGCCGCGACCCCAGAGCAAGAGCAGGGGTCCCTCCCTTGTAGGGGTCGGGTTGGGACCCAGGATGAAGAGCGATCATCTTCTCTATGACAGATCAGAGGCTGGGACCCCAGGGCAAGCAGGGACCACCCTGTCTGTGGGCCCTGAGACCAGGAGCCGTCTGTCCCCAGCTTGCCCCCAGAGCACATCGCCTGCCCCTGGCCCCCGCAGGGCAAGCGGGGCCCCTGGACTCCCAGCTGTGCATCCCAGGAGGAGGGTGCCTGGCAACCGTGGGCTCGGGGCTGGGATGGGGAAGGGCCCAGTGGCCCCTCTGGCGACACTATGCAATTCCTGGAGCCCCTGCCAGGACCCAAGAAGCCATGTCCCAGGGGCTGCGGGTCAGGGTCCCACCAGACCCAGCCCTGCTGCGTGGAGAGGTGGTGCATGCAGCGCCGCCTGACCTCTGCCAGGAGGACCAGGGCCGGCAGCCCCTCCAGCTCCTCCCCCACCTCAGACCCCGGAGCGGCCCGTGGCCCCCACCATCCTCCGCCGCGGCTCCATCAGGCTGGAGTCCCGCCTCTGCCGGGGACCTCTGAGGCCAGCTTCCTGGGCCCCTGGTCTCGGTGCCCAGCCCCACGGGCCGTGGGAAGCCCCAGGCCCTCCTACACCAGGAGACACTTGGGGCAGCACGGCCCTCCCTGGGGCCTCCTTTATAGCCCTTCCTTTTACTCTGAGCTGTGAATATTTTTAACCCTGTACATACGGCCAGCTCTTCCGACAGAGACTATTTTATCACTTGCAGTCCCCATCCCTGTAGGATGGTTCTTCACGGGGGTTTCCACACTCAGGCTCCAATGGACCAAATAAAAATGTTTTGTTTTCTAAGAGTGCCTCCCGGTCTGTGCCGCCCGTCCCGGGCCCCCCGCTGCCTCCCTGCCGTCCACGGGGAAGGGGTGCTCAGGGGCATCCCGTCGCTGGCACCTCTGAAGGACTGAGTGTCCGGGCAGGGCAGAGGCTTGGGCCAGACCCTGCAGCGGTCGTCAGCCTTGTCCCCGCGTGTGTGGCTTTTCCCCATGCGTCATCCTGTCGGGCGGACCTGTCCTCATCTGCCAGTCGGTGGCGGGGGGGGGGGGGGGGGGCGATGGAGCAGTGTCAGGCCCGGGTGCCGGCCGCCCTGTGCCTTCCCCGTGCCCTCCCGCGCACCCTGCGAGGCCCCAGCCCCGTGTCCTGGGTGGCGGGCTCCCCAGCGGCCGCCCACGGAGACTGCGGGTGGGTTGCGGGGCCGGCGCCGTGGAAGAGGCCTGTCACAGGCCAGCCTATCGAATGTGAAAGCAATTAAAGCCACCAGCAGTGTTCGCTCCGGGCGGGCCTCGGGCAGCGGGGCAGCTGCCACAGCACATCTCCCGGGCGCGCTGCGCCTCCGCGGCTGCGCTGGCCACGCGGGCTCTGTCCCGGGGGGGGGCTGCGTGGGGTTGGCACACACCTGGCCCTGTTCTCCCGGGGCGTCCTGGCGGCCTGGCCCAGGAAGGGAGAGGGGGATCGCGGGTGCCCCAGGTCCTTGTGTCCGGCCAGCAGGGGTGTCAGGGGGCTCCAGTGGGGAGTGGGGGGAGCGTAGTGGAAAGGGGCCCGGTGTTCACGGAGGAGTCGGGGAGGCCCCTCGTCCCGGTGCTGTTATGACTGGGGGGCTTAGGGGAGATGCTTGCGGGGCTGAGGTGGGGGCTTGGCCTGTCGGGAGGCCCCGGGAGGCGGCTGGGGAGCAGCGTGGCAGGGGACACGGGCAGGGGGCGGGGGGCGGGGATGGAGGAGAGGGGGCAGGGAACGGGCAGGGGATGCGCTGGGGGACAGGACAGGGGCTGGGTAGCAGCGTGGCAGGGGACAGGGGCAGGGCACAGGGGCTGGGGAGCAGCGTGGAGGAGGACAGGGGTGGGGCCAAGGGTCAGGGCCAGGTGTTTGGGGTCAGGCTGGGGACCAGGGCTGTGGCCGGGGCAGGGACACGCCAGTCAAGCCCAGTGCCTGGCTGCTGCCCGAGCAGCCGATGGCAGGCCCGTCCCAGTGTCGCACGAGCCACGCGGTGCGCAGTGCTGGTGTGTGGCACTGGGAGGCGACCTGTCAGAAGCACTTAGTGTACAAATTAGCCGCGGCCTCGCCTCCCTCCGTGCTGCGGGCGCCGGGCTGATGGGGCCGAGGCTCCAGGGCTCCCCGCCCGCGCTTCCCTGGCTGCCCGCCCGCCCACGCGCGGAGCTTCCCACCCACCCGACCTTGACGGGGGGGGGGGGGTGCGCAGGGGGCACGGGTCAGTGCCCACAGCTCCCCCGGGTCCGCGGCCCGCACCATGGGGGGACCCAGGGCGGGCGCCCCCTCTGCACCCTTGCAGCCGCCGCGGCCGCCTGCCACTCAGGCAGGGAAAATCGGCTGTGACAGGCCCAGGAAGGCCGGACCCCCAGGGCCGCGGCAGGCGCGCAGCTCCTCGCCCAGCATATGGCTGCTGTCGGCCGCGGGCGAGGGGGCGCGGGGTGGGGGGCACAGGGGGCCGCTCACCCCGCCCGCCGGCCTCGGTGACGGGGGCTCCCCCCTGCTGCTCCCTGCCCCGCGGAGCATCCCGGACCCTCCTCCCCACCCCTTCCCTCCCCGGGGGAGGACCTCACAGGTCGGGTTAGACGGCGCGGGGTGGCGGGGGGCAGCGGACAGTGGGATGAAGGCATCACCCCAGGGGAGCTGCAGCACCAGGGCCACTCCTGGGTCCCCTCGCAACCCCCCCAGGGCTCCCCAGGCTGTGCACATGCCCCCGGCCGCAGGCCACACTCCGGCCAGCCCTACCGCCCCCCGTGCCCGCCGTCACTGTCCTGGGCCCCGGCACTGCTCCCAGGGTCAGCAGCCTACAGCTGGCATCCAGACGCCCGGGTGACCCTGCCCCCGCTGGCCAAGCCCTGAGCGCACCCCTTCCAGCCACAAGTCCCGAGGCCACGTCAGAGTCGGCAACAGGAAGAAGTACTGACGATGTCGCTCGTTCCAGCCCAAGGGGCTCCTAGACCCTCCTGGTGTGTGCCCCGCCCCGCACCTGTCCTCTGGGTCCCTGGCCCCGTACCTGTCCTTTGGGCAAGGTTGCCCAGCCCTGCACCTGTCCTCTGGGTGCCCAGCCCCGCACCTGTCCTCTGGGTGCCCAGCCCCCCACCTGTCCTCTGGGCGAGGGTGCCCAGCTCCACACCTGTCCTCTGGGTCCCTGGCCCCGCACCTGTCCTGCCGAGTCCCGTGTGGGACGCTGAGGGAGGGAGACAGGCTGCCGTGGGCGCTGCCCCCCTGCCCCCTGCCTCCCCTGGCCGCGCATCCGTCCTGAGCACTCACCCCTGCGCGCAGGTACCAGCGCTAATGGAGGTGACAGGTGGACAGCCGTGGCCCAGCCGGGTGGCAGAGGTTAACGGCCAACACAAGGCTGTCGCAGGGGCAGAGGGAGGCAGCACAGCTCCCCATGCCCCCTGCACCGGGACAGGGGACAGTCCCTGCTCCCAGGACCCCACGGGCACAGAGTCTCCTCCACCCCCTCTGCCAATGAGGGGAACGAGGCAGGGGTCTCAGGGCTCAGAGCCACGTGGGTGGCCCAGCCTCAAGTCATGGGGATACCTGTCCCTGCTTCGGAGGACAGGGGCCACTTCTCCAGGCCCAAGTGGGTGCAGTAGGTCCCAGTGGGAGAGTCATGACCCCCCTGCACACCCCACTCCTGCGTGGAAAGTGGGACGAGCCCCGGACACAAAGATGTGCCAGCTGTGGGGGGGCAGAGAGCGTGGGGTGCAAGGGGCTGTGCACCTGGCGGGCTGGCCTCGCTCACACCCCTGTGCAGAGGCCACTGGGCTGCAGCTGCCCGGTTGGGCTCTCAGCCCCCCCACCCCCCGGCACAGACCCCCCTGGAAGCTCAGAAACGCACAAACGGCCCGTCCCTGGGCGCTGAGTCCCCCTGCAGGTGCTGCCACCTGGCGTCCTGCTCTAAATTCTGGAAGGGCCCACGCGTGGGGTGTCCTCTGTGGGCGGCGCTCAGGCACATGGGCCCGGGGCTCTCCTTGCTGTCCTGTGCCTTCGAGTCCTGGCCTCGTCCCCCCTCTCTGGGCTCCTTGGTCACTGGGCTTCCCCAGAGTCGTCTGGGCCGGGACGCAGGGCCACCTGCGGTGGGGACTTACGTGGCCGTGACCTCCCTTCCTCTGCAGGACGGGAGCGGACCCCCCGTGGCCCAGACCCTGTGCTGGCAGCCGCAGCCACTCCCGGGCCCCCGAGGGCTCAGCCAGTGAGGCTCAGGGAGGTGCACCCGGTACAGGGGACCAGGACTCCCCGGACCCACGCTGCCTCCTGGTGACCCGCGCCCCTTGCCCCCCGAGGACAGGGCCTGCGGCGCGGACCCCTCGCGGCCGAGCACGTCCAGGGGTCCGTGTGCAGAAGGCACAGGCCTCCTGGCCTCCACTCTCCACGGGGCTGCTGGCGTGACGGCCGCCCAAGCTGTCTCCCGGCCTAGGGCAGCCTACACGGTCAGCTGGTCAGCTGGGCCAGGCCAGGTGGGCGGAGGGGGGAGGTTGGCGGCCGTGCCACCCCACCGCGGCCCCCGGCCCTACCCTGCGCACCTGCCAGGGAGACGTGGGTGCACTCAGGTCGTGTCGGGGGAGGCCGTGGCGGGGTGGACAGGAGGCGCCCTCAGAGCAGCGTGTGTGCTGGGCGCACCCAGAGCCCCAGGGGGAGACCTGAGCCCCTGGAGGCCTGGCCACGCTCTGAGCTGCGGCCCACCGCCCTCCCGCCTGCCAGGGGAAGCCGAGGCCAGGCTCGGGGCAGGGAGGCTCGGGCAGGCGTGGTGCCCTCCTCTGGCCGCCCCACTGGCGGCAAGCACTAGTTCCGGCCCCCAGAGGACACTCCCTCCTTCCCCCAGCTCCTGCGCTCCCCGGCCTTTGCGGGAGAGTACCCCGTAAGCCAGGACCTGAGGCTGCGGGGAGGCTCCAGGACACCCTCCCGTGGCCAGCCGTGGCCCCCGGAACCGGCCCGTCCCTGGGCAGTGCTGGCTGTGTGGCAGCGCCCCATCACCGTGTCTGCCTGCAGTGGCTGCAGCTGGGACCCAAGCACAGGTTTGGGGGGCAGTGTGCAGCTGGGCAGACCTGGGGGGTGGCCTGCAGGGTGCTCCAGGGAGGGTCCTGGACCCCGCGACCCCACCCCCGCCCCCACCCCACCGCTCCTCCCCGGGAGGCCACGGCCCGGCCCATCTGCAAATAGCGGGCACTTGGCCACGGGGCCTGGGCACCCATCAGGGCGGAAAGGGGGTGGTGAGCCGGTGCTGAGCCCCGGTCCCGTGCGCCCGGCCCCCTGTGGGCAGGGCCCCAGGGCGCGCAGATCCCCACAGCCTCCTGTTCACCGGAGAGGAACCGGCTTGGGAAGGAGCCCAGGCTCGGCCAGGAGGGCGGGTGCCAGAAGACTTGCTCCCCTTCCCGCGCCCCGGGCTGCGGCCCCCCTCCTGGGCTGGGCTCCACGGGGGGTGGTCCCGCTGCACCCCCGCCCAGCTGGCGGGGCGCCCACAGCTCCCGGTCCCAGGGCGCAGCCCCAGGCCTTGGCTCGGGAGCGCGGCTGTCAGGGGCCAGAGCCTTGCCCTGACGGATGAGTGCTGACGGCGCCTGTCCCTGCGCCCCCAGCCGCTGACGCCCGTCACACCGCTGCGGGGACCCCGGGAGACCTGGCCGGCCGCGCGCACCCCCGCACCCCCGCGGCAGCCTGCAGGCGACGGGGGCGGGGATGGTGCCGCCCCACTCCAGCCGCACACCTGCGCCCGCACTCGGCGGCCTCCCTGCCAGCTCGGCACTGCCACCGTGTCCCCGGCCACCGTGTCCCCGGAGCGGCCGGCGCTGCCGACAGGGCTGAGCGAGAGGTGCAGGCACACAGGTGAGTGCGCGGGAAGGGGGGCGGTGGGCGGGGTGGGGGGCTGGGGAACGGGGGACGGGAGAGTGGGAATCGGGGGACCGGGACACCGCCATCCGCTGCCCGCCCCTCCCCCGGACCGGGTCGGAGGTCGCTGCACCCCCAGCCCCCACCCGGCGCAGGCGCAGCAGTCGGGCGCCAACTTCGGTGGGTGCGAGTCGGCGTCGGGGCGACGGGAGGTGGTGGCGGCTCCAGGAGACTCCAGCCAAGTGAGTGACTGTGGGGCGTGGGGGCGGGGCGTGCCCGGCGCTGGGCCTCAGTTTCCCCTGCGGGGCTCCATGTCGCTATCCCACGGGGCCCAGGTGGCGGCTGGCACCGGGTGCGGCTGCGGCGGGAAGTTTGCGCGCAGACTCTGCGGGCGCCGCGGGCTGGGCTCCAGCGGCGGGTGGCAGGGCGGAGAGAGGGGCCAGGGCGGCCGGGCTGGGGGCACAGGGACCAGGGGTGTGGAGTGGGAACCCTGGCGGCCGGGCTGGGGCGCGAGGAGGGGGGGCCAGGGAGTAGGGGCCGCCCGGGGTGTCCGGGCTGAGGGTGGTGGGGCGGGGAGGGGTGGTGGGGAGTGGGGGCCGGGGTGCCCAGGCTTGGAGCGTGGGGAGGGGGCCGGGAAGTGGGGGCCCAGGGAGTGTCCGGTGCGCCCAGCCCCCACCACCCGCATCTACGCAGGGCCCCAGGTGCAGCAGTGAGGTCCTTGCAGGCCGTGCAGGGGGAGGCACTTGGGGTCTCCACCGGCAAGGAGAAGCCATGGCTCCCCCACCCCGCCCTCCCGAGCCGTGGGAGCTGGCCAGGTCCCAGGGGTGGGGGGTGAGCTACACCCCCACCCCCTGCTGGTGCTGGGTCCAAGCTGGGGGCCCCTCTCCCACCGTGGGGAGGGGCCTCCTGCTACTGCCCTGACAGCAGCGCCTCTGCGGGGACAGGGGAGCAGGCTCCGGGGACAGGGGAGCAGGCTCCAGGGTCTGGCCCAGCACACCACCGGAGGGCAGGCTGCCCCGCAGCGGGCACCCAGTCGTGCGTTGGGACACATGTGCAAATAAATGTGCTTTGGGGGGGCGATGGGTGCATGCTGGTGTCTGGGAGTGTCTTCTGCTTGTGCACAAGCTAGCCGGGTGGGAGCCAGGCATCCTCCGGGTCCCCACGGGGTCAGCTCCTGAACAAGCCCCCAGGTGACAGATCTGAAGAGTGAGCGCAGGATGAGCCAGCCAGCTCCTGAGTCCAGAGGCCTGACTGGGAGGCGGGATGGGTGGTGGCACCAGGCGGCACAGCTGCGTGGCTCCCAGGGCTGGGTGATCGATGGCCCCAGTACAGCCGCCTCTGTCTCCCAGGCGCACATGCCCATTTGTCATCTGCATCTCGGGGAGGGTTCGGGAGACAGGGACGGGACCACCTCTGCTCCCACCATCGAGTCCAAGGGGGTCTGCTGCCCCTTGGGGAGCCCCAGGGCCCCCACCTCCTCCCAGCCCCTGCAGCCTTCTCCCAGCACGTCCCCTCCAAGGAACGGGTACCCACAAGCCGGCCAGCCCCTGCATGATCTGCTGCAGCCTCCGGCCCCGTGTTTGCCCTGCTGAGCTCCCCTGACGGGCCCCGCTGGGTGCCCACCCAGTGTCTGGGGAAGCAGACACGAGTGCCGGCAGTGGGCAGAGCCCGAAGGCCGATGGGGAGCACAGCGTGTGCCCGTGGTGGGGCAGCTGCCCAGCCCTGCTTTGCTCAGTCCACCGGCCACTCCTGAGCCCCAGGAAACAGGCGAGCATGTGTGCACGCCACCTGCGCCCCCCCCTTTACCGCGTAGGTCCCAGGTGCGTGCACCCGTGTGTGTACACACTGCCCCGATTGTGCCCAGGTGCCTACCCACACCCCCGGCCGTGCTGAGCGCTTTCACATGCGGAGCCGGTGTGTCCACTGTGTGGTGTGCAAATGTGAGTGTGTGTGTGTGCACTGAGCCCCACCTAGTCGGCCCAGCCATGCAAAGGCCACCCCTGCAGCGCCGGGGCGGGTAGGGGCTCATCTGGAGCCTTGTAATGCGGGTGTGCACGCACCCGCAGCCGGTGTGCACATGCTGACAGCGCGCCCCACTCAGGCGCACACTGGGCAGTGGAGGCCCAGGTGGCGGCCCAGATGGAGTGTGGAGAGGCTTCCGAGCGAGCGTGTGGGGTGTGGGGAGAGGAGGGTCTTGGCTGAGCTCAGCCGCTGCAGGCTCGGCCGCTGACCTGCCTGGAGCCACCCAGATGGAGCCAGGCTGAGCAGGTGGCTGTGCCAGGGGGCCAAGCTGTGATGTGCACGCCCCCCAGCCTGGCCTGGCCCCACATGAGGCTGACCCCCGCAGAGACCTCCAGTGCACACCCAGCGCCCCGCTGCTCAGGAACACGCAGGCACGCGGCCGTGAGACGCAGAGCTGGTTTCCCGGCACCGCGCAGGCTCTGCAGGGGGGCGAGCGGTGGAGGGTGGCCCGGCATGGGGTCGCCGCCCGGATGCCCACCGTGGGGACAGGGAACGGGCCTGCTGGGGGCTAGGTGCCGGGTGTGCTGGGCACACGCGGGGCCCCACACAGGGCACAGGACACCGGGGAAACCTTAGATGTCAGCGGAAGAGCAGGCTTTGCTGGCGTCCCCAGCAGTGGCTACAACGTGCCCCTGTCTTACCTTCCTGGGCCGGGCCTGGTGCAGCACCGGGGCAGCGGGGGGGGGGGGTGGACCTGGGGCACAGCCGGGCGCCCAAGACTCAGCCCAGGCCCCAGCGCCCCCGGAGCCGGGGGAGGGGGCGCAGAGGCCGTCGAGGGGCGGCACTGACCCCGGCCCCCTGTGTGCAGGTGGCCATGGGGCCAGGCCGGGCCCGCTAGCCGCCAGCCATGTCCCGAGAGACGGGCTCCTGCCGCCTGGGCCCCGGGGCGCGGGCACGGGCGCGGAAGCCCAAGAAGCCGCACTACATCCCGCGGCCGTGGGGCAAGCCCTACAACTACAAGTGCTTCCAGTGCCCGTTCACCTGCCTGGAGAAGTCGCACCTGTACAACCACATGAAGTACAGCCTCTGCAAGGACTCCCTGTCGCTGCTGCTTGACTCCCCTGACTGGGCCTGCCGCCACGCCCCCCCCGCACCCCGGGCCCGCACGCCCTCCCCTGAACGGCCCTCTGGCCCCTCCGACGCCGTGGGCAGCCAGCCCCGGGCCCCCACGGCTGACCCGGCCTCCGCTGTCCTGGCCCCGCACTGCCTCGCCGGGGGCCCCAAGCTGGGGGCTGAGGGGTCCCCGGGGGCGCCCTCCCCTGTGGCCCGGGAGGCCCAGAAGGACAGGGGCCGTGGGGGGCTGTGGGCCGAGCCCTGGAAGCCAGGCCCCCCGGACAGCAGCTGCGTCCCCTGCTACCCGCCGCCCGCCCCCGCGGAGCTGCCCGAGGCCCAGGGCCTCCACCTGTCCCTGCTGGGCGTCAACTGCCCGCTGGGGCCCGGCATCTTCTCCTACCTGGGGCCCTCCCTGGCTGCCGCGGCCCACGTGCCCCTCCTGGCCTCGGCTGGCCCTCTGCTGCCCCCCACTTCTGCCTTCCCATCTCCGCAGAGCCCCGACCGCCCGGCCCTGCTGCCCCGCCTCTACTACCCCCTGCTCCTGGAGCACACCCTGGGGCTCCCTGCGGGCAAGGCCGCCCCAGCCAAGCCCCTGGCCCCCCGGAAGGCGCCCCCCGGGACGCTGGTCCCCGGGCTCCTGAAGGCGCCTGTTCCCGGGCTGGGCAGGCCCTGGCCCCACAGCGCACCCAGAGCCCCGGGGCAGGAGGGGGAGCTGGACAGGAAGCTGCCCCCCGGCAGCCGGTCGGAGCCCCTGAAGGCCCCCTGCGGCACGCTGAAGCTCAGCTCCCAGAGCAGGTGGGTGTTGGGGTCCCAGCCAGGGGCGTGGGGGGTGCTGGGAGGCGAGCTGGCCAGGGCAGCCAGGCCCCCCTTCTTCGGGCCACATAGGGGAAAGCGGGGGCCTGGGGGGCGGGGTGACGGTGCAGCCTCTTGACCAGCTTCTGCCCCCCAGCCTGCGGCCCGGCCCGTCCGAGATGCTGTGGCCTGAGGACAAGGAGCCAGGCCACCCTGAGACCCCGGGCCCTGCGGCCCCCCTGCCCCAGCAGCCCCTGGGCCTGATGCCGGGCGGCCCCGGGCACGTGGGTGAGGACCTGACCCGGGCCCTGGGCGACTACGCCAGGGTGGAGCGGCGCCTGGGGCAGCTGACGCCCGTCGGGGGCCTGGCCCCTCGGCCTCTGCGGGAGCAGCTGGGCAAGATCCGCCAGGAGCTGCTCACCATCCACCAGGCACTGGAGCGGGCTGTGCGGCCCCTGGACGCACCCCTCGACCTCTCTGTGAAGCGGGCGCCCACCAAGGGGCCTGGGGGGGGCTGGGGGCCGCTGGAGCTGGGCCCCGCGCGGGCCCCAGGGACCCCCGAGCCCCCCAGCTTGCTGGGTCCCGCAGCCGCTGAGCCTTTCCCTGGCCACACCACCAAGTGCGAGGCTGACTCCAGCGTCCCGCCCCCAGGTCTGTCCCTTCAGGCCCCCGAGGACCCTATCATTCCTGGCAGCAGCTGGGGTGCCCGTGGCTCCTGGCCCCCCGATGCGCTCCCTGGCCTCCCGAGCCCCCCTGGTGCCGAGGTCTGAGCTCACACAGCTTTGCTGGCTCATCCGCCCTCACACGGGGTGGTCCTCCAAGCCCATGTCTGCTGCCTGGCCCCCACCTGCCCCGGCCCCGGGGGCGCGGCCCAGAGCCTGTCCAGCATGCCCATGGACGGACCTCCGCGCCGTGGTGTGGCCTCTCTCTGGGCCACAAGGGACACAGAGGGTCCCAGCTACTTATTGATCATAGTTGTGGACATTAAAATAGAAAACGTGTTCACACACCCCGTCTGGGCCTCCTTATTCGCCGGCCGGGCCTGCATCAGCCCTGGGATGCTCCCCACCGTGGAACGGCCCTGGACGTGGGCAGTATCCCCAGCCACCCTGCTGGGCGTCCTCCTTCAGATCCGGCCCCGCCTTGTGCGGACTGGGCCCTCCGGGGGAGCCGGGGTCTGGGAACAGAATGGGGAGTGCAGCGGCCAGAGCTGGGCAGGCAGGCCTGTGGGTCAGGGAACTGGGGGTGGATGGGAACCCCAGGGCGGCCCCCTGTGCTCCCACGGCTGCGGCTCCCTCTGCTGCGATGGGGCCCAGCGTGCCCTTCGCTGGCCCCCCGCCAGCCCCTGCGGCCACGATAGGCATCGGCGGCCTTCACAGCTCACTGCGTCCCTCCCCGCGCGGCCGTGCCGCAGGCGGGGGCACATGGGAGGGGTGCTGCTACTAATCGCGTCTGTCGCCGGGAGCTGGCCAGACCTCTGTGCCCACCAGGAGTGGCCCCGGGGAGGGCGGCTCCTGCCTGCACGCGGCTCCCCGCGCTGGAGCAGCCGGGCCAGGCCAGTCGGAGCAGGACCCACGGCCGCCCCATTAATCGCACCGGGCGGCTCCCCGCCGCGGGGCAGTGACAGGCCAAGTCCCTGGGGTGGGGTGAGAAGGGGCTGGGCAGCAGCTGACTGGGGTGCTGGGGGTGGGGATGGGGTCCCAGGGACCCGCTTTTCGCCTCTGTGGCGCCCCTACCAGGCCCAGTTGCACAGCTGCGGGATCAGGCCCAGCGAGGCGGCCACCAGCACGGGAGTTACTTCGTGGGGGGTGGGCTTTGGGGTCTGGGAGGGTGTGGGGGCCTCGCGGGAGCCGTGGGAATCACGTCCCAGAGGCCAGTGCAAAGGCCCCAGGCAGGAACGCGGCGGCGCTGGGGCAGCCCCGGGGAGGGCAGCTGAGGGTCCCCGGCCACCGGCCCCTCCCACCGGGTCCCAGCCCCTACCCCCAGGCTCTGGTTCCTAACAACAGAGGCTGCGGCTTCTGGAGCGCGGAGGCCAGCCCCAGGTAGGAGACCCCGGCCCCCTGCCTCTGAGTGGGGGGGGGGGGCAGGGGGCCTAGGAACCCCCCCATGCAACCCCTCAGGGGCTGGAACTTGCAAAGGGCGGAGCCTGGGGCTGCCCCCCAGGAAGGCTCATTTTCTTGCCTGGAGGAAGGAAGGGCTCCCTGGGCAGGTGAGCCTGAGAAAGGCGGCCCATGTGTCACCGGGCCCCCCAGCCCCGCCCCGGACCCCTCACCTCGGGACCTCCCAAGGCCCGAGCCCACGCAGGCCTCACAGCGGGACCCACAGCCAGCTCTGCACGTCCCACGTCCCGTGTGTCCCGGGAACGTTCCCAGGACCGCGCCTGGGAAATGGGGCCTAGCCCCCCGCTGCTTGCTGGGCTTGCAGGCTGGGCCCGCACTCAGGCCCCCTCCCCGCCCCCCCATGCCCAAGGCCTCCTGGTGAAGCCAGCAGCACCGCCGGGTGGGAGCGGGCGGGGGGGGGGGGGCAGGGGGGCGAGGGGGCCAGCGCTCCCCCCAAAGTGCCCATAATTTCTCTTGCAGTCGCATGCCGGGTCGGGCCACAGGACCTCGCCCAGGGGACCTGGGACTGGGATCTGTCGCCACCTGGCCGCGTGTCCCCTGGCCTCCGGGCCCCCAGGGCCCCCCGACCAGCTGGCCCCCCAGGGTCTGCCCTTCGCGCTGGACCCACCCGGAGAACCTGCTGGCCCTTGGTGGCCCCGGCTGCTTGGGCAGATCCCAGTGCCCGTGGGGGCAGGGGGGGGACCCCGGGGCCTGCACTGCTCCCCGGACGGCCTGCTCTTCCTGACGGCGGGGGCTGCGCCCTGCGTCCACGTGCTGGACCTTGAGGGACAACACGTCTGCTGCGTGCCCTGCCGCCTGCCGGGGGCCGGGGCCTTCGTGCCCGAGGACGTGGCCGTGACAGCTGCCAGGCTCGTGGTGGTCAGCGACCTCGTCCACGGGGCTCTCCGCGCGCTTCGGCACACTGCCCGCGCCCCCCAGGGCCGCTGGGTCACTGTGGGCGCCTTCCGAGCCCCACGGGGGCTGGCTGTGGATTCAGCCGGCCGCCTCCTGGTGACAGACTACATGCCCGGGGCCGTACACTGCCTCACGCTGGGCCCTGCCCTGGAGCTGTGCGCCGTGGGCCTGCAGGCTGTGGACAGTGCCTGCTGGGTGGGCCCCAGGCCCAATGGAGGACTGGCCCTGAGCGGGGAGCCTGGGGATGTGTGACTGTTTGGCAGCGCCTGCCAGCCCCTGGGCTCCCTCGGGGCGCTGACCGGGCACGCTTTCGGCACCCCAGCGGGCCTGTGCACTGATGCCTAGGGCAGCGTGATCGTGGCCGACGAGCACCGGCACCAGGTAACGCTGTTTCCTCGGGCCGGAGCGCCCGTCTGCCTTGTGTCCGAGGGCCTGAGGCGGCCCCTGGGGGTGGCCTGCGCCCCTCAGGGCCAGCTCATGGTGGCCGATGCTGGGAACGGCTCCATCAAGCTGTACGAGTACCGGTCCCAGCTGGCCTGAGCCTTGCGTGGGCGGGGCAGCCCGTCGTGGGCATTGTGGGGTGGCGCCAGACCCGGCTGCCTCCTGCGGAGGTGGTCCAGGGGCCCAGCCTCCAAAGCTGACCCAGCCTCATGGCCCCGCGTCCGCTCGGCCCCGGCTCTGCAGGGTCGGGGCAGCAGACCTGAGCTCTGGGGCTGGGTGGCGGGGGGGCTGCTGGGCAGGGGCCCCAGCCCAGCTCCTAATCAGGCCGGACCAGGCAGGGCGGGCGCGGCGGGCAGGCGGGGCGGGCAGGCGGGGCGGGGTGGGGCAGGGGTGCCACCTTCCCTGTCCCCATCTGCAGAGGCCCCCGTGCCCCAAGCCTCTTGCAGCTTCTCTGGGCCTCACTGAGGTAAGGGAACGAAGGCGGACAGCCCCGGGGCACCAGGGGGGGTCCCGCCCCGTCCGCTTCTCCCGTGTGGGGCTCTCCCCCAGGCTGAACCTGTATTTTCTCCTCTGCAAACCAGGAGCAAATGGCTCCAAGCTCACGGTGGGGCGTGCCGGAAGGTTCCAGGCGGCGGTCATGCCAGGAGAGCTTCCCAGGAGGAAGGACTCCTGTTACTGAGAGCAGTGGCCAAACAGGCCCGGGAGGGGGGGACACGAGGGTGGGATGCTGCATGCGGGGTGCAGCCGGTCCCCGAGTCCCAGTGAGGGGCTCCGTGGAGGGGACAGGGCCTGGTGCAGTCTGTCACCGGGACTTTGCCCCTGATGGGGTCCCCGTCACATGCAGTAGCCCTGTGGGCACAGGGCGACGAGGTCTGCGTGAGGACACACGTGCTCAGTAAATGTGACTTGTTGCTACTGGTGTTGGGGATACGCTTGCCCTGTGCGGAGGGGCTGGGGACACCTCTGACGTCCCAGCCCATGGCCCCAGGGGAATCCAGATGTGCCCCTTTGCATAGCCTGGGGTTGGAGGGAGCCAGTCGGGAGCTGGGGAGGTGGCTCCTCCTGGAACCCCACCCAGGGCTGGGGGTCCTTTCATCCTGGGAGGATGGCGGCCCTCAAGCCAGGTCCACTGGGTCCCTCAGGTGACCACATGGGGTGGGGGAGGTTTGGCGACTGTGAGAAGGTGGGGACTGGGGGGTGGGGGTAGGTGACGCTGCAGGTGGACTGGGCTGGGCGAGGCCCGTGGGGGGATGGTGTGGGGACGAGGATTCTGGGTGGGATGGGGACTGGGGGAGGACAAGGACCATGGGGCATGGGGAGGCTGAGGATGGTGGAGGGACAGGGACAGGGGATGACAGGGATGGTGGGGGATGGGGATGGTGGGGGATGGGGCAGGACAAGGACAGTGGGGGGTGGGGGACGAGGGCGGCGGGGGAACAAGGACGGGGGATGGGGATGGAGACAGTGGGAAGGCGGGACGGGGACGGGGACAGGGATGGGGACGCCTCACCGCCAACTCTGGGCACAGGAACGTTCTGGGGCCGGAACGCTCGGGCGGGGTCAGCGGGCAGCCCGGGCGCCTTTGGGGGCCGGACCGTCGCGCAGCAACGCGGGGAGCGGGCGGAAATGGGGCTTGTGTCCCGCGGCGGGGCTGGGGGCGCCGAGTGCCGTCCGCCCGGGCCGCCCGACGCCGTCCGCCAGCCCATCTCGACCCCGCAGCCAAGGGCGCGGCCCCGGGGAGCAGCCGGTGAGCATCCGCGGGGCGCTTCCCCCAGGGCGCAGGCGAGGCGGCGGGCGGGGCCCCGAGTCCGGTCCCCCGTAGGGTGGGGGCTCTGCGGGGTCCCCCAGCCTCCCCCCGGCCTCGTGGGCGCCGGGCCGGTGACTTCAGAACAAACAGAACAGAAAAACCCAAAACAGAATGGTAGCTTCGGGGAGGAAGGGCTGGTTGCCGCACGCGGAGTCGGCGTCACCCCAAGGGCAGCGGCCCCGCCCCCGCGCTCGCCCCGCCCCTCAGGCCCCGCGCTCGCCCCGCCCCGCCCCCGCGCTCGCCCCGCCCCCGCCCTCCCGCCGTCTGATCCGAGCGGGGCCCCGGGCTCCCAGGGCGGGCGACCAGGCGCGGGTGCGCAGGTGGCCCCTGGGTCGCCCCCCGCCCCCAACAGATGAGAGCATCCGCTTCTGCCCTCTGCGCTTCCTCCCCACATAGAAGGGGCGGCTGCTGCTGGGGCTGCTGCTGCTGCTCTTTCTTCTTCTGTTTTTAGGCAAACTTTGTAGATGAAACACAACACGCACAAAGAAAACGCACAAACCGCGCGCGTGCAACTCCCCGAATTCTCCCGGAGTAAAAACACTGTCGCTCCGACAGATGCAGCTTCCCCCAGAGCATCTGTTCACTGTCAGGCCAATTGTTTTTCTTCTCCGACAGTAGCCGCGGGTGGTTTTCCCTACTTCCTGCAGAGGAGTCCCCAGGGGGTGTGATTGGCTGTGGGGGGGCCGCCCCTGTGTCTCCACGAGAGGCCCTGGCGGTGATGCCCGCCCTGTGATGGCCAGCAAGCCTGACCACCAGGCCGGTCTCAGCCTGGCGTTGTCAGGAGGGGCAGGAAGCGCGGCCCTGGGATGGGGGATGTGGCGGGCGCTGGCTGGGCGAGGAGGGCTGTGTGGGCCGCTCAGCGGGGGCCGCAGGGGGTGTGGGTTGCTGGGAGAGGCCTCTGCCTTCCCACCCACCCGGGCTCCCCGCAGGGAAGGAAAGCAGCCCACCAGATCTCGCAGGCCCTGGGTGTTTGTGCCCCGTAAGGCCTCTCCGGAAAGACGTCCTGCTCTCCCAACACATAGGTCCCCCGGGGCCTGTGCTCCTTCCAGGCCTGCGTCCCTCTCCCGGGTGTGGGCTCCAGCTCGGGGGTCTCACCCCACAGTGGCTGCTCTGTGCTTTGTGGGGACCCTCAGCATCTGAGAAAGAGCAAGCTCCAAGGTGAAGCCCTCAGGGCTCCGCGGGGGGGAAGGCAGTGCTTGCCGAGAAGCCTGCATCCCCATCCCCGTGAGCTCAGCCCTGGGTGAGGCTCGGGGTCAAGGTCAAGGTCGAGGCACTTGGGGCCAGTTTTGCCGCCCAGAGGCCCCGGGAGAGGCGCCCCGGGAGAGGCGTGAGGGGCCGGGAGGGCACATGCCCCTCATCCTGAGACCAGGCCGTGGGGAGCTGGCCGTCCTCCAGGTCCCTGTGTTGAGACCGCTGGCTAGCTCAGCTGCAGCAGGAGAAGATAGCCGCCCGCCCCCCCACGGCCCCGAAACGGTGGGTGGGCCCAGCCATGGGCCAGAGGCTCGGCATAGCGGCCATGGCGCCACGAACGCCCCGAGGCTCCTCTGGGGGCTCCCCGGACGAGGTGGGCTTGCTTGGAGCGCGGCCCCTGCGCCAGGGCCCGCAGCCACCAGCAGGAACGCATTTAAATTTTCATCTTTATTCTCTGCAGGTTAGTCAGTAAATCAAGGTTCGTTAGATTCAACGCGAGTGACTTTTATTGTTAGAGTGTACGTTTTCCCGTGTGCTGCGTGAAGGCGACTCTCCTCAGTTTCCTTGAAAACAAAGCCGAAGCCGCTGTGGTCAGCCCTGCACACCCTCGTGAGTGGTGCAGGGGGTCGTGCCCCCACCCTGCGGGGCCTCGCTTGTCACCCAAACCTCCGGGACCACGCCCAAGGCCCGGGCGCCCCCCCAAGGGCCCTGTGGTCTGCGAGCCGGGGCCTGCACTGAGCCTGTGCCCTCTCTTCCAGCGTGCCCGGCATGGTGCTCAAGGCCTTCTTTCCCACGTGCTGCATGTCGGCCGACAGCGGCCTGCTGGTTGGACGGTGGGTCCCGGAGCAGAGCAGCGCTGTGGTCTTGGCCGTGGTGCACTTTCCCTTCATCCCCGTGCAGGTGAAGGAGCTCCTGGCGCAGGTGCATCAGGCCAGCCGGGTGGGGCTGGCCGTGCTGGGCACATGGTGCCACCGCCGCCAGGACGCTGAGGAGGGCCTGGGCCACTTCCTGGAGGGCCTGGGTGCCATCTTCTCCCACGAGCCCTGGCTCCAGCTCTCCCGGGAGAGGGGCGGCAAGCTCTGGAGCTGCAAGGCCACCTGCCGCCAGGGGCCCCCTGGCCCTGCAGCCCCGGACGAGGACCAGGTCATGCTCGTCTTCTACAACCAGCGCAAGGTGCTGCTGTCCCAGCTGCACCCGGCCGCGGCCCTGCCTGACCGCCAGGCGGGTGATGGCACGGCCGGTGCTGAGGGCTTGGCTGTCGTCTTTGACACGGTGGCTCGCAGCGAGGCGCTCTTCCGGAGTGACCGCTTCGACGACAGCCCCGTGCGGCTGAGCCACTGGCAGTCGGAGGGCGTGGAGGCCAGCATCCTCGCAGAGCTAGCGAAGCGGGCCTCGGGGCCCATCTGCGCGCTGCTGGCCTGCCTGCTGTCCCTTGTGTCGGCCGCCAGCACCTGCCGGTAGGTGCCCCTGGGGCCGGGGCGGGAGGAGGTCAGGGCCCTGCGCCCGAGGCCCGCCCCCCAGCGTCTGGGGCCTAGAGGCCCCCGCTGCCCTCTCCCCCGGCAGCTCAGGGCACCTGGCAGTGGTTGCCGCCTGCCGTCATGCTCCCTGGGCAGAGCGGGCTCCCTCGGCAGCCTCAGCGGTTGTGTGGGACCCGCTGGGTGGTGGTTCAGGGTGCGCTTCCCGTGGCTCAGCTTGGACGGCAGGCTGTTGCTGTCCAGGGCCCGGCGCAGGTGAGTTGTTCTCCTGAAGGCATCGGGTCCCACCGACCCCCCTAGCCCTGGGGGCAGCGTCCACTCACTGAAGGACGTGGGGCAGGGTGGTGGTCCCCCGCCGTGGCACTTCTGCACGGTCACCTGGATGCCCCAGGCTGCAGGCCCAGCCGAGGGATTGGGGTGGCACCGGGTCCTGGCTGGGTGACCGGAGGCCTGCGGCTGTCGGGCGGGGCTGGCCACCCTGCTCCCCCAGGGCTGCACGGCGCTGCGGCCAGGTTGGCAGAGAGCCCTGGCAGCCGTGGGGACACGCCTCAGGCCAAGGGCCGCAGGGCGTCTGACGGAAAGATGGGGTTTGGACCCTCACAGTTCCCGGGAATGAATGACAGGGAAGCATGTCACCCAAGGTGCCGCACAGGGAGACATAGTCCTTAGCTTTTATCGCCTCCCCGAGGGCTTGAGGAAGGTCAGCAACTGCTCGTGTGCCGCAAGTCATGCTCAGCCCATCGGGCTGGGCCATGGTCGGAGCGCACCGACAGTCACTGGGCAGGGGAGAAGCCCCCTCGCCTGCGCGGCAGCCCCAGGGACAGTCTGCGCCTGGGGGAGCCTGGGGAGGTGCCTCTCCAGTGCTGAGGGTCCCTGCGTGGCCAGCTGGTGGCTCTGCACTCACCTGCCCTGCAGCTTCCTCTCGGCGCTTGCTTTGCCTTGTGAGAGGTCCGTGTCGCTGGGCAGCCCGGGGGGCCTGGACATCCTTGATGACGTTCACCAGGGCAAGGCGCCGGGTGGCGAGATGCACAAGCCCCTGCTCTGTGTGGACGTTGGGCTCCCCATTAGCAGCCCTGGGTGACCCGGGACCCCGCCGGGCTGCCTGCATGTGCCCCCCTGGGGTGTCCCTGTCCAGCTGAGGTCAGGGCCTCCCGGCCTGAGGTGAGCCTGGGGAGGGTGTCGCCGCCAGCTGGGGGGGCCCTCGCTCCCGGGCAGGCAGCGGAAGCTGGCAGGGCCTGAGCGTCCACCTCTCCCCGCAGGCTGTTCCAACTGTGGCCTCTGTCCTTCATCTGCAGCAAGCTCTCTGTGTGCGAGCAGCTCAGACACCGGCTAGAGCAGCTCACACTCATCTTCAGCACCCAGAAGGCCGAGACCCCCGCCCAGTTCATGAGGTGCAGGGCCTGCCTGGGTCTCCCTCGCGGTGGCACCCCTCTGGTCACCAAGCCCACCCCCACTGACCGCCCCCGCCCGTTGGACCCCCTCGCAGGAAGGCCAACGTGCTGGTCTCCGTGCTTCTCGATGTGACCCTTGGCCTCGCGCTGCTGTCCTGGCTTCATGGGAAGGACTGCATCGGGCAGCTGGCCAAGGCCCTCGTCCCTGTGGCTGACGTGAGTTGGTCGGGGAGCCTGGTGGTCCTGGAGCATCTGTGTCCTGGGGATGGGCGGGGGGACCCTTTCTGGGGGTGGCCGAGCAGCCCTGCCCTTTCCTTCTGTTGGGCAGTAGAGCAGCCATCTGCGCAGTAGGCGCCCCAGAGACCTTCCAAGTGTCCAGGGCCGCGTGCGTGCCATCAGCCCGGGCCTCACGCCTGTGGCGCTCCGGCCCCTCCCGCGCGGCTCCGTGCTCCCCTGCTATGGCCTCCCCCGCTGTCCACGCCTTCCCCAGAGCCAGAGGCCCCACTGGGAGCTGGTCGTCCTGTGTGGGGCAGTCCCTCTGGCCCCTTGGGCTCCCCTAGGCCTCTGCCAGTGGCCTCCTGGCTCCGGCTGGGTGGCCTTCACGTGTGCCTGGGCCTGCGCGTGGATAGGAGCCCCCGGGGCCTCTTGGGAGGCTCCATCGAGAGGAGGGGAAGGGGCGCCTGGCGGTCAGGATGGGGGCTGTGCCGTGGCACCTCACTCACCCACACTCTGGTTTTGGCCAGCTCCCTCTTCGACATCCCCGCTGCAGAACTGCACAGGAATATAAATATTTAATTGAAAAATGAAAGCCTCTTCCTGCCGCCCAGCTCTTATCCTTTAAATATTAGATAAGCTCTATTTATAAAGAATGTTGTGTTCTTTTTCTCACTGCCCCGGATTGGCCGAGGCTTCCCAGGCCCGCACGGTAGGCAGTAGGGGGAGCGACAGCCTCTGATCGTGAGGCAGGGCTGCCTCAGCCGTGGCCTCCGCACTGCTGACGCAGCGGAGGGTCCCGGGGCCATGCTCAGGGCGTGGACACAGGCTTTCCTCCCTGGGCAGCCAGGACGCCGCTCAGCTTCCCTGCTTGCTGGTGAGAGTCCTGGTGCCATCACTGGGCCTCACCGGACATTCCTTTTTTTTTTTTTTTTTTTTTTTTTTTTTAAAGGTTTTTTTTTTTTTTTTCAATTTTTATTTATTTATGATAGTCACAGAGAGAGAGAGAGAGAGAGGCAGAGACACAGGCAGAGGGAGAAGCAGGCTCCATGCACCGGGAGCCTGATGTGGGATTCGATCCCGGGTCTCCAGGATCGCGCCCTGGGCCAAAGGCAGGCGCCAAACCGCTGCGCCACCCAGGGATCCCCTCACCGGACATTCCTGACCTCTAGGGAACCCGTGGCCTTCCCACCGGCCCCCCAGGCCCCTGCTGGGTTGGACACCCTCAGGGTCACCTGAGGTCACCTGCGCAGACACAGGCCTCTGGGGTACCCTGGCACGTGGAGGGCGGGATCCTCAGCAGAGGGGGCTGGGTAGGCCCATCAGCTCCCCCGAGGTTCCTGGCTGGCTGGGGTCTGCCCTACATGTGGGCATATGGGGCCAGAGGAGTGAAGTGGAGGCCGGCTGGTGCCCATCAGGGCCCCTGCAGCCCAAGGGCCAGACTGTCAGCCTTGCAGGCCGTGAAGAAGGGCTCCTTGGCCAGACACACAGGGAACCTTGTGTGCCCCTCGCGCTAGGAGCCACCTGGAGGGGGCACCCAGACTGCCCTTTCCCCGCCCAGTGGGTTGGACCCCTGCCCCTGTGTGTCTACAGCATGTGGCCGAGGAGCTCCAGCATCTGCTGCAGTGGCTGATGGGTGCTCCCGCTGGGCTGAAGATGAACCGGGCGCTGGACCAGGTGCTGGGCCGCTTCTTCTTGTACCACCTGCACCTGTGGATCAGTGAGTGCCCGCTGCACCGGCCCCACTGAGCCCCACGAGTCCTGGAGCCTGTGCCCCCGGGTCACGGAGCCCTGGCTGAGCCGGGAAGCTGAGGCCAGGCCGGGCCCCGTCCCCTTGGTGCCTGCTTTCTGCCCCCTTGGCGCCCCATGCACGTGCATGTGTAGCCCTGCTCTGCTGGGCCGGATGCTCGGCCAGGCGACGGCCAGCAGTGAATTCTGTTGCTCGCAGTTTCCAGAAGCCTCAGGAGCCCCTTCAGTGAGGAATTGGGGAGGGCCAGGACCTCCCTGGGGCCCCCCTCAGGGCGAACCCCCTTCCCTACAGGCTACATCCACCTCATGTCCCCCTTCATCGAGCGCATCCTGTGGCATGTGGGCCTCTCAGCCTGCCTGGGCCTCACGGTCGCCCTGTCCATCCTGTCTGACATCATTGCTCTTCTCACCTTCCACATCTACTGCTTCTACGTCTACGGTGCCAGGTGGGTATGCACCCCCATCCTTGCCGGCTGGCTCCGGGCCGCCTTCCAATCCCTGGGTGCGTGGACACTCCTAGGGCCTGGTGGCCGCCAGGGTGGCACAGCAGCCTGGCCATGGTGCCCATGCCCTGCAGGCTGTACTGCCTGAAGATCTGTGGCCTGTCCTCACTGTGGCGTCTGTTCCGGGGAAAGAAGTGGAACGTTCTGCGCCAGCGGGTGGACTCCTGCTCCTATGACCTGGACCAGGTACTGGGCAGGACTGCAGGGAAGGGGGCACCCCAGCCCCGGGGGCCAGTGGGACCCACAGGTGATCGCCTCCGAGCTCCCATCCACGTGGTCCCTCTATGTGAGCCTGGTCTGTGTGGCTGCCCAGCACCGTGACGGGGTGGCCACACTCCTGTGTAGCTCACCTGCCAGCAGGTCAGCATGGTCCCCGGGGACCGTGGGGAGGCGGCAAGGGGCACGTGGAGCCCTCAGACTGTGCGGGACGGTGCCCCAGGAGGGAGGTGGACCCTCTCCCAGAGCTCCTGGACGGCAGGGCATGCAGGCGACCTGCGCGCAGGACCTGGCTCTGGCTTTCCTCGCAGCGCGCTCAGATCCGTGTGTAGCCTGCAGGGCAGCTTCTCCCGCCTGAGTTCACAGCCCTCCCGTATGTGCCCTGCTGTATGTGCCCACTCGGTGCAGCGGCTTCTCTGTCCCCACGTGTCAGTGTGGCTCCCAGAGCTGTCTCGGGAAGCTACCCAGGCCCTGTTGGTGGCACCCATCTGTGCTCGGTGACAGGGAGGGATGGGTGGGGATGGGCAGCGGAGGTGTGTCCCATGCCGCGGGGCTGTCCCCGGCGTGGGGCTCTTGCTGATGCTCCGGTGTCCTTTGTCCCTGTAGCTGTTCATCGGGACTTTGCTCTTCACCATCCTGGTCTTCCTACTGCCCACCACCGCCCTGTACTACCTGGTGTTCACCCTGGTGAGCTGAGAGCACACGGCCCGGGGGCGCTGACTGAGTGTGGCACAGGGCTACCTGGCCAACAGGCCTGGCCCGCAGTGCTTGGCGTGATCACTACCTGCAGCCAGGCAGCCCTGGGCAGCCCATCTGCCCCTACCCCGTGGAGGGTGTGGCTACCCCGACTCTGGGTGCCATGTGCTGGGCCCTGCAGCAGGCAGGGCTAGGGTCCTGGCCTGGGGGATGCCCCTCAATGCTCTGGGCATGCAGCTGGGTGCACAGAGGATGGCCCTGGGGGACTGGCACCCTGCTGGGCCCGGCTGGGGAGCCAGCAGCCTGTTTCCCTGCCCCCTGCCTCCCCACAGCCGGGCCTCGGGGTCAGGGTGGCAGCTGTGTCCCCCTTAGGATGGGATCCACGTCCTCCCCAGGGGGTGGGGTCTGGAGGGGTCTGGAGCCCCCGCTCACTCCCCATCGTGGCCCGGGACCCTGTGGGCCGTGCGGGGTGACTCTGAGCACCGTGTGTCACTGCAGCTCCGGCTCCTGGTGGTCACCGTGCAGGGCCTGATCCATCTGCTCATGGACCTTGTCAACTCCCTGCCGCTGTACTCGCTCGGCCTCCGGCTGTGCCGGCCCTACAGGCTCGCGGGTAGGTGTGTGCTGCAGAGGATCCAGCTGCCCTGGGGCCCCTCTTGCCTGGGAGCTGTGGCGTGCAGGGCACTGGGTGGCGGGAGGGCAGGGACCCCTGGGTGTCCACGGCGCCAGCTGCCTGCAGTGAGCTGGGGGGAGAGGGCGCCCCGGCCCTCAGGTGCAGAGGCTGCACGTAGCCCTACGTCTTTCCCACCCTCTTCGGCACAAGGGTGGACATTTGCCCCGAGGCCTGTGTGCAGTAGGGCAGGGGGTGCTGGCCGTGGCTCGGAGAAGTGGCCCCGTGTGCTTGTGTGGAACTGTGGTGCCCGCAGTGCCCCTCAGCCCTGGAGGGGACAGGCCAGCGACAAAGATGCTGTGCTGCCCCGGTCTGGGTGGCAGGAGCTGCTCCCGGCCCCTCCCCACAGCCCCCTGACTGCCGGGACAGACCCCAGCATCCTGGCTGCCCCCGCAGTCCCTGTCTGCAACTGGTCCGGCCACTGGGTTGGCCAGGCGCCCCTGGGAGCAGCCATCCCTGCGGCAGGCCTGGGTGAACTGCTGCTCACGGCCCTGTGGGTAGTCCTGTCCCCACCCAGGGCTTGTGAGCACGTGGGGAACGCGGGGCACTCTGGGTATAGCCCCCCCAGTGGGCGGCAGGCCCCTCCTCCAGGGCCTTGAAAGCCAGAGGGAACCTGCGTGTCCCTGGGTTTTGCTCCTCATCTGCCTACTGGATGCCCTCGCTCCTGAAGGCCCCACGCCAGGGGCCCCCGCCTCTGTCCACTCGTCCAAATGCCGGGGCCGGGCCGGTGAGGAGCCCGGGGCCCAGCGTCTCCCTGTCTCCCCGCCCCCCGCAGCATCCCCCCACATCTCCCCCTCCCCAGCCCACTACATCCCCCCTGCGGCATCTCCCCCTCCTCAGCCCACCGCTTCCCCCCCACAGCATCTCCCCCTTCCCAGCCTACAGCTCACAGAGCAGAGCTGTGTTAACTTCATAGTAAAGTCCACAGATGCTGCGTTTTCTTTCTTTTTCACTGACTTTGCCTTGAGGCCTCTTCATCAATTGATAATTAGCTCCCGCTTCTCTTTTCAAGAACTTTCTGCCTTGGAAATTCCCAGGCTTGGGAGCCCAAACTATAGGTCAGGGGTGTGGTGGGTTCCCAAGTTGGCCACGCACGCAGCATTTGGAAGACATTTAATTGCCAGCAGGGCAGTCACACCCCACCCTGTGCACCCCGTGGGAAAACCCACGTCCCGTGTGGGAAGCAGCACAGCCTGCGCCCCCGATGCCCAGCTGACTTCCCTGCCTCCTGGACCTGCAGCTCCTTCAGTGAAGCTGTGCAGAGGCTTTGATGCAGGCCAGGCAGCCAGCACAGAGGCAGACGGATGGGGGGCAGGGGGCAGTGAGCCTTCGAGTGCCGCTCACAGAGGAGGGGGCCCGCCTCGGCTGGTGCGGGATGGGGCCCTTGCAGGCCGTCTGCGGCCCCGGGTGCCTCACAGGCACCTCCCTCTGCTTGCAGCTGGTGTGAAGTTCCAGGTCCTGGAGCACGAGGCCGACGGGCCCCTCCGCCTCTTGATGCAGGTGAGGCATCGTGCACCTGTCACCCCGCTGCCCGCGGGCAGACCCTCACCTGCCCACCCCGGGCTCCTGGCCCTCCCCGGACACGCAGGCCTTCCCTCTTGGGCTCTTCTCTCTGAAGCTGTCCCTCTGGGTGCCTTGCCGGGCAACTCGCTGAGTGCTGGTGGGGTCGACCCGAGGGCGGTGTCTCTGGGACAGGCCGGCCGCTGAGGCCGGGGGGCCCGTGCGGTTTCCTCAGGGGTGCAGTACATTTCCAGGCCCGTGTTCTGGGAGGTCCGTCCTGCAGCACATCGGGCTCCGCGCCCCACAGCCTGGCCCGGCTTACTTCCCTGCCGCCCGCCTGGAGGAGAGTGTGCTGACCTCCACCTGAGGGCTCCCTCCTGGGCTGCTCACCTGCCCCTGGGTGCCCCTGGGGGGACAGAGCTGGAGCTGCCCACAGCTGGCAGCGGGGGGCCGCCAGGACCGGGGGGCCTGAGCCCCAGGGATTGCAGGCCATGTCCCGGCTGACGGCTGCCCTCGTGCTTGCAGATCAACCCCCTGCCCTACGGCCGCGTGGTGCACACCTACCGCCTACCCAGCTGTGGCTGCCACCCCAGGCACTCCTGGGGCTCTCTGTGCCGCAAGCTGTTCTTCGGAGAGCTCATCTACCCCTGGAGGCAGAGAGGGGACAAGCAGGACTGAGGGACCCCAGCCTGGCCGGCTTCACCCCACTGCCCAGTCAGCCCCTGCCCTGCTGGCCACCGACCACCGAGCAGGGGCAGGACGGGCTCCTGAGGCTCGCCCCCTCTGCCCCCGCTCATCGTGGCCTCCGCCTGTCGCCCGGCTCTGGGGTGCAGAGGCGCTGAACGGGAGGCTGGGGCGGCCAGGCCGCCGCCAGCAGGGTGTGCTTGGGGACCTGCTGGGACCTGCTGTGGCTGCCCTGGAGCCCGGCCGCAGAGCACCCCTCCCGTCACACCCATCACACCTGTCACACCCGTCATACCTGTCACACCTGTCACACCGGACTGCCCGGGTCAGCGGCGGGGCCTCCCTGTCACGGCTGGGGGACCCTCCTGGGACGCACTCAGCGGCTCTGGAGGCCGACCCCCACGTCTCCTTGTTTGGGAGTTACACTCTGTGTCCCTGTCCCAACCCCGCAGCCCCAGCCGAGCAGGGCCCTCAGCCGGGGTCACACGGGGTTGGCTTCGTGCCGCCACAGAGATCACTGTCCTGGGCCCTTGGGACCCCGTGGGATCCCGGCTGCCCGGGCTGCCTGCAACTGGCTGGCTGCCACTGAGCATCCGCACCCCTGCGGGGACCGGTCCCCCGGCCTGTCTTTGTCCCTCACGGGCTTCCCTGAGGCAGAAGCTGGCATGGAATCTGACTGGGGGCAAACCCAGCGTCCTGGGGGGAGTCCCGCCTGCTGCTGGAGGCCCACGTGTCCTGTCACATTGGAGTCAGAAGCGCCTGCGCGGTGGCCTGCACTCCTTGGCCGCGGTGGGCAGCCCCGGGGCAGCTCACAGCCCTGTCTCGGGGACAGCTCCTCGCTCTGCCTTTTTCTGCTGTGACAATAAAACCTCCCACCTGTTTGGAGTGCGCCCCTGTCTTCCCGTCGTCGCCACGTGGACAGCGGGTCTCAGGAGACCCCTACCCTCATCCTGACCTTGGGAGGGGATGGGGTGAGGTTCCCCTTCTCCTGGGCTGGCCTGGCAGCCGGCCCCACTGTTTGTTGTAAGGTGTCTGTGACACCTGTTTCATGTTTGACACCGAGCTGAGGGGCACGGGTGCCCTGTCCTCTGAAGCAGGCCTCCCTGTGGGTCTGGCCCCTTGAGGGTGTCCTGGCATGGGTGCCCGTATCCAGGGCCACGTGCTCCCTGGTTTGGGTCTCCCCCTGGTGTGGGGGACAGGGCTGAGGGCCTGGATCTGATGAATTCACCCGGAACCTGTGGACTCCACGCAGGGCAGCGGTCCTGCCCGATTGCTGACCCAGCCTGCAGCCTCTGGGGACCCCCGTGGCCCCTCTGTGCCTGGCATCCAGGCCTTGTGGGGCAGGGCTGGAATCCAGGGGGGCCAGCCAGTGCCTCCCCGCCTGCACCTCCACTCAAGGGTCAGCAGAGCTGGATGGGGAGCTGCGAGGTCAGTGGGAAGCAGGGCAGGAGCCCAGCCGAGGACCAGAGCCCCCAAGTGAGCCCATGGCTGCCCGAGGCCCCCAGAGCCCGATGAGGGTGGCCTCCCCAACTCCTGAGGCCGGCGCCAGCACACCCACCGGCCTTCGTAGGTGGGCCGCTCGTGCCCAGCCCAGGTCTCCCTCTGCCTCTCCTTCCGCCCCGGGCAGAACCGAAACAAGTGGCCGTGTCCCGTCCAGCTGGTGTAGCCATGTCCCGCTCAGGTTCTCAGGGCTGTGGGAAGAGGGTGACTCACGCACACGACAAGACGGGCACTCAGAGAGGGCCGGTGACCAGGCCAAGGCCACCCAGCAGGCGGGTCAGCCCCAGGCACACCCCAGGCGCACCCCAGCCCCCGCCTGCACTCGGAAGCTTCCTGCTTTCCCTTGTCTCAGACGTAGAAGCTGCGCATGGACCATTCAGCGCCCTGACCCACATTCCCTGTTTTTCACATTTCGCCACATTTGCTTTTTCACATTTGTGCTCTATTTTTTATCTGAATCGTTTGATCATCAGTTGCCCCCAGTTCTACCCCAACATGTTCAGTGTGTGTCCCTCAAGGCCAGAGAAGTGACTGAGCAGCCCTGGGCTCGGCAAGGGGAACTGGGCTGGCATGGGTGGGCCCCTTGCCGGGTGCCTGTGACCCGTGCTGGCCACTGCCTGCCGCCCGCCCCCCTGCCCGCCTGCCTTCCATGACATGGACGTGGAAGTCATGGCCACGCGGTAGGATGTCCCTCTGTGGGGCTCATTGGATGATCTCACCAGGAGATTCTGCTCGGGTCTTGGCATAATGAGGACGTAAATGCCACCGTGTCCTTCCTGGGGTGTCACCTTGGGAGACACACGGTGAAGTCCCATTGGCTCACCATGTTCTCTGCAAGGCCACTAAACCTTCAGTGAGTAACTCACGCGGAGGCGCTTGGCCCTCCGTGTGAGTCCTGCCCCTCCCCACCTTCGGGCCCACCGTCCTTGCAGGATGCACGGAGAGGTTTGGGGTCTCTGCGCCGTGGGGCCTCTCCGTGGTCCACTCGTGAGCTGAGGAGTTCCAGAGTATCTGAAGTATCTGAAGCTTTCGTGGGTGCTCCCAGAGAGCCGGGGCACAGAGCTTTGGGGGCCCAGGCCTGCTTGTCTCCTGGGACAGCAGGGCTTGGGGTCCAGCAGAGAGGGCGGTGCACATCCTGGACATCCCAGACCACTCCCTTGTTCCCCACTTCCTGCCTGGCCGGGGGCTGGGTCTGCAGGTCTGCCCCCCACGCTTGCCCAGAGCCCGCAGGTGGGGCAGCTGCAGGGGGCACGGGCACGTGGTTCTTTACTTTCCTGCGTCTCCTGGACAGGGGGTACCCGGGTTGCCGCTGACCACCTGACATGGGGCACCTCATCAGGGCTGACCCAGGGCTTATAGGGGAGGGCTGTTCTGGGCTGCTTCAACCATAGCCTGAGACCCCGTCCTCGGTCCCCAGGACGACTTTGCAGAAGGGCTCGCGTCTGTGGGAGGCCAGCCCCTCCACACATGAGGCCTCCTGGAGACCAGGGGGTGGCATCCTCCAGCCATCCCTCCCGGGGCTGGGCCCTGCTGCCCCACAGCTCGTGGCCTCCTGGGGGCCTTTTTGGCCTGAGTCAGGGGGCAAGAGGCCAGAGGGGAGCCCTGCAGGAACCCAGCCGCTGAGAGGCTGCGGCTGCCCCAGGGTCACAGCCCGGCACTGGGTCCCAGCCTACAGAGCTGCGTCGGGCAAGGCGGTCAGAAAATGTGCGTGCGGAGCCCGATTCCTCAGTGTCCTGGGCCGTGGGAGAGCAGGCAGCGGGGCTGGGCCCACGGGAGTCCTGGCAGCAGAGTCCTGACTTACGTTCTCTGGAAAGGCGGCGACAGTTGTTTCCCACCCGTCACCCCTAGCAGACCGCCTCGGGACCAAGAGGGAAACGATCGACCGCCCGGTGCCGGGGCGTTGGTGGCCCCAGGACAGGGGCAGTGACCCCGCAGCCCCCCTGCCTCCCGCCCTGCCGGCTGCCCTGTGCTGCGCCGGGCAGCACTCTGTCCCCGGCCCCTGCGTCCCAGGCAGCCCCTGCCCACTGCTGGGCCCGGCGCACCCCGTGCCCTCCCCGCGAGGGTTGCAGGTCGTGTTCACCGTCAGCCAAGCCGGGGAAGCGGCCAACCCCGGGAGGAGGACGTGGCCCAAGCCTGCAGATCCCTGGCCCCCCACGCTTCCTGGTGGACCGGGGCCGAGGGCCTCTCTCTGAAGGCAGGGAGGGCAGGCAGGTGCCGCGGGCCCCAAACACCTGCAGTGTGCATGCGCACCCTTCCCAGCGAAGGCTGCCTGCGGTGGGGGGGGCGGGGGGCAGGGGGTGCCCCGGAGGGCCACTCAGGCTGGGGCCGCCTTCGGAAGCCCACCCACTCCTGCAGGCGTGGCCCAGGTCCACTGACTCCTTCCCTTGGAAGAAAGTTCTTGCAAGCTGGTCCTTGCCTGCCGGCAGACGTGCCGCTCTCGGGGCAACGGCCCTGCACCCGCCTGCACCCGCCTGCACCCCCTGCGCAGAGCTGCCAGTCAGGGCATGAACTCTGGCGTCGCCCGCATGTGGCCCTCCGCACGCTTGGGTGAAGGCCTGCGCTCGGCTCCGCTTTCACAACCAATTCTTCTGCTTTATTTATTAATAGCTTTATTGAGGCATATTGGACATATTATAAAGTTCATCTGTTTCATGTGCACGATTCAGTGACTTTGTTTTATGGTGATGAAAGGGTGCTCCTATTACAGCATGAGGAGAGGAACCCGAGGGCAGAAAGCACTGCCGAATCAATGATTTTTAGTGACTTTACCAAGTAGTACAACCATCACCCCAAAAAGAAACCGCTACTCTGTAGACAGTCACCACCTCTTTCCCTGGAGTCCTGGAAATCATGAATCTGTTTTATTTCTGGATTTGCCCATTCTGAGGATTTCGTAGAAGTGGAATGTAGCACATATCACTACTTTATTCCTTTTTATAGATGAATATACCCATTGTGTGGCGAGGCTACGTTTTTTATTTTTATTTTTTAAAATTACTTATTTATACATGACAGACACACAGAGAGAGAGGGGCAGAGACACAGGCAGAGGGATAAGCAGGCTCCATGCAGGGAGCCCAACGTGGGACTCGATCCCGGGAACCCAGGATCACACCCTGAGCTGAAGGCGGCAGTAAACCGCTGGGCTACCCGGGATGCCCGTGAGGCTATGTTTTGTTCATCCATTGATCTGTTGATAGAGATCTGGGTTGTTTCCACCTTTTGGCTGCTGTGAAGATTCCCTACAAGTTTCTGTGTGGAGGTAAATTTTCATTTCTCTAGAAGCTGAACTACTGCTTTTTGTTTTTTAAAGCTTTTATTATTTATTTGAGAGAGAGAGACAGAGCTTGAGCAGCAGAGGGAGAGGGAGAAGCAGGCTCCCCACTGAGCAGGGAGCCTGATGCAGGACTCTATTCCAGGACCCTGAGGTCATGACCTGAGCTGAAAGCAAACGCTTCACCGATGGAGCCCCCCAGGTGCCCCTGAACTACTGCTTTGTATGGTATTTTATTTTATTTATTTTTTTAAGATTTTATTTATTTATTCATGAGAGACACACAGATAGAGAGGCAAAGACACAGGCAGAGGGAGAAGCAGGCTCCATGCAGGGAGCCCGATGCGGGACTCGATCCTGGGACTCCAGGATCACACCCTGGGCTGCAGGCGGCACTAAACCACTGAGCCCCCAGTCTGCCCCCTCTATGGTATTTTATAGTTAATTTTCTGAGTCACTCATTATTAGGCGTCATATGTAAATACGTTCCATTAAAACAAACGTCATCACTCTGGGTCCCTGATGGAGCGATGCTGTCCCCCGGAGGGCATAGTCCCAGGCCTCTTCCTGGGCACACAGAGCTTCTCTAGGCGTAAAGCCTCGGATCAAAGGAGTCGGTAATTTTTTAAAGGCATAAATGTTCAAATGATCCTGGCGATGCTCTGCTGTCACTGGAGTTCTTCACTGTTGGTGCAGGCTCTCGGTAGCTCCTCGCTCCCCTGGAGCACCCCCACCCCGACCGGCTCCCCCCTTCCAGGTCCCCCTCAGCCCTCACTGAGCACCCCCCCAGCTCCCCCCCACCCCTGCCCCTCCAGGTCCCCCTCATCCCCCCAGCATCCCCCACCTGGCTCCCCCCACCCCTGACTCTCCAGGTCCCCCTCACCCCCTCCAGCACCCCCCACCCGGCTCCCCCCACCCCTGCAGGTCCCCCTCACCCCCCCACCTGGCTCCCCCCACCCCTGCCCCACCAGGTCCCCCTCATACCCCCACTTGGCTCCCCCCACCCCTGCCCCTCCAGGTCCCCCTCACCCCCTCAGCAGCCCCCCCCCCCCGCTCTCCCCACCCCTGCCACTCCAGGTCCCCCTCACCCCCCCCAGCAACCCCCCCCCCGGTT